TATGCCAGCCTGGTTCTCTTCCTATGCCCTTCACTATCCCATTGGTCTCCTTTGCCACCTACACGAAGCCTGCCCATTATTCCCTTGCCTAGATGAGCTCTCCCTTTGTTTTCTCTCTGAGACTCGTGGTGCAGTCTTCTTTTAATAGATTGTCAACCCTTGAGGGCAGCATCTGTGTCTCATTCACCATCATAGTTCTTCTCAGTGAACAGCCCGGTTAGGTTTGCAAAATGTATTTGAATTGTGTGAACAAATGGATGACTACTCTCCTTGCTTGCTCTCTCCATCTTTTCACCTTATATGGTCGTTTAGTTCTTCCCACACTAGCACCCTCAAATATGTTTAACCACAGAAACTCTCCTCTAATGTGATACGCACTAGGTATGCTTTTCCTTTTATATTTGTATCAGTGGTGCTGATATAAACACCAAAAATATTAAACACGAATCCATCATCAGGGGGTTGATTGTTAAATGAAGGTGTCTACTATAATCAACCACCAAGCTGTGATTGACAGGTTAGAATGCTACGCCTACTGACTCGGAAGGCTGTCTGAGACATGTGTTTGGTTGAAACACAGCAGGTTAGGAAAGGGCATGACTCCTTTTATGTAAAGAGTTTGATTCCATTTATGTAAAATCTTATAAATGCACATACACACGTCACATGTATCACCAAAATGTGAACAGTAGTTATTTCTGGGCAGTGGTATTTCTTTATACTTCTCAGTATTGTCTGCCATTTTTATAGTAAGCATCATTTTTATAATGAGAGATGAAAAACTGTATTTGTGTTGGCAAACATAAAATAAGGGTTGCCTGTCTTTCATTTGGTCAGACTATTCCCAGAGCCTACTGAATTTCATCTCTCTCTCTTTTTTCTTAAGGAACATAGAAGAAATGCCCATTCCTTTTAAAATCTTCACTTATTTTACATTCCAAAAATACTGCTCTGAGATTCTTGTAGTCAATGAATTCTATGGACGGAATTTCACTTGTGGTAAGTATTTTATTTTGGAATATTATTTGTACATGTCATTCTGAGGAAGCAATTTCTGGAGGGAAATGCACTTTTAAAATAAAAGATATGTTTTGTAATAATAGACTTAAAACTTTGTTTTGAAATAAAAGCTTGGTAACATTTTCTTTGGTTTTTAAAAAGAAATAAGCAGTGGTCAAGTTAGACACCTGTCAAAGGTCAATAGTTTAAGCATGTGTAACTCAGTTGGTTAGAACATTGTCCCGATAAACCAAAGTTTTGGGTTTGATCCTTGGTCAGGGTACACATAAGAATCAACCAAAGAATGAATGAATAAGTTCAACAAGTTGATGTTCTCTCTCTCTCTCTCTCTCTCTCTCTCTCTCTCTCTCTCTCTCTCTCTCTCTCTCTCTCTCTCTCTCTCTCCCCCTCTCTCATAGATGATAGATAATGACAGACCTGAGGCACTGAAGTAAACTCTAGCATATTCTGATGGAATCAGTTTCTACGAGCTGGTTGAAGCTGGGTGCAGTGGCTTCTTATTCCCCAAATGTCCATAGTATAGAGCCGAGTGAAGCCATTTTTGGCAGAAGGCCGTCCCCCACCCCACGAGAGGGCAGTGGGAGCCTAACAAGGTCCTCCTGGCCATTGGAAATCCAGGCCATTCTCTGAAGGCAACTAAAGAACAGGGCAGAATGTAATAGTTGTTTTACATATCTTTAGGTGATAACAGCAGTAATCTTTGGCTATTCAGTGCTAAGTGATCTTAAGTGATCATGATTTTTACCGGTGCTATGGGAATGAATATATACCCCAAATGGAAACAAATCAATTTCCAACTTCAAATAGAGCCAAGGCCCAGAACACTCATTATTGCTTCATCTAATAATGATTCCAGGGCTGTGTCAAATGTCTGTGTCTCTCATGAAGAAGGGTACTTAGCAGGGTGTTAAGCACTTAGTGGGCATTTGGTAAATCCTTGCTTACGAAATTACTTTTTTAAAAAAGAAAATATTTCTTTATTGATTTCAGGGAGGAAGGGAGAAGGATAGATAGATAGAAACATCACTGATGAGAGAGAATCATTGATTGGCTGCCTCCTGCACACCTCCTACTGGGGACTGAGCCTGCAACCCAGGCATGTGCCCTTGGCCGGAATTGAACCTGGGACCCTTCAGTACGCAGGCTGATGCTCTATCCCCTGAGCCAAGCCGGCTAGGGCACAAAATTACTTCTTAATCACCAAGTATTTACCAAATGCCCATATCTCACAATGTCGATCTTTTCCCTGGCAGGCAGCTCAAATGGTTCTGTGACAGCTAATCCAATGTGTGCCTTCAATCAAGGACTCCAATTCATTGAGAGAATCAGCCCGGGTGCAACATCCCGATTCACAGCAGACTTCCTGATCCTGTATGCGTTTATTCCAGCTCTTGTCCTCCTGGGAACAGTTGTGTTTAAAGTACGGGATCATCTCATTAGCAGATAGTAAAGCACATTGCTGTGAGAATGGAACTGAAGCTCCTAGGGGTGCCTGGCTGCGTTGAATGTCTGAAATAAGAATGCCTCCTGTTTCTGTCTTGACAGTACACCTGAAGTCTTTTAAACCATTAAGACTCCTTTTGTGCCCTTGGATCCATGAGGCCTTGAATGCTATTCCAAGTTGTAGGGACATGTGGTATTTAGAAATTGTGACTAAGCCAGTCCAAAATGTAGATAATAATACTTCATAAAGTTATGGAGACTGTACTATTTGTTTTCTTTGCTTTAGAGAGAAAAATAGGTCGGTTAAAAAATTATGCTTACGTTCGCTAAAGGATTCAGTAAAAAGAATCCTGAATAGTTAGCAGAAAAGGGAGTGGTTAAAGCAAAGCATCATGAAGAATTGGGTAAGAATGCTTTCATTGTTATTTAAAAACTCATAGTTATGTGCACATGTCCACGTGAGGGTTCTGAGTTACCTGATGACATCGAGAGGATGGTGGACAGATGCTGGATGATGAAGACCACTGGTCCAGAGTACTCAGTGGTTTTTATGGAGGGTTACAATAAAAAACTGCAGGAATGGCTGAACTGAGAACACAGCACATCAGGCACACCTCTTGTAATGTTTTTAAAGATTAGCTGGCTATTTTTCACTTCCACTTAGTTTACTTATAAAATTAAAAGTAAATATTATTAGATAAAGTGTTTGCACTGAGAAATGACATCTTTAAGGTTGGGGAGCAGCTATTATTGAAAGTCCATGTAGACAAAATGCTCAACGGACACAACATTTACACTCAGAAGAATAAGGTTACACACTGGGAGTTCATGTTCTTGAACTGTAAAGAGAAAGAATGCTGATGAATACAAACACCTATATTATATATATTTTAGGGATCAAATGTTGTACATAGATTGTATATAAATGGTATATACGAAATGACTATCTTTCTGATTGATCTTCAAGAAATTCATGTATAAGTCTGAAATAAGACTGTCTCAATGTTACCATGGTAACTCTGAGTGAGAATGTCTTAGCACAAGAACTTGTTCAGTTACTATGACCCAACTTGTAAAGAATGATAAATTATAGCATTTGAAATGTCTCACATTATAGTAGGAAAGATCATTTCATTAAGGAAACCACAGTAAAATTCTATTTCTTAGAACAGTATTTAAGGATCTGGAGACATTGGTGAATTACCAGAATCGTACTGTCAATTTTTATAAAAGGTCTCTGACACTGATGATTATGGTGTAATAGTTACATAATGCCTCACAGATTATATATGTCACATCAATTATAGACAATTCTGCAGATGATAATCTATTAAAGTAGTTCAAAGAGAGTTCCACAGGAACCTCTTTAGAAATCACTGATTTCAACTTACTAAAGATATGGGTGCACAATGTAAGTGGAAACATTTTCTATTCATATGCAGATGAATTTCATTCTAGCTCAGAAACACTTGGAAAAGTGACAGAGCACGTGACTTCAAGCTATTAAATGTTAGCGATACCATCTCTCAGAAACACAGTGACTTTCACAATGTGACAGTTTGTGTCTTAAGTCAAAAATGGACATGATGTGTAAGGAAATCAAATTATATAATAAAAATTCCTATTACTATTGTGGAATGAGCTGTTTCTTCTCACCAAGTCAGTGGTGTTTCTGAGAGCATCACGTTCACTGTTAATTTAAAGGGAGTCCTTTCTCCACAGCACCCAGGCCCAGCGCCTGTCAGCTCCTTCAGCTGAGGTTCCTTGGAGCCATGCTGCAAACCCTGCTCCCCACAGTGCTGGAGCTAGTTTAGGACACCTTATTTCATGACAGTCATCAGGCAGCTTGCTATGTACTCAGATGCCACTCCCCAGCCTTGGTGTTCTTGTGGTTAGTAGGGGTGCTTATTTGAAGCTGGGTGCGTGGCATGGTAGGGTCAACATATTTTACAGTGGAAATGGAAGAACACAGAGTAAAAAAACTTTCCTGATTGGTAACAGCAATTATACTTACTCTAAATTGAACGTGGGTAGCAGGTACATGAACCTATAAGATTGAGGCTTCTTACAAGCTATCCTACCTTGGAAATAATCTTGGTTATTACCAAGTGATCAAGTTTTGGTCTGTTTATTGACAACATCTCCTTAAAACTGCCTGTTCTTCAAAAAGTTATACTTAACGTATGTCAGAATCACTGGAGGTGCTGATTAGAAATGCAGTTTCCTGAGCCCCATTCCAGACTCACTGACTCTGTATTTCTGGTGTGGGGGCTCAGGAACGTGCATTTTAAATAAGTACTATGGGTGCTTTTTGTGCCTCACCATTAGAGTAACATTAGATGCTTGTGAAAGTGAACCCAATTCCCGTTTCCTACCAGCCACAGCTGAGAACTCCTTAGAGAAGGAATGTGTCTAATATGAGCACTTAACCTTATTCATAACTGTTTACATGCTCTTGCTTTCATATTCCTGAAAACACATAAGCACAAACTTATCAATGCTGAACCAAGGATATATTTACTTAACCATGGTAGAGGTAGGTAATAGAAGATTCTTTTTATTTAAGAAAATACTACACATTAGTTATACAATTTTTTCCCCTTTTCAAAGATAAATATCCTGGGGTGGCACTAATACAAGAAATGCACTTTTCCTTTAGCAAATTATACATCTTAACTTCCTTTTTAAAAAAATTGTTTAAAGTATTACATGTCTTTCCTCATTTATTACACAACAGCTAGTTTATTAATTAGCTATTATTAATATTACTAAAGACCTGGTGCACGAATTCATGCATGGGTAGGGTCCTTTAGCCTGGCCAGCAATCAGGTAATTGGGACCATCTCACCCAGTCCCGATCAGGGCCAATGGGAGCTGGCTGGCTAGGGAGGGACCACAGGAGGGATCCAGGGCGTGTCTGGCTCTCTTGCCCAGTCACCATCGGCCGGGCCCTAGTAACAAGCTAACCTACCGGTTGGAGCATCTGCCCTCTGGTGGTCAGTGTGCTTCATAGCAACTGGTCAAGCAGTCAACCAATCAGTTGGACACTTAGTAGATTATACTCTTATTATATAGGATTTATTAACACAAGAATGAATTCATTAATGAGCTAATATCAATAAAATAATCTTACTTGTACCAGTATTTGGGAAATAAATACACTGTAGCTGAGTTAGGTTCAAGAATCCAGCTCAATTTGTTTCCAAGACTTGGAAGAACTTTTTTTGTACTGTTCCAGTTCCTAAAACAAAAATATACATTATAGTACTTTAACAATCAACTTTAACAATTAAAGTAGGCATCTTAAACTCCCTTAGCAGTTTTTGATATAACAATGTATCCTTTACAGCTTTATCATTCTCAAAATTTCTTGACAATTATTTTGTAAATGATTATACTTAGTATTTACTTACTAGAATGTAGCCTTTGGAGTTTCTGGGTAGCGTAAGCAGCACTTAGAGATGAATTTAATAAAGTTTCAGACAAAATTATATTCTATATAGTACATAAGTTCATTCAATTAATAAAATAAAGTATTTGTCATATATTAAGTATTGAAAAGTGACCTTATTTTTAATTGTTCGCTATTCAACTCTTGTTAAAACCTGCTTGAAGTTAGCTAAGTATCAATATTTAAAATGTATAGATCTTTTAACCCATAATTCTGCCTTAAGAAATTTATCCTATAGGATAGTATAGAAGAGCTCAAGGACATAAGCAGAAAGATAGTCACTGCACTGTGTATATTGACACAAATTGGAAACAGATTAGAGGAAACCTTGGGAGCAGCGGTCGCCAACCAGTGTCCACAGACCACTGGTGGTCCCATGAGGTCCAAAAGGTTGTTGACCGCTGGTTAAGATGATCTCCCAGTAAAGACTGATTAACACACCAGCACTCACTCACACGTGGCTTTACAGCCAGCCAGCAAAAAGGACGGCAGTCAACATGTGAAAACAGCAAGTAGATGGAGAGAGAGCAGAACACTTCCATTTTCCATTACATATACTTGTATATCTTTGGATTTTTTTTCATAATGAGTATATGTTACTCTTTTTAAAATTGCATTTTTCAATTATAGTTTTCATTCAATATTATTTTGTTTTTGGTTTCAGGTGTACAGTGTAGTGGTTAGATAATCATATCCTATATGAAGTGATTCCCCCAATGTTTCCAGTACCCACCTGGCACTATACATAGTTATTACAATACTAGAGGCCTGGTGCATGATTCATGTACCAGTGGGGTCCCTGGGCCTAGCCTGCAGGATCAGGCCAAAACCGGCTCTCTGACGTCCCCCGAGGGGTCCCAGATTGCGAGAGGGCATAGGCCAGGCCAAGGGACACCACTGGTGCACGATCAGGGCCAGGGAGGGACGCAGGAGGTTGGCCAACTGGGGAGGGACCGTGGGAGGGCTCCAGGGTGTGCCCGGCCTGCCTCGCTCAGTCCCCATCGGCTGGACCCCAGCAGTAAGCTAATCTACCAGTGGAAGCGTCTGCCCCCTGGTGGTCAGTGCTCGTCAGAGTAAGTGGTTGAGTGGCCTTAGCATATCATTAGCATATTATGCTTTGATTGGTTGAATGGATGACCAGATGACCAGACACTTAGCATATTAGGTTTTTACTATATAAGATTATTGACTAAATTCCATTTGCTGTACTTTACAACTTGAGACTATTTTGTAACTATTACAATTCACAAAATAAAGATAAATTTAGCGAGAGTGGAAATCCTGAGTGAGACCATCAACATGCAAAAGAGACCATCTCCAGGAATGCCTTCTCCTAGCCTCTTGCCTGTTGCTCAATGTCTAACTATACAGAGTAAAATATTATTTCAGATAAGCAAAAAGTGGTTACCCTGCAAGATAAGGCAATCACTGCCCTTTGACTAACATAATTAAAGTTCATAGTTGCTATAAATGGAAAAATCCTATTCTCATTTTCAGAAAAATTGCAGACTGCCTCATTCATAGCTATAGTCTAAGTCATTAAAATTTAAATGTTCCAAGTTTTAAAACTGTATAAGACTTTGGAAGAAGTTTTATACTAATAACTCCAAAGTAGTCTTTATAGCATGCTTTATTTTTTCTAATGAAGTTAATTCAGTTCACCAGTTATCTACCACTTATGGTTTCAAAGATTGTTAACTCATAAAATAAGCCACAACAATTACTGGGCATCGCTTTGGGATTCTTTGCTAGTAGTATGTCCCTGCTGTAGTCAGCAAACTTGGAAGAATAGGCTGGTCATACAGCCCATGCCAGAGGGAGGATAAAGAATAACTAACTAGTATGACACAGAACTCACCATGTCCACTGGGCCCTTCAGTACTGCTATCATGTGAACTCAAAATAATGTGATAATAGTTTAAAGGCATAGCCAGAAAGAGGGTTTTCTTTACACTGCAATTCTTTTTAAAAAATATTTTAAAATTGATTTTTAGAGAGGAAGGGAGAAAGAAAGAGAGAGAAACATTGATGTGAGAGAGAAACATCCCGCACGCCCCTCACTGGGTATCAAACATAAAACAAGGCATGTGCCCTGACGGGAATGGAACCGGCACCCTTTTGATGCACGGGACCATGTCCAACCAACCAAGCTACACCAGCCAGGGCTAGTCCCTGCTTCCAAAAATTGACTTGCTTATAATCAGTAGGCCTATATTTTAAACACACACCCACACTGATACATGTTTAGGGAGAATACAGAATTTAGTGAGGTAGCAGTGAGGTCCAAGAGTTGAGTGAAGACTGACATAGGCATTATAGGACTGCTTTCCAGTTCCACTAAAAATTCTTATGGTTTTAGGTCAGTTAGAGAAGATGGATTTGACTGTGAAAACTCATGATACTCAGAAATACCCTAGCCCTTTAACAATACTTATGTATATAAATGTAATAAAAGGTCATTATGCACTATAAACAAATACTCTTATCAACAATGGCAGTTAGTCATTGACTTCTAGGTAAATATTAATTCAGGGATGACTTCCAACTAATCTCTATAGCCAAGATATACACATAATAGGAGTTACTCAAGGTCATTTTACTTTTCTTACAACATGCCCCTCACTTTTTGAAATTGAGGTATAATTGACATACAACAATATAGACATTTTAGGTGTACAACATAATGATTCAATATTTGTATATATTGTGAGGTGATCACCATTATAAGTCAACATTTGTCAACAAATAGTTATAGAATTTTTTTCTTGTGATGAGAACTTTTAAGCTCAACTCTCTTAGCAACTTTCCAATATGCAACACAATATTATTAACTATACTCGCAAGCTGTATGTTGCCATGATTTATTTTATAACTGGAAGTTTGTACTTTTTTACTCTCTTCACTCCTTTGGTCTATCACCTACCCCTCCTCTGGCAACCACCAGTCTGTTCTCTGTTATCTACAAGCTTGGTTTTTTGTTGCTGTTGCTTAGATTCCACATATAAGTCAGATCATATGGTAGTTGTCTTTCTCTGTCTGACATATACCCTCAAGATACATCCATGTTGTCATAAATGGCAATATTTCCTTCTTTTTTATGGCTGAGTAATATTCGTGTGTGTGTGTGTGTGTGTGTGTGTGTGTGTGTGTGTGTGTGTGTCTTTATCCATTCATCTGTCAATGAATACTTAAGTTGTTTCCATGTCTTGGTTATTGTATAGTGCTGCAGTGAACATGGGGGGGTACATATATCTTTTTGAATTAGTGTCACAATGTCAAGGAGCTTACTGTCTATGTTGTTTCTAGGAGTTTTATAGTTCCAGGTCTTATAGTCAAGGCTTTAGTCTATTTTAAGTTGACTTTTCTGTATGGTGTAAGATAGTGATCCAGTTTCATTCCTTTGCATGTGGCTATCCAATTTCCCCAAGATTATTTATTGAAGAGATTGTCTTTTCTCCCATTGTATATTCTTGGCTCCTCTGTCATAAATTAATTTACATATATGCATGGGTTTATTTGTTCCATCGATCTATGTGCCTGTCTTTATGTCAATACCATACTGTTTTCATTATTAAATCTTCCTAATATAGTTAAAATCAGGAAGCATGGTGACTCCAGCTGTGTTCTTTTTCAAGATTGCTTTAGCTATTCTGGGTCTTTGTAGTTCCATATAAATTTTAGTACTGTTTGATCTATTTCTGTGAAACATGCCATTGGAATTTTGATAGGGATTGTAACATGCCTCTTACTTGCTATAGCTACACTCCCTCTAAATACTCATGACATACTTTCAAAAGTCTTCTGGACTGTAGCTAAGTTCAATGTATTGCTTAATGCTGAGAAGAATACCCAGTGGATGGTTGTGTTCAGGTTATACTTGAGACAATGCCTAAGTTACACAGCTCTACAAATCCCTCCCGAGAGGTTGTCAGGACATTCAATTTACAGTGTTTACTATACATAAGCTTACTTATTATACAAGGTCAGATTCCACACACTGTCTCATTTTATCAAACCAAACGGCGATCTGGGAAAATATAAGTATTGGGCCATGATAAATTTACCCAGTTTTGCATCCTCACATCAGATTTGTATACAATAAACAGTGCTATCTTGGCACATGTGGAATGCAGTCCCCACTTTGAACCACTTTCCTGAGAGATCCTGGATTTTGTCAGTTATGTTTGTGTGCTTTCAGATGAGGCAGTAGTTAATTATTCTGGTACAAGAAAGTATAGGTATGTCTGAATGTCCTAATAAAAAACAAGCTCTTTTAAATAATCTCACAAACAAAAGAATATTCTAAAAGCATTTCCCAGCAGCAAAGTAAGAATCACTAGCCATCATAAACTGAAAAATCCAAAAAGGATATGTAAACATGGTTATCTCTGGGTGGTAGAGTGATAGGTGATTTTTAATTCCTTCTTGATTCATATCAGACTTTTAACTTTTCTATAGTGAAGATTTACTATTACATAATTATAAAGTAAAAAAACCATTAAGTAAGTAAATTGAGAAGAATGTATAGAAGTCTACAGGTATTTTTGTGATAATTCAAAATGAAATAAGTGTTTTGGGTAATACCTGATCCTTCTGAATTCTCATTTCATCAACTTCACTTTCAGCATACTGGGGGTCTTTTGCAGGGTCCTTGATATCTTTTAGTGTGTCGATACTCTGAAATTACAATACTTCAAATCATTTCATGCCCATAACCCCACACCATCTGACTCACAATCCACGTCCTTTCCTCAGCCAGCCATGTAGGCTATGATCTTTTATCATCACCACTGAGGGCCAAATTCCACCAGGTCCTTTTTCCTTCTTCTCCTTTCAGATGATTGTGTCTCCCTTGTCTAATAGCCAGAGAGCTGTTTCAAAGTGGAGCAAGAACTGTGTCATAACCCACCTTTTAACCCCACAGTGTCTCACATACAATGGATTTTAAGCGACTGTTTAATTTCTGAGCATGAGAGTTGAAAACAAAGTTGTCATAATAAACCCATTGGACATTTCCCAGTAACCACTGAATAGTGGTAAGAATTCCTGCTTTAAAAGAACCAGAAATAGGTACCTTTGGTGGAAAGAGCTTTTCATACACTTTTTTCCACAACTCCATTGGCGAACGGGCATGAAACTTCCCAATGTCATTATCAGGAACAGGAGGAGACCCTGAAATTGGAAGGTTTGCTCCAATGACTGCATTGATTAAAACATTCAAACTCTATCAGTAAAACTGATGACACTAAAAACAGTATAAATCTTAGATCATTCGTGTCCATCTTCCTATTACAGTCACAATTAAAATTTACCCCAACCCAGTGTAGCAAGCCAGGTTCCCGTTCTAGAAGAAGAGGAGACAATAATGAGTAAACTGTAATTCTCTTTCCCTACCCTTCAATTGCTGCTCAGCAAAAATATAAGATAGATATTATCACGTGCATGTGAATTTGCGAGAAAACAAATACTCTTATGTGTTGCTGGTTAGAGGGAAAATTGGAACAGCTGATTTGGAGGGTAATTTGGCGCTGCTAAATACCATTAAAGTACTAAAAAAGGTCATTCCCTATTAATAAGCAATTCTAGTTTTTGGTGTTTACCCTAAAACATCTGCATACATGTATTAAGGATTTCACACTACAGCATCATTTATATTAATGAAAAACTGGCCACTACCAAAATGTCCATCCATAGAAAAAGTGTAAACTAAATTACTGTGTAATACGATCCAGCAGTCAAAATACCAAACAAATCTACATATAGCATAATATTGAAAAACCATTAAGGCATATTGAGTGAAAGAGACACATTTCAAAATGATATAGAATAATACCATTAAATTAAAACATATTTTTATACCACATACTCATATATAGAAAGTGGTCTGGAAAGATACAGACCAAACTTGATCCTTTTATGTTATATTTTAATGTTTTATAAGGAGAAGGCCTTTATGTATTGCTTGCATAATTTAATTTGGAAATTCAAAAAAATTTTGGGACACTTTTTCATACTTTTCAATCTAAAATCTGAAATTTTTTCATTATGTTTCAGCATCTATGTTGTTCACTAAAATTGTAATCACACTCACCTCCTTCCCAACCTCTCTCCTCCTACCTCTTCACCCACAGTCTTGTCCCTAACCTCTGATATTTATTAATCTTTCCTCCATTTGTAAAATTCTCTCATTCTAAAAATTTTATATAGAGTCATAGTGTATGTAGCCTTTTTTGATTGTCTCTTATCATTCAGTATAACTCCATGGGGATACATCCAAATTCTGTGTATCAATAGTTTGTTCCTTTTTATTGCTGAGTAGTATTCTATGGTATAAATGTACCACAGTTTGCTTATTCACTCACCTGTTGAATGACATCTGGGTAGCTTCTAGTTTTGGGCTATTACCAATAAAGCTGCTATGAACATTCTTGTACAGATTTTATGTGAATGCAAGTTTTCATTTCTCTAGGATAAATGCCTAGTAGTGCAATTTCTAGGTCATATGGTAGCTGCATGCTTAGTTTTATAAGAAGCTGTCAAACTGTTTTCAAGACTGGCTGTACCATTTTACATCACCACCAGCAATGTATAAGTAATCCAGTTTCTTAACATCCTTGTCAGCATTTGGTGTTGTCACTATTTTTTATTTTAGCGATTCTGATAGTGTGAAGTGATATCTCATTGTGGTTTCAATTTGAATTTCTGTAGTAATTAATTATATTAAACTTTATTTGCCATTCATATATCCTCTTTAGTGAAATGTCTGCTCATGACTTTTACCTATCTTCTAATTGGATTGTTTGTTTTTACTGTTAAGTTCTTTATATATTCTAGATACTAGTCATTTGTTGGTATGTGGTTTGAAAATGTTTTCTCCCAGACTGTAACATGCCTTTTCATTCTTTTGAAACGAGCAAAAGTTTTTAATTTTGATGAGGTCCAAGCTACATGATTTTTAAATTCAGTAGTTCTCAACCTTTTTCTGACTTCCAATTACTCACATGGGCAAAAGATTCCCATCAGCATTATCTATCAGTACACAAAGTGATTTTTACTGTGATTGAAATTAACTTGAAACTAATGATAATTATAAAAATAAAAAAATCATTCTCTATAATCACTCATTAACCATCTCTAGTCCTTTCACTGCAATTCAATCTATAATCTCATTACAAAGATATCTACATTTAAAGTCAAGTTAACTTTAGCTTGTAAGAGTAATGGAGAATAGGAAATAAAATATTGCTCACTAGAGTTTAAAACCAAACTATGACAGTCCTAGAGTATAAAGAGCTGTTAGGCCCAAACATCTTTTATTATAAGAATATAAGTAGCTTGACTTCATAAACTTGTAAAATTACTTTTGCTTCATGAGCCTAGGGCAGGGGTGGGCAAACTTTTTGACTAGAGGGCCACAATGGGTTCTTAAACTGGACCGGAGGGCCGGAACAAAAGCATGGATGGAGTGTTTGTGTGAACTAATATAAATTCAAAGTAAACATCATTACATAAAAGGGTACGGTCTTTTTTTTTTTTTTTTAGTTTTATTCATTTCAAACGGGCCGGATCCGGCCCGCGGGCCGTAGTTTGCCCACGGCTGGCTTAGGGCATCTATAAGTTTAGGAAACACATCCCAGTAGATGAGGCCAGCTATTTTCATAATGAAAAATTAAGGGATACTTAATTAATACTGTATTCCTTTTTATTTATTCTATCCCTTGAATCTCTAATTTTCACCATTGCCCATAATATGTAGTTTTGAATTTCCTGACCACTCTATGTTCTTGTTTTTTTCTAAATCCAAGGAGTTACAATTTAAAATCACCTAGAAATCAGTAAGGGAAAGGAAATAGATGCAAACTTTTTAGTGGAATAGAGATCAGAAGCCGGTCTCTCATGTGGCAACATCCCTTTCATCACAAATATGTCAATGTGATGTACTGCATCAATACTGTGTATACAAGTAAATAATAAGAAATTACAGCAATGATAATGAAACCAGAAATGCTGGTACGCTGGAGATGAAGGGAACATAGAGTAGGATAAAATCAATAAGCAATTAAAAAAATGATTGAACAAATTTAATAAGTTCACCAACCTATATTACTTAAAGAATCCAAGCCAGCTGTGATAAACAGTGGTTTATTCTGATCCACACATATTGATTTGCTACATGGATAAGAAGAAAAAAGAATCTAATTTAGTTTAGCAATCGAATATCCTACCACACTCTACTGTAAATACAAGAAGCAAGTTTTATATCTAGCCACTGGTGAAAGCACTGCCCAAATGAGTGAGTGAATATTTGTGTAAGTGATTTAACATAGAGCATTAATGAAGGTTTTACAGGAGAAAAAAAGTGACAGACACAAATTACCTTAAATCAAAACCAAGAAAAGTAGCATGGTTAAGAAAATTATGTACAAATATTGTTTATTTCATTTATAATCAATTCAGAAAGTGATAATAGAAGGAATGCCACTAAAATGAGAGAAAAGAAGTAAAAGAAATCAGAGAAGGAAGTATAATAATATCATTTTATTCTAGTATCAAACTAAGTATTCTCTAACATTTTAATTGTAAATCTGAGAAATATTTAAAGAACAGAAGAAGCAAAAGGTAATATAAAATTATCTTCCCAAGAACAGATATCTGGCGCACTTTCTGGGTCAAGAAACAAAAGACTGGTGAGAACAACAGTCAGATGAAACAATATTGGCCAAAAATAATAAAATAAAAAGAAATAAAAAAACGTATTTTAACAGTACCTTTTGCCAATACCAAATGCTAACTGATTGATAACTCCACGTATTTTTAGTAATAGAGCTTCTGATTTACTTGTAAACTAAAAAAAAAAAAAAAAAATCAGGAGGATAAATTTTATACTCTGCTTTCAAATCACAGAAACAGGTAACATAAATATGGCTTTGAACAAGTACAGATTGCAGAGCGAATTGCTATTTATTTGCCCAACAAATACTTATGAATAGACAGAAAAAAAAACAAAGAAAAAAAAAGAAATGTGGATAAATTCATTTTAATGACTCTTCAAACTTCATGAGTACATAATATTGAAAGAACTCGAGTTTATGCACTAAACATTTTAGCTACTCCCATGTATGGGTCATAGTTACTGCTAAAATGCAATCTGGGTGGTTAAAAAACAGGAGGTATACATCACAAATAACATTTCCGTCTAAGGACATATTACTGCTTTCAAAGTAGTTAACAAGGGAGCTCTGTAGCTCTAATAATAATAATCAGTCTAATAATACTGATACTCACTAAAACAATTTTTTAACTTCTCTTTTGAATTGTCTTTGGAGGTTGCAAAATAAGCAACTGAATATTCTCAGTGGCGGTATGGTGACTAGGGTGACATAACCAGAACATTTTAGACACTGAAAGTGAGTGGGTAGTGTTAATAATTAAGCTGAGATATCAGGTAAAAACCAGGACATATGGTTACCCTACAAATCTTTTAAGTCTAAATTTGATTTTTTAAAATACCAAAAGTCACTAAGCCAAAATCATAATGACTAAGATGTATGAAAGTGGGAAAAATAACCTTGAACAAATGTGTTCTTTTTTAAACTTTTTAAAAAATGCTGTTTGTTGCAGAGGTTAAAAAAAATGAACTTGGGAGTCCTGCTGGGTGTGTTTATATCTCAGGGAAATCACTGACTAGATGTATGATCTTGGACAAGTCATTTAATCTCACTTAAGCCTCAGTCTCCTCTATGGTAAAATGGACAAAAACAGTACCTTTTTCATAGGGTTGGGAGGAAAAGAGGGAATAATGTGAAATGCTTAGCACAGGGCCTGGAACAAAGTATTGCTCAAGAAATATTGGTTATTATAATTATTATCATCATTATCTATTTGATGTCCTTCAATGCAATAAAATATTAAAGCATTTTTATTTTAAAAGATACTTTCTACCCCTATCCCCCATTTGTATGATCTCTTTTTTCTTCTTAATCAAAGCGCTCAGAGGGACCTGGAGACAACATGGTCTAGCCCTTTTCTTTTAAGAGAATATAGATTTTAATTCTTAAGGGAAATGAATGAATGAATGAATGAATGAATAAATAAATAAATAAATAAATTGTCTCTTTAAGATTGGGGTTTATAGATATAAGCAATTCAGATCTTTTGCACCAAAGAAATGTCAGGCCATCTAGAAGTATGTTCTATGGCTACATTATAAAACGAACATTTTGGGGCAATGGGAAAGGAAAGGAGGGGATGATGTGCATTAGTAAAAGCATTAGTCTTCATGACTGTGCATGAAGTTGCTAACCCTTCCAAATTTGGTACTGTCCATTCAAGCCCAAAGGATAGAAAATGTACGAACCATTAATGATGCTCCATAATAATGTGCAACAAATCGAAGTGTCTTGCATATTACCTTTCTCTTCTCAGAGTCAAAATCCTAAAGAAATATGTTATTAAAATGAAAAATGAGTTGAGAGAACTAAATGTCTGCAGCATGAAGATATAGATTATTCAATGCAGATATACAGTATTTCTTAGTTGTTTGTTTATTTTTTGAACACACCCTCAGGAGTAGGATTCCATTACCTTGGTATTTGTTTCTATAGAGAGCGGAACAATAGCTGCAGCCTTCTAGAGCTACAGCTGTCAGATCTTCCCTTGTTTAAACACTTAGCTCAACAGAATTCAGAAATCAGCACACATTTCATAGTGTGGAATACCCTAAGGATTCTCTGACAAGCAAAGATAAGAAGAAACCAATTTTCTACTTTCTTCAATTTAAAAGTAGGGAAGTAAGTCCTATCCCTTGGTGACTAGGTTCAAGATTCAGTTTCTAAATCTTCTACCTTATCCCCATTCCACTGTATTTGTTGTTCTTTACCTATTTTTGCTTTCCCAACGATATCCTCTTTTCTAAAATCTTTAAGATGTGTGACTCCTTGACCTCTCCCTCTGAGAGATACTTTCATGTTTCATTATTACTTTTTTTAGAAAATGTTTTTTAATATTTTATCACAGAATCCTATTTTTTCCCAATATCACAGTGCTACAAATGAAGTTGATCCTGGTGCTTATCAAAATATACAAGACAATCGATGTTTTATATAAAACCACTTTATATGTTAACTTGTTCCCAACCTCCCACACTTTTTTTTTTCTTTTTTGGCCTGATTAAAAAAACCTGTTACAAATATTTATAACATCTTCTATTAGATGAACATTCTTATAAAATGAAAAAGGGAATCTTATGAACAGACCATGCAAATCATTATTACTTTGGTTCCTCTCCCATAAAGCATAGACATGTATGTATAACAAACTCAACTAGAAGTAGAAGAGCTTACCTGAAAAATATCATATTTACTTCCAATTATGACCAGAGGTATTGGAAATGGGTCAATTAATTCACGATCCTGTTAGCAAACATATTTCATTGATTTACTATAATTACTATTGTATATTCAGCAATTTCTATTTACTTCCAAAAAGATACCATTTTCAGTCTCTTCATAGATGTTGACCATGCTTGCTTGACATTTAAGGTTGTTCCAATAATTAACCTTCACTTAATAAACTGTATTTCTCAAGTATAAAACTATAAACAGCAATTCCCTAAATTACTAAAAGATTTATTCTTTTTGTGTGCTCTGCCCTTTTATTTTCTTATGTAACATGTCATCTTCCTTTTCGTTTCTTACTATTTTGTGTTAACTGTTTGTTGCAGTAGCATTTATACTGCATACATGGGAACCATAAGCTATCAGTTTTGTTGGATATTACCTATGTAAAACACATTCATGAAAACTCTGGGCAATGTAAAATCCTGCTTTTAGCTTTGTAGAAGATGAAATTCATGACTGTATTTAAAGAACTTGTGTTGTCACCATTGCAACTTTATAATGTAATTACTTGTCAGATGATAAATGTACTGACTCTGTGACACTGAAGGAATGTAAAATATAGAGCGACAGTGAAGGCTGTTTAAATTCTAACCCTTGCTCAAATTTGTAGCTTCCTTTAGTTTCTTGTCAGGTGATATTTGTACAGTTTGGTTTATAATATTCATTTTATAAAATCAATATCAAATTACTACTTAAAACTATTTCTTTAGATTGGTGTAATATGCCATAACAGTCACAGAAGATGTCTAAGAAGACATAAAAAATCTTTTCCCTTGAAACGTTCTTACTGAGGTTTTATAAAATTGCTATAATTTTCCAGTGAGCAGGTTCATCTATATCAAATGAATCTTAAGTCATGCATAAAAACTAAAGAAGCTGTTGTGATGTTCTCTGTAACTGTGTATGGGCTAAGGTTCCAAGAATAACCCCAGCTGCAACTCACTGGATGGTCCTTCTGCATGTTACTCCGTATCTTCTGTCTCATTTCAGAAGCTGCTGTAGAATTTGTCTTTCCCAGTTTCATTATCACTTTATCTACATGGCTTTTTGTGGCTTGCAACAGATTTTCCATGGTGGGCCAAAGGTCATTAGGCTTTGAAAGATCCAAAACAAGAACAATAGAAAATGTCCTAAAGAAATAAAAAAATATTTTTAAAAAGACTCAAAATAATTACCACTGTGAAACCCTACTATACTGAAAGTTATTATCTAAGAATAAGATAGATTAGGAAAGAAAAACACATAGCAATTTTCTAAGACAAAAAAAACAACCCCACAATAAAACAGCACCAAAGTTATAGCTTTACTTATTTGAGTGCTTTTTTTCAGTGATATGTAAGTGTTATAACCATTAGTGGCACTGGAATTTTTGTTTGAACTAATATAATTTGGTTCAAATAATTTGCAAGTAATTGGGTCCAACAATGCATGTTTAGATCCAATTTTACTATGTGTTCCAACGAAGGGAAACTAAAATAATAATAACAGCAGCACAACAGGTAAAGGAGAAGAAAACAGGTTTACTGGTGGACCTTGTTTTAAGCAAAAGAGAAATGAATTGTTCAATTTTTCGAAGATTAAAATTTGTGTTTCCAATGCATTAGAAATACTTGTGTTACTTTTATCTTCATAGCAAATGAGAGCTAAAAATGTTAAAACAAAGCAAAAACAACCCAACCTCTTAAAACAGTGAATCAGGCCACAGGAGATGCTCTATTACAATTTATCTAAAGTCTGTGGAAACGTTCAATGTATCTGTAATTATTTTATGAGCAGTCACTTTAAAGACAAACAATTCTAATAGCAGTTGGAAATATTATTTTCTCCAGTTGCTGGGCTGTGTCCAACAAAAGGAAATTATGTGTCAAATTAATTCCAGTCACAAAATACTCTGAGATTTGCAAGTACATGAGGAGCGAAATGTTTTCCATGAATTCTTTAACGACTCAGCAACCTACTTTGGACCCAGGCCTTATGGCTCCCCTTCTCTGTGTTCATAACCTTGACCCCCTCCTCTCTCTTAAAGCAGGCCCAGCTGCTGTGGGGTTCCAGGGAAAGGAAGAGCAAGAACTCACAAGGTCGGGTATTAAAGAAGCTGTGGAAAGATTTGGCTTCCTACAGAAATCAGATTTTCCAAAAGCCCAGTGGGCCCAAACCCTGTTAGGCCTAGAAATGGCAAGTGAGGTAATGTAACAAGGTAACTCGACAGTCAGGGTCAGAACTGGAGCCCCATGAGAGCCCAACTCCTTTCAGCCTCAGGCCACACTACTGGCAGCTCAGGCTCCTTTGGCTCCTCCCACCCTCACCCGCTCTTCTCCACTCTACTACCCTGCACAGCTACCCTAATCCCAGGCAGCTTCATTTTCTCTGTTAAAGGAGGACAAATGGAAAACTAGGTAGCAGTAAAAGTCCATGCTCCTGAAGAGTAATGTCACGGGGAAAGGGTGGTTATAAGTGAGAAAGCAAAATCTAACTGTGCATATAAAACATCTAAAATCTGTACAAATTATATTTACAAACACTGGAAACACTGAAAGAAATACCTTGACATGTTAACAGTGATTATTCTTTTATGTGACTATGGGTGCTCCTTCTTTGTACCTGTCAGTATTTTTCCCAGTTTTCTATATGAGCATACACTAAAATTATATATTTTTAAAAGCAAAAAAATCACTGGACAAATAAAGCCCACATTACCTAGAATAGCTATGGAAAAACAACTGTCCTGTTAATAAGAAATAATTCTGTACCCTAAATATGTTAGTGGCTGACATAGAATAAATATCAGGTCCTTTGTATTTGGTCCATGTATCAAGAAACCATTTGTGTTAAACCCTGACAAAAGTAAGATATTTCAAAGTTTTTGTTTTCCTTGGCTAAGATGGTTCCCATGAACATTGTGAGAAATGTCACAATTTTCCACATCTGATTTGGCCAATATGTGGGAGGCACTGTCAGGAAAACCAAAGAATTTGAGGTTTTCCCCAAAGTTCTATTTCTTTAAGATTGCAAGTAGAGAGACATTCTCCCTCCTCTAACTCATCGTTTTCCCTTTGCCGAAGCATCAACAGTATTAATTCGCATTAAACTCAAAGGCAGGTGTAATATCCAGCCAAAGGAAAAAACTCAGGGCGGAGCTAGCTCACACTGGGATGCGTACTGGAAAGAATTAAGCTTTTCACATTCATTTCTGCAAAGTGAATTCATTGCCCGACTATTATTTGACATATTTTTGTTTGCAGGCTTGCAAAACATGTTATGAGGTGGAATGCCAGCTCTCATTTCAGCAAAGGCCAGAGCCTTAGTTCTTTTTAACTCTCTTTGATGCATTACAGTTTAAGCCAGCCGTGGGCAGTTTGAAATGAATAAAACTAAAAAAAAAAAAAAAAAAAAAAAAAAAGACCGTACCCTTTTATGCAATGATGTTTCCTTTGAATTTATATTAGTTCACACAAACACTCCATCCATGCTTTTGTTCCAGCCCTCTGGTCCAGTTTAAGAACCCATTGTGGCCCTCGAGTCAAAAAGTTTGCCCACCCCTGGTTTAAGCACATAGAAAGGAAGTGAGCATAAGCCTTCAGCAACATAAAACTGTCCCCCAAAATTCTGATTCACAAAAGCCTACTCATTCCCATGGACACAACTGACTGGGTGCTTACTAACTACTGTTCCTAGAGCTGGCTCATTTACCTTAAGGCGTCACTTGTGATTGGTATGCTGATTAAGTCCAATAAAGAGGTTCCTCCACCTAGTTCCCAAAAGTGAGCAATATCTTTTGGCTGAAAAAAAAAACAGGTGTTTTTTCTTCAAAGTAATTTTTTTGAATTTGAAATACTTATATTTCATTAGTACCAGTTAGTAATAATTATGGATACAAAATACTATAGTCCTCCATCAACCTTTTCTTGGCAGTTAAAACTTTTCTCTTTCTCTATCCCATCCCTCAAAATGCATCAAAACATCTACTCCAAAGAATAAAGATGAAGCATTAAGAACATATATGTATACATAAATGCCCTAATTCTAATAATTCTTTAATAGAAGACATAAACAGTACCCTAATTCTGTAAATAGCACATGTAGCAGACACTTACTCAAAAGTGATATAAAAATAAGTAGTTGAAAACGTTTGGTATTATCTTTTTGGAAACAGTTATGATTCTACATAGAAATAAAATCGCTGAATAAGAAAACATCCTGATTTAGGGATGGAGAGGCTCACAAAATCAATTAGACATACAGGTAGGGCATGGGGAAATGGGACAGACAGATGGCAGTCCCTGATGCAGACCAGGGTTACCTGAGCAAGGATCTGTGCCTGATGCCCCTGGGGAATCTGACAGGCAGGCTCTCACTGGCAATAAACAGCTGCTTCCCTGTTTATAGGACTCTTCAATATGAGGGGATGAAAGGGCGAGGCAGCTCGGAATCAAGACCATGACAAGCTCCCTAGACGGCTAGCCAATGACATCTCCGCTTCCGCCCTGACGCGGAGTCGCCATCAGGACACCACACTGTGAGGAGCTGACAAAGGGCTTCCATGTAGAACTCTCAGGGAACATTACATTCAGAAAGACATGAATCTTCTAGAATGAATATGGACAAGCTCACTTGACAGCACAAAGTTTAGAGGAAAAAAATAGGTGAAAAAAGCATCACATGAGCTTTTAATGTATCTACTAACCATGAACTTGGAAGAGACAGATGGTCATTAAAGCAAGTTTTAGATGAATATATGTATTTGACAAATCACCATCTCATAATCACTAAAGTTGTTTTTGCTGTTGATATCTGGATTATTAATGCCTGTGGGGGAAGTAATTTTGTCATTGGGGAATGTCAACTGATTTACAGTTTGATGAAAGGATGTTTTTAGAGCTCTCCTCAAAAGTTAAGATTATGAAAGTTGTCTCAGAGTTTCCATTTCTAAGTTTATCACTCATGTCAAAGTTCATGTGAGTAACAAAAATAAAGTTCTCCTGTATCTCAATATCTTGTTTTTTCTTTTCTTTTTAATTTCACAGTTTTAATAACCAACTCTCATTGCTGAATTCAGGAAGAAGCATCAGGCAGTTTTAACTCTTTACACACTGTCTAATCATCAGAATCTGGACTAAGTCAATCTATAAAAATTTGCCTGTGCTACAGAAGTGGGACCATCTATTCTAGATTGTTCTTCCATACAGCTAACTTTATTTAAGAAATGGCCTCTTTTCATGTGAGGACTCCAGAAGAGAATTCGATTTAGGCTTTTTAAAGAAAACCTCACAAATGCTATAAATTCCCCCTCTACACTGAATAATTTCTAACTTTCCTTTGAAGAGACATTAAAACAAGTGAAAATAGGATTTTAAACAATTAGGGCCTGCAGTCTAAAATAGTTTTACCAACCTCAGGGTATATTTTCTAATAATTTGCTTTTTGAGCAGTATATTTTCATAAATATTCCACAGGTCAAACATATTTTTAGAAGATTTTTTGGGGAGACACAGAAGGTAACTCACATATTCTCATTTGAAAGAAGAAAAAGTCACATTAATACAATTAATAAATTATACCCCCAAACCATACAATAAAGTTACAAAGGAACCTTATAATAGCATTTGAAGACATAACAAATGAGAAGGCCAAAATATTTTCAGTTTGGGTTAGCTTCATATCTGCTGAGTTGCATTTGAAGTTTAAAAGTACATAGCCATGAAGTGTACTGCCTGATATATTTACTGATTGTAGATAAGATGGAAAATGTAAAACAAAGTCAGCATCATTACTTCTCTGTCTGTGGGCATAGCAATATCACTTAAAAAGACACTCACTGTGTTATGCCCTTTAGCTTTTCTTCCATATGTATATTCCAAAGCTAAGGTTGGTTTTGGTGGCTCATCCCTGTACAATAAAGACAGACAGTATTACCATTATTTTCTTATGCTATCATCTTACCCGATAAATTTTTGCTTCCTCTTAAAACTTTAATCTACTAGTGGAGAAGTTACCTTGTATAATAGCATTGAGGTAAAAATGATTTTAAAATTATATAAAAAATCAATAAGCCTTCAAAACACCATCCTGATGGATTTTAGTGGCAGCTGCAGAGGTGAGTACCAGTGCCTGCGTGACCTGGTAGCCCAGCAGAGAGGCAGTGGGGCTGGCAGTGCTGATGGCTGTTAGGGCACAGGCTCTCCGCATCCAGGCCAGGTGGAAAGCACTGACATCAGGGTCATGCTCAGCCTTGCTATGGGGAGCGGGGAACCTAATGACCATCAATTTAGTGAAGACATCAGTGGAGACTTAAATACAGTTCTCTACCTTAAATCACAGCTCAAATGCGGGCATCATTTATCTACCAAGAGCTACCAACAAATGACATTAGTGACTCCTAAACATCGACAAATGATTTGAAAAATATTAAAATCACCTTATAAATTATTTACACTACAGCTTACATTGCTTGGTAAGCAGTCTTATGGTTTATTTATTTATTTGTTTGTTTTACTCTAGTAGCAAGACATAACATAAGTTGATGATCTTAACCATTTTTAAGTGCACAGTTCAGTAATGTTAAGTATATTCACATTGTTATGCAACCACACTTCTGAACTTTTTCATCTTACAAAACTGAAACTTCAAACTCATTAACAATTCCCAATTTTCTCCTCCCTCCAGCCTCTGGTAAGCTTCTTTGTTTCTATAAATGACTAGATACCTCATATAAGTGGAATCATACAGTATTTTTTTTTGTGACCAGCATATTTCATTCAGCATATGTCTTCAAGGTTCATCCATGTTGTAGGACTTCGTTCCTTTTTAATGCTGAGTAATATTAGTATTTAACTATTTTAAATTTGGAGGATAAAAATAATTTTTAATTTGCGATTTATACATGTATGCTTATTGAATATTTTGTATATCACTCCTGTACTTTTTTCATTTATATATATGGAATATTTGGTTCTATTTCCTGTAAGATAAGAATTTCCTTTATGAAACAAAACGCTGCTTTTAAGACAAAATTTTAAAACTCTGATATTTAACCTACAATTTGAAGAACTGTTCTTTTTCTAAGTAGACTATCAAGGAACCCAAATTCGTAATTTTCGGTTCAATTTAGATGTTGTCCTAAGCTGATGTTGTGCTGGATGACGTATCTGTAATGAGAAACACACCTGCCCTGAAAAGAGCCATGGCTCCTGGGGATGGAAGGATGGAGTAGGTATCACTGTGGATGGTTCTTCTAAGAAACAATTCTGCTGACGAGGAATTACACGAAGCCAACATTCTATTATTTGTATTACTTAATAATATTTTGCAAATGAATGTTTCTTTAATGTGACCTTAAGACCAGATTCCATCTCTCTCGCTGTTTTTGGAGAAGTTATAAGAAAGGCATTGAAATAAAGGGAACAGAGAAATATCCCCCAAATTGGCTGGAGGCGTTCCTTATCAACTTCCCACAATATCTAGCCATTATAATCCTAAATCTTAATCTGATGCCAGTATAGAAGGTTAAAACGTACAGAAAACAAATGGTAAAATGTACAGTTTGAGGACCAACATTCTGCTTCAAAATTCTATCAATGAGTAATTTAAAGATTATGACTAACATTCAAATAATCATGGACTAGATAGAATAAAAACAATTAAAATACCACAGTAGTACAGCCAAAAAGAAAGTAAGTGTAGGCTGTGTAGTCATGTTAATTTCTCCATGAATAGGGAAGTCCAATATTAATGCTGTATAATTTTTTTAGTTACTGTTGGTTTTATTTTTTAAAGAAGGTCTTAAAGACCATACTAAGCGTTCACTAAGAATTATTCTGTTTGTACCTCAAAATTGTTCTCCTTCCATATGTCTTTTAGTATCTAACTTGCCTTATGCAAGCAAAAAATGTAGTCTAAATGTTAACATAACACTTACCTGTCAAGAGATCTTAGAATAATAGTAGTCTTGCCCTAGAAATTTAAAAGAGCAATACTGTGTTAATGTCATCCATATGTAAAATTTTACTATTGTTCATAGTTGTGGCCCAAAATAGCTTTTTAATTACTTGAATGATAAATTACCTGGAAACTAGAAACTTTCAGAATTGTTCCCAAGTTTGATAAGTGGAAAAAGTTAACTGTCAACTTTCCATCACAGTGTAGTAACTACACTGCTATTATTATAATTATAAAGCCCCTTGGATGACAAATACTAGCAAATCATACCTCACTTTAGTGGTCAACTTGTCAGCTGCCTTAAGTTTTCTTTTTACTCATCAATGCTAATTACTGGTTAAGCTGATGATTAGTGTCTTCTAAAATGTTTGAATTCTAATTGTTGAAGTGGAAATAAAGAAAAAAGATAACATGCAAATAAAGGACATGTTGCAAATATGTTCAAAGTAAGCAATCCAGATACATGGTTAGAGTATTTTTTTGTTTTATTTCTAAAGGATTTCTATTTTTTTAGGACCACATACATAAATTATTTTAATATAATTAAAAATACTAACAGACTGTAAAAAAGGGCCCAATCTAATAAAGTTAAGGACAAAACCAATAGCATAAATGAAAGACTTACAGATCTCAAGCTCAACCTTAGTGAATAGGGTTGTGTGATTACTAAATTTTTTTCTTTATTTTTTTCCATCACCATTTAAATTTTTTTTTTTTAATATATTTTATTGATTTTTTACAGAGAGGAAGGGAGAGAGATAGAGAGAGTTAGAAATATCAATGAGAGAGAAACATCGATCAGCTGCCTCCTCCACATCTCCCATTGGGGATGTGCCCGCAACCCAGGTACATGCCCTTGACCGGAATCGAACCTGGGACCTTTCAGTCCGCAGGCCGACGCTCTATCTACTGAGCCAAACCGGTTTTGGCCATTTAAATTTTTTTATACAATAAAGCCAAAGCTCAGCATCTGGGAAAAGAGAAGCTTGCAGACCTGCCCTTGTCTATTTTAATGAAACAAAACCTCAAAATTTCTGTTCCATCCTGAGAATTACACATTAGGATAATTCTAGTTAAGATTTACTGAGATCGTGACAGATAGAGAATCCATGACTGACATAGAGTCCATGACACAGAAGACACGGCTGAAAGAAATGAAGATAAAGCTGAAACAGATGCTCGGGGAGACAGGATAGTTGCCATTAACTATTTGATGAGCCATTTTATAATATTTGAAAATTTAGCAAATAGAAAAGGAATTCGATTTATTCCCATAGTTTTACGGGTCAGAATTAGGACCAAGGGGTGGAAGTTACAAACGGAAGTTTTCTAATAACTAGGAGTTAACAAAAACCGAAACAGGCTACAGTTTTGGAAGAGAACTCCCCCACTGCTGGAGATGTTCAAACTCTAAAACCACTGTTTGCAATAGCCCTTAACCTTTTCGGGAGGTGCTAGAATGCTGGGATATTCTAATTTCCCAGAAAAATGCACAAATGCACAATCACACAATTTTGCATACATTTCTAGGGAATTCACTGATCCCAAGAAGTATCTCTACGGTCCCCAGGGTTAAGAATCCCTATTGTAGAAAACTAGAAATATCTCCAAGTTTCCTTCAACTTCTGTGACCCCAGTAAGTGAAGGTTAACCATATCATACTTATATGGTTCATGTTTATATTATCTATATGCTTATGTCCGTTGTACAAGTGGTCATCAGGTTAGCATTTATGGTGCCTTTGCTCAAATTGGGAAGAGATGGCTCCTCTGGGCAGTCTAATTAGAGACAAGTGCCCCTTCCTCCAAGCTGCTGTGGCCCACCTCAGGGACACCAACGACAAGTGTTCAGGCCGGATGTGAGTACCCACTCACCCATAAGCAGGACACCCTCAGATGGGGCATAACCAGCTCCAACGTAACCAGCAGGCCAGAGACTCATTAGATGGCTCAAGAGTTGAAGTATCCACATTTTTATCAACGTATTAATACAAATTTTACCGCTAGTTGTTAAAACATCACAATACTTGGAAAAAATTAGGAAAAATTACCCCATTTTTACTGCCAATGAAGAAAACGGATTTTTCTCCAATTTCAGCTCCATCACCTTCACTTCCGTTACTTTCCCGTTTTTCCACTTCAGCTTTTGCAATTTCCCAGAGCGTTTCACTAAATGAGAGGCAGGAAAACAAAATTCAGAGGAACAAGAAGGCTCCTTTCCATTATTTATTTCAAGCTCAGAGCACTTTTATTTCAGTCAAATTTATAAAACGAATCAACATTATTTCCTGGAGGACAATAAACTGGTAAAACTGCTGACTGAGGATTAGTCATTTTCCTTGTACTGGTTCATCAGAGAAAGCTGACCATGATACGCAGAGCCTTTCACCCCAGACTTTGAGGGTTTCTAATTCTGGGGCTCCAGGCGAGGCTGAAAGCTGTATGTGTGAGCTTCTCAGGCACATACGAATATCCAACTTTGGGAAAGATATAACTTGAAAAACAGCATCTGGGCAAATGGGGGAAGGTGTAAAACCAGTGTACCAAATGATCTCTGCTCCCTCAACTATTCCTATTTTTAAAATTATATTTTTAACTCAGGATTCCCTTATTTTTAAAAAAAAATATATATTTTATTGATTTTTTTTTTTTTTTTTTTTTTTTTTTTTTTTTTTTTTTTTTTTTTTTTACAGAGAGGAAGGGAGAGGGAGAGTTAGAAACATCGATGAGAGAGAAACATCGATCAGCTGCCTCCCGCATGCCCCTCACTGTGGACCGAGCCCGCAACCCAGGCATGTGCCCTTGGCCGGAATGGAACCTGGGACCCTTCAGTCCGCAGGCCGATGCTCTATCCACTGAGCCAAACCGGCCAGGGCAGGATTCCCTTATGTCTAATACAGAAAATATAAAGAAAAAAATCACCCAAAATCACATTTTGAAAATCATTTTCATTCATATCTCTACACACACATATAATTTTACACAAATATGATTACATCATTTTTTAAATTAAAGCTTAATGTGAAAAATGGAGTATTGAACTAAAAAGAATGAGCGAGATCTGATGTGTTGTATGCCTGAATCTGCTACTTTCTACATATGCCAACTTGGGCAAATTAAGCCAACTTCTCTGGATCCTTCGTTCCTTTATTAGTTCAGCAAATATTTATTGGGCACCTAATACTTGCAGGTTTCTGTGCCTGTCCCCTGTTTCTTCATCTCTAAAATGCGAATAAAAAAGCATACCAACCTGATAAGATTGTCATGATTGATTATTAAAATGCATCATTTAGTTTAGGGCTTGGCCGACATATAATTATTAAGAGCTTATAATAATTGCTATTCAAAAAAAAATGTTATTCAAGAACCAAGGATGCAGAAAGGAGCTAAAGCAGGTGTCCCTAAATGTTTGCACTAAAATTCACATTCATTCCACAGGTGAGCCCCCTGGAACTCAGTCCAGGCCTGTCTGCTCTTTACTTACATGCCATTCTCTCAAAGCGTGATTATCTGCTTTCCAACTTCCCAACGAGAGGAGAGAAGGAGGCGCTGCCACCAGTCTTGCCGCTGGTGGAAAGTTGTAACTATAGCCAGAACTTTAAAATCGTAACCCATGGTACGGTTACTGGGAAACTGACGATTTCTCACACAAGATTCATAGCCTCCTCAGAGATCACACTGCCAACCCACAAGGTGAGAAAACCCCATTCACGCTGCTCTGTGATGGACTCCAGGAACCCCGTCTCCTCCACGTCCTTACACATTGTTCAGAGAAGGTTTAGGGGTGGCCTTGGGAACAGGGACTTAAAACTGGCACCACAGAACTGAAGAGCTACAATGTACTTGACAGGTCATCCCTATCCCCTCCGCTCCCTCCCCTCGCTTTTAAGCACGATCCTACACTTAGTGCTGCCGCAGGTCCCACCCCCCCCCCCCCCCCCCCCGTTTACTGTTGTCGTGAACCCCTGCACCAGGAGGGGGTCCCGAAGGAAGTGGCTTTGTGAACCCCTGCTCCTAGGCATTCCATTCCCTGTCCTGCAAGAAACTTTTATTGAGTAAGTGCATGGTTGGAGTTGAATGTTTCCAAATCTCTTCCTTTCTACCTGGGGAACTTTCGGCAGAATCCACACGCGCAAGGGCAGTTCCCACGGGTCTCTGACCACCCAGGCACGGGTTGCAAGCAGGACACACCTACAATTTTCTCCCACTATCGGATTCCGCGTGGGCTCCCCTCCCAAAATACACCCCCAGCGGCCTCTCCCTCCCCACCCCTTCCACGCTAGGGTGGGAAAGAGGGGAGCGTAAGCCTGGCGCGAGCAGGGATGCGGGGATACCTGGGCATAGTGGCTCTGCAGCCCCAGGGTCCGAGCTCCGCGTGGGGCCCAGCTTAGAAATTAGACCGCAAACTCCGAGGTGGGCCCGGGCAAGCAGGCTCTTCGGTTGCCATGGGAGCGACGTCACAGGCTGGGTTGCGTGCAGAAGAAGGGCTTTATGGGAAATGTAGTTCTCAGTGTTCTTTTTCAAGTCTCAAGCTCAGCCGCATCTCCCAGAATTTGCAAGAACGAAGTGACACGCGGTAACAAACTCTTTGATCTAAAAGTTCTCGGCTGCAAGTGTTCTTTCATTAAAAAAATTCTATTGAGTACCGAATATATGCCAGGATTCTCTATTCTCTTTCTCTCTCTCTCTCTCTCTCTCTCTCTCTCTCTCTCTCTCTCCCTGTCTTCCAGGTAGCTTTCTCTTGCCAATAGCAGTAATTTGGGAATGGAGAGTGAAGCAATCTCCCGAGCTATTTTCTAGTGATTTACTAGCGGCAAAGAATATTATGATTTTGTATTTCCCAACTTTCTGCTTATTTAGTTGTTTCCGGTTTTATGCAACAGCACATTATTTATTAACAGGTTAATAAAGTCAATGCATCTCCACAATATTTCACTTACTTTACCTCCAAATCAATAATAAATATTGATTTAGTACTGTATGCAAAACTGTGTGCTACACAGAGTAAGAAATGAAGCGATGAGTAAGATAAGATCCTTACCCTTGAGAAAGATATACAATAGTAATTAAATAACCCAAAGGAAGCCAGTGATATAAACTATTGCAGAGGTCCCTCAAATTACATAAGAATAAGTGACTATGCCCATTGCTGTTGGGGGAACATTCATGGCAGTGGCAGTGGCTGATCTATCTTGAATGCTGAGTAGACCCAGGCTTTCCAGCTCAAGATGTCCTGGATATTTGAAGGAGATACTCTCCCTGCACCCTTCTGCCACTGGCTTGGTTTCTGTGGTGTAATGTTCAGGCACATGGACCTTAAAGTGAGATAGACCTGACTCAGCCACACTGTGAACATTTGTGTCTTGTTTTGGAGTTATTTGCTAATAGATATTGGCTTAGTAAGAGTTTTTGTTCCTTGCCTATTACTGGATCCCAAAATACTTCAAACATACAATGAAGATTTTTGGATTGATGTTGATTATAAATATGCCTTCAGAATCATTGTGACTGTTTAACTTAGGTAAAATTATAATATGAAGCAAGTGTTTATCTCATCTCCTCACCCCAGTCTCTGCCCAGGCCCATCCAACTCCTCGCTGTAGGAATGACCTCCCCACTTTCCCACTTAAATGCCCAAGAAAAGCCGGAGGTTTGGTCCCACTGAAATATGGATGAATCTCACTTTACCCTAAATATCCATGTGTGGACTTTACATTACTTTGGAGTTTAAAATTACTCACGCACCAGTAAAACCCCTTTCTTCTTTTAGGGAAAAGAGAATAGGGGAGAAACGTGAGAGGAGATACAATTTCTACATGAGCCATGTGGCAGAGAAACTCCTCCTCTGTTATTCCTGTTCCCTATTCCCCCCATTTCAGTGCCTACAATCCTGAAGCCTTGGCTCCACAGACATCAGCCCAGAGACTGCACTGAGTGAGTCCGAATTCCCTGGCAGCTCCGGGGTGGGTGCACGGGTGAAATGTGTTCTTGGCATCCCAGGAACACGGAAAGACTTTTTCTGGAGAAATAGGGTTATCCATGGTGGTTAGTGCTTCAGGATTATACTTCCGTAAAATTATGGGTTAAATGTGTTGTTCCAGGAACCTGACCACCTTTTTTTTCTATTTTTCTATTAAAAAACACTCCAACCAACCAACTAATATACACAATTTTAGAACAAAGATTCTATAAGTTGTGACTAACTTTTCTTGTAAATGGAGAGTTAAATTCATTTCCAAGCTCTGGCAGTATTTGACTTTAAGGACACACACACAAAACATAGAACCATTCAAAATAAATTTTTAGAAAACAGTCCATTCAACTCATCTATATGCAATAAGCTCCCTTAAGGGGTTAATATGAAATCATGGGAGAAGCCCATGATTTATACATATTGTATATGTGTCAATATGCATACACATGTATTAAAATTATAACTTGCCCAAACAGCTTCCTTTTATATGGATAAAACAAAGCAACACTGAAGACAAAGCATGAATATAAGAGAAAGAGGTAGTAACTACCATTTTCACTATGAGTACACCTCAGTTTTGACAATGAAAACGTTAGCTACTTCTTTAAGATTATTCAAAATATAATGCTCAAAATGGGCTTTGTAAGTCATTTATTATGATTGAAAGGTAAGAAAATGATAGGGGACACATATTACAATTAAACATGTAACATTATTCTCTTGTAGCCAATCATAATAACATAGTTTTAATTTTTTAAATATCTATATAAGTAATTTTCCAGAAAATGAAATTTTCACATCATCCGTTACAGAAAATTGACTTCTTTCCATCAAAATATTTTATCTCTGCTCTATCAAAATTAATACTGAGTCTAGGGTACTAAGGTTTAAGCTAAGCCTTCAGAACTTGTTTAAATGAGAAGATTTAGGGTTGCTTACCAAATGGTGAACTAACTATTGCCTGGGAATAAAGTTCTCACACATATTTAACAGCTCTGCCAAGTCTCTGGCTCACCAACTAATGATTTTTTAAATGGTTTTCTGGGAACTTAAAAACTCTATTGCATCCCAGCCAAAAAGCCTCCTGAGAGTCATCTCAAACCAGGAACCAGTTTATTCTCAAAAACGAATTTGCTTACACAATAAGTGGTTGTGGCTCAAAAGATTTAGGGAAAATAGTAACTGGAAATCTCTTTCTATGATTTGTTGTTGCTGTTCTTGTTTTATCATTGCCAAAAAAGCAACATCTTACTTAAGCAGCACATTTCATGGCTGTCCTTTCTAGGGATGGAACATTTGTAAAAGGCTTAGTGTGAGAACAGTACACTGCCATAGGGAGCAAAGAAGAAAACATGAAGGCTCTGCCAACAAATGAATTCAAGCAGCTAACATTTTTTTTTTCTTCAAATTGGTTTAAAAAAGTACCATACACAAAGTGATAAATATGTCCAAAAAATAAATACAAATATTCTACACATAAATAAAATTAAGTATACTAACTACCATCACAATTAAACATCTTATAATTTTCATGTCTTATCACAGTTTCATATTTATCAAGAATACTAATTACTATGTCCTGACACATACTACAATGTCACTGACCATTTAAGTAGCCTAGTAAAAGAATATATTTCTAGGCTCTTTCAACTAAAATTTCACCTCCTTTGACAGAAATATTACTTTCTCTTCTTATAAATAAACTAGAGGCCCAGTGCACGAAATTCATGCACGGGTAGGGTCCCTAGACCTGGCCGGCAATCAGGGCTGATCTGTGGGGCAACCAGTGGGGCGACTGGGGGCCCCCGCTGGCACCCGCCTTGACTGGCCTGGGGCCTGCGGGCTAGAGGCAGCTCCTGCGTTGAGCATCTGCCCCCTCGTGGTCAGTGCACATAATAGAGACCGGTCATTCCACCGGTTGTTCCACTGTTTGATTTGCATATTAGACTTTTATTATATAGGATTTTTTTGGAATTTATTTTCAAACTACCATGAAAAAGGACTATATGAGGCAAAAATTTAAGAACTGTCTTTGTTTTCAACGATATTATTATTTAACAAACCAAGGTCAAGATGGCCCAGCATCAAATGCAATGAAATGTGGGCAATATTCCAGTAAACGCAGGCTCTGTTGACAACCAAGGAATGTCAGGAATCACTGTCTCGTTTTAAATTTTACACTCTAGTGATCTGAAAGCTGATGGTGTATGCTTCCTAATATTACATAGGAAGTTCTGGTTACCTAACTCCTGTTTTCTCACACAATGATTCATCAGGCCAGAAGATTTACTGAACTGGCTCTAAAAATTTATACATAAACACCATCCTGCAGCTGTTTCTTACACTGTGCACACCACTTCTTTCCAAACACATTAATTAAAATACATTTAATTACAGTACTTAGCTTTTTGGCATTATTTCCAAATATTCAACTTGTTTGCCAAATGAGAGTTTGGAATCTCCCTTTCTAAAGATTGCCAGAATGTTTTTTAAAAGAAGAAGAAGAAAAAATAAAAAAAACCATATTACATGATGTGTCGGATAGCAAGGGAGAAGGGAGACAGAAAAAAATTACAAATTCTAACCCATTTAATCCAGGAGAACATCAGTATGTGTGCAAATTTTGTGTGTTATGTGTTATTAGTATTCATTTGAATATTTATAAATAAAACAAATAACCTTCATTATTTTTAAAATCTGGAATACGAGTATGTGGGTGCCATGTTGCCAGGATGTAAATAAACTTATTTGGAGCAGATGCAGCCACTGCTTAGAGGACAGGGAGTGATGTTCAGGCCCCCCACACTTTCAGAGTAAAGTGGGGCCTTTGGTTGGTCTGCTGCTTGAGAGCAGAGGCTGGCTTCCCATCGTCCTGGCGTGGGGACCCTGGTTCCGGGCTGAGAGCAATGCTGGAGCAGAGAGGTGGTGAAACGCAGCCTTTTGCTGATGGAAGTTGTTTATGTAACTGGCGATCAAAAGCGTGATTTCAAGAATCTAAAACAAGAAAAATAGAATTGTTATGCCCCTGAGAAGTTCTCATTATTTCCAAAAGGAAGTGTTAGCTATGGGTAGTCTCTATTTGCAAGTGCCAAGGCTACTAGCATTCCCTTCTACGCAGATCAAACAATGAGGCATTTACATGTTAGCATGCACGTTTATTTACTGCATTTAGTTAGTGACATTAGTTTGCTAAAAATAGTAAAGAAAAGTATGTTTTAATCATAAAATCTCAATCTTCCCACTAATGGATCAGTAAAGTGAATTACGCCAAGTAAATACGATAATGCATATAAAGTTCCTCACAACAACTTACACCAAGGCCACTTATGTTGAACCTTCTGTATAGCAAGCATTGGGCTAAATACAATTCCTTCATTTAATTCTTAAGTAAACAAACAAACAAAAGGTAGCATCATACCATTTAATTTTTAGATGAAGAAACCAAGGCTTTAAAAAGTAGAGGTAAGCCAGAATTTGGAGCTAGGGTGTTTGACTATAAGTGAAGTCTGTTTTCTCCCTGGAACTTAGTCTTTGCACAATGAATGTTTTAGTGTGAAAGAACACTAGCATAAAGAGTTGGTTCAAAGAATTCTACTCACCTTGGGTTTTGCCATGGCAAAAAGTAATTTCTCTGTTGGTTTGTCCTTTGAATGCGTATTGCTAATGACCATCATAAAGTCATCTTGATATCCTCCAAATGTCATTAGACTCTTGTACACATAGCTGACTATTAACCTCTTCAAAGAGAAGTAAGTATGTTATACACTCTTTATTTTCAAAGACAGATAAGAAGTGATTAATAGCATATCTCCATTAAATGCTGATATTAATTAATTATGATATAATACAAACATTTTTCCTAAAGTCAAATTTACTGTGATCCAAAATAGATAGTAGTATACTAATTTTATTTATCATTTACCTTTATAATTAAAATACATTTTGATTTTGAAACAAATAACTCACTTTAGGAAAATGAGAAAAAATACAAGAAGAAAATAAAAAGCGTCTACCTTCCAGCATTCAGTGGAAAGCCACTGTTAATATTTTTGTATACGTCCTTTAATATTTTTGTATATGTCTACATATGTACGTTTGGTTTAACCATATGAAACTGATACTTTTTAGAGTAAAACATGTCAAATATTGGCAAATCCATATGGTTTATACTGATTTGCATACTTTGATTTACACAGACAAAAATAGTATCATGCACACTGATTCTTTTTAAATTTAACTACATATTGTGAAAATCTTTCCATGACAACAAATGTACTTATATAACGTCTTTACCATTTCTTATTTAACTAAACTCCTATTACAGAACATTTAAATCATTTTTGTCACTAACTTAAGCAACACTCCAATGCATATTTTTCAACATATTTTGTAATACACATATGTAATTATTCCTTTGGTTAAAAACATCAACAGCTGGAATTGCTATCTCAAGAAAATAAGGACAATATTTAGAATATTTCCAAACTCCTCCAGAAAGGTTATACCCATTTATGTACCCAGCACCTAACACTAAATATCATTTTTTGAATCTCTGCCAACCTCTGACTGGTGAAAAGTAGAATCTCACTGTTTTAAATTGAATTTATTTGATTACTAGTGAGGTTAACATTTTAAAATATATGTACTGAACATTTGTATTTCTTCTGTAAATTGCCTTGCACCATTTGTCTATAGGTGTGTTGATCACTTCCTTATTATTTTTTAAAATGTGTTTTTATTGATTTCAGAGAGAGTAAGGGAGACAGAGATAGAAACATCAATGATGAGAGAGAACCATTGATCAGCTGCCTCTTGTACTGGGGATCAAGCCCGAAATCCAGGCATGTACCCTGACCAGAAATTGAACCAGTGATCTCCTGGCTCATGGGTCGACACTCGACCACTGAGCCACACTAGCTGGGCCATTTCCTTATTGTTTTATTAAGACATCCATGTTTATAAAGGATACCAACCCTTTATCATATATGCAGCACATATTTTTCCTAATGTGTTGCTTAAACAATTTAAAAAATATTTTCAAAGATGTGCAGCCTAAAAGGAAAGGAATTTGCACATCTAATGGTTAGTTCGCAAGAATGAGCAGACCATTCCAGCACTGACTGGCTCAAGGCTCAGCCCACACATGTCCACTTCCTGGCTGTTTACCCACCTCCCACAATCTAGGGAACTGGTTTTCTTAGGTAAGATAACTCAATCATGGTGTACAATGTTTTGTTGACTTTATTTTTTTTATTTTATTTTTTTTTAAAAAAATATATTTTATTGATTTTTCACAGAGAGGAAGGGAGAGAGATAGAGAGTTAGAAACATCGATGAGAGAGAATCATCGATCAGCTGCCTCCTGCACATCTCCTACTGGGGATGTGCCCGCAACCCAGGCACATGCCCTTGACCGGAATCGAACCTGGGACCTCTCAGTCCGCAGGCCGACGCTCTATCCACTGAGCCAAACCGGTTTCGGCGTTTTGTTGACTTTAAATCCGATTTTAGAATCTATCTTCAAGTTATCCATTCAAGAACTAAAAGGCATTCAAAAGCACAAACTCCTTCCAAAACATTTTTTAAAGCGATTATAAGGAGAAACAGTTACTATAACACTTAAAAATAGTTGGATTTCCAAAAAATTCTCAGTGATCACTGACTATCCACAGTTGGAGAGCCCACGATACCTACCAGGTAAAATGTAGCAATTCCTGCCTGCCAGCTTAAAAAAAAAACCACAACATTTTTACTATGTAATATGAATCATATGAAGTAAATAAATGACACATAGACAGCATATCTGACTTTATATTTAATCACAGAAAAAGGTCTAAGATACTGTCTAGGTACAAGTAAACTGATAAGTGAGATGACAGGAAATTACAGAAATCCTCAGACGCCTTCGGGAAACTGAACTTAAGTTTCTATTTTAATGTTATTTGTTATTTTTTCATTTTACACAGGAAGCAATCTTCCTAACATTATAAATGGTCATTTAAAAATACAACCATGATTACAATGCGGTCATGGTGTCTTGATATTTTTCTCATACACAGTACAGGCATACCTTTGGTTTATTGCGCTTCACAGATTTTTATTCAAATTGAAGGTAAGACCCTCCACCAGCATAAGATTATTACTCACTAAAGGCGGTGGTGATGGTTAGCATTTTTTAGCAATAAAGTATTTTTTTAAATTAAGGTATATATATTGCTTTTTTTTTAGACATAATGCTATTGCACACTTAGCAGACTACAGTCTAGTGTAAACGTAAATTTTACATATACTAGGAAACCAAAACATCTGTGTGACTTGCTTTATTGTGATATTTGCTTCACTGTGGTGGTCTGGAACCAAACTGCATATCTCTGAGCTATGCACGTATAGAACCTGTCTAGTCTTGTTTTAGAAGATTAAACTGTAATCATAGTTGTATATTTATAAAATGACTATTCATTATATACTATTAGGAAGAAAATCAGACTAAGATATCATTACCTTCTGCTTACAGTACACTGAACAATAGACTCAGTGCAAAACGTCAGGATTTAACCTTACCATGGAGCTGTATTCTAAGATGCTTAAACCATCCTCATGTATAGCCAGCCACAGGAAAGTATTTCCAAGCGATGATGGAGTTATGGGCTATGAAGAAGTGAAAATACACTTTGTAATAAATGCTAAGCAAATTTACAGAAACATTTTTTCAGCTAAAGATAATGCAACATTTAAAACAACAACTATTAAAAATCTCTCTTGGGGAGGAGGCAGTGTGGCATAATGGAAAGAGCAGTGAATCTGATATTAGGAAACCTGGGTTTGGGATCCAAAATGCCCATTGATTAATGTGTGTATTGGGACAAGCTACGTGATCTACCCCCTGGCAGGGTCAGTCCCTCCATCCTCAGTGTTCCTGCCGCGCTCTGCTCATGTCACTCTTGGCCATATTCACCAGCCAGTACTTGTTCCCAGGCCCATTGCAACACTGGATTGTGAGTTCCTGGAAGTTTGAGTACAACCCATCTGAAACCACAAGCTTAAGTATCCCCTAGAGAGCCTAGCTCGGTGTTTGACAAACAGAATTCATAAAATATGAAAGAAATGAGCAAATGAGCGAGAGACTAGATGAGTGAATGGCTGCATGAATGAAGAGAAGAAAGCAAAGTTCAGCTGCTGTCTTCAGTCTAATGCTGAGCCTAATGAGTGTAAGAAATGACCTAAGGGAGGCGGGGAGTGGAGCAGAGGGGAAAAGATGGAGAAGCTGATGGCTCTCCTGCCTTTTACTTATTGTTTAAACTGTTGGAAATTTCCTTATTTTCCTTTTAAACACCGAACCTATAAACCTGGGATTACTGTTACCACTGTTTTATTTACTGAACTGAATTATCCTCCATCTTCCTTACTTTTGCAAGGAACAACTTGGCACCAAAGAATGGCCACTTCCTGGCTACTGTCAAATAAATTCGCACACAATCAGCAGCACTGTGTCCCCGGAGGGCCATCCATCTGGTTGATAGTCGCTGGCAAAGCTGCCTAAAAAAAAAAAAAAGAAAAGAACAAAAAACCAAAAGCAAAATATAAAGTGGATCGTCCTCCTAAGAGAAGGCTCTTCTTAAGCCAGTCCTAGGCAGAACTGGGGTACCTAGACCCAACCTATGTGAAACTGTTATTTGGTGACTCTCATGTAACCACAGTCTACCCCTTGACCTTTTTGTAGTATTCCTTTCACCAAATCCTTAGTATTAGTGCTCTCAGCATGACCTAGGTTTCCTGTTTCCCACCCACTTCAGGTACACTTAAAAAATCTGATGAATGCCCAGCCAGCGTGGTTGAGAGCTGACCTATGAACCAGGAGGCAGTGGCTCGATTCCCAGTCAGGGCACATGCCCGAGTTGCGGGCTCCATCTCCAGTGTGGGGCTTGCAGAAGGCAGCCAATCAATGATTCTCTCTCATCATTGATGTTTCTATGTCTCTCTCCCTCTCCCTTCCTCACTGAAATAAAAAAATATATTTTTAAAAATATCTTGATTAGCTAATATAAAATCTCAGTATAAATTCTTTTAACAGGTAATTTCTCATGGGAATAACTTTCATTTTTAAAGAAAAATACAAGAAGTTGAGACCAAAGAATAAGTCCCTAACAGTGGAACTTTAGGTACTGCAACCCGTGGCTTGTAGAAATACTGGATGCAGGGAAAACCTCTTTTAAACCCCTTCTTCTACATAGAGAAAAGACTCACCTCAAATGTCCCTATTTTGGAAAAACTCATTGTGAACTAGATTTCCTCTATTTTTAAATCTAAAGCTTTTCTTTACATGCTCTCAAAAATCAAAACTCCAAGTTAGCTGAGTTTAATTTAAAGCTTTATATTAAAAAATCTTGTGTAGCCAAAACCAGTTTGGCTCAGTGGATAGAGCGTCGGCCAGTGGACTGAGGGGTCCCAGGTTCGATTCCGGTCAAGGGCATGTACCTGGGTTGCGGGCACATCCCCAGTGGGAGATGTGCAGGAGGCGGCTGATCGATGTTTCTCTCCCATCGATGTTTCTAACTCTCTATCTATCTCTCTCCCTTCCTCTCTGTAAAAAATCAATAAAATATATTGAAAAAAAAAATCTTGTGTAAGATGATAGTTTATTTTTATTCCAATTTGTTCATAATAAAATACCCTAAGAGATAAAAAAAAAAACAACAACCAACTTTTGGTAATCACTTCATCAAATTAAACATATTATTGACCAATTTTTTTCTTTTATTTCCTAAATCTAAAAAGTTTTTAGGCATATAAATAAAAAGATGTATAATTTCTTGGGATTCACCACTATTAAAAAGCCTTGAAAAAAAAAGTCATATACAATTTTTTTTCATCTTTAAAATACCACCAAAAAACAAGTGTGGCTCTGCCTTTAAGAGTTACAAGAGGTTCCTTACCTTACCTGCTCTTCAGAGGAGTCATCTCTATACCTTTTAGGGTAAAATTTCTCTATGACTTGTTTTAGAGTTTGGTTTGCTTTGCACTGATTAGTAACATGGCCTGCTGGGGTTGAAAAAGGTCTTTCAAAATCTCCAATCTCCACCTAATTGGAAATCCAAAAAAAGAGAAAACAAAGGATAAGAATTTTAAAAAAGAGAAAATCAGTTTTATTCTTTCTAAGCATTCTTTATAATATATAATTACATATCCTATCTAATAATAGACAAACATGGTAATTGACCATACCTTCGCTATGCCTCCCATTGGCTAATCAGCGTGATATGCAAATTAACCGCCAACAAAGATGGTGGCTAATTTGCATACCGCAGGCAGGGTGGGACAGCGCAGCTGCCAGCGCAAGAGCCGCCAACCAGGACCCGTGTGCGACCCCAGAAGCTGCCTGCCTGCCGCCCGCTGGGCCACAGGTCGGCCCCAGAAGCCACCCAGAAGCCAGTGATCGGGGGGAGATGGGGGTCCCCTGCCCAGGCCTGAAGCCTGGGCCAGAGGCGTCAGGCCTGGGCCGGGGGGGCCAAGCCGGCGACTGGTGTGAACTACAGAGGAAACACCTTTTCTTACCACTCATTGGCTAAGCTCCCTGTATGCCACTGGTAATATTCTTAGTAACTCGGGTAATAAGAATCCAAAAAGGTGATCTAGGGTTTTTCACTACACTCCTGGCGAAAAAAACGAAGGTCCGCTGCTAGAGGGCTAAGAAATGTCATATCCTGCCCTAGCCGGTTTGGCTCAGTGGATAATGCCTTGGCCTGCCAATGGCAGGGTCTGAGTTCAATTCTGACCAAGGGCATGTACCTAGGTTGCAGGCTCCTCCCTGGCCGGGGCCCAGGTCAGGGCTCATGCAGGAGGCAACCAATCAAAGTGTTCCTCTCACTTTGATGTTTCTCTCTGTCTTTCCCTTTCTCTTTCACATTCTCTAAAAATCAATGGAAACATATCCTCAGGTGAGGATAAAAAAAATAATAAAGAAATTATTATTATATGAAAGACACATCTTGAAAATGCCTAAAGAAAGTTGTCATTTTTTCATGGTGAAGGGACTGGAGTCTGTGTTGATGAAAAAACCTTGCTGGCTGCGGTGACTGGCAGTGGCTGCAGCAGCAGGATGATGAGGCTGGTGCCTTCCCCTGATCAGCCTGGTCACCTCCCACAAAGGGAGGTCAGACAGCGGCTTAGGCCCTATCCCCAAGGGGAGCAGGGAGCAGGCCTAAGCCGTCATTAGGACATCCCCTGAGGGCTCCCAGTATGTGAGAAGGGGCAGGCTGGGCTGAGGGACACCCCCCCCACCCCAGTGCACGAATTTTGTGCACTGGGCCCCTAGTAATTATATAATAACATATAATTACACATAATATATAAATCTACTTATCATGATTGTGTGATTATGGAATTCATAATCATATATGTATTATTATTAAAACCTAAATTCCATTTGAATGTTAATTTTGAAAAAAAAAATCTGTAACTTAAACATTTCAGTTCTATATCTACATTAACCACGTTAGGTTAATATCACCCTCTAATAGTATTTGCTAAAAGCCACATCACTCCACTATTGCCTGTTATAGTATAGGAAAAATTTTCATTTTTAGGTACCATTTTAATTGATAATAATAGAAGTTAAAAATGAAAGTCAAAAAAGTTATAAAGCTAAGGGAAATCTCAAAAAAGTATTACGAACTTTTTAAAGGTCTTTACTGAATATGATGGGAGCAAGAACTATATTCTCATTCATTCCTTCCTAGATTTCCTCCATACATGTTACTGTATTCATCCCCTCATTTTATTATTCTAGTATTCCTGGGAATAGAGGCCCTTTCTCCCCAAATGAAAGACTTTTTAATCTTTATCTACACAGATGCCATCACTTGCCCACCGATCCAACTACCAACTACCTCTCCAACCACTCACCTACCCATTCATTCACCCAAACCTAAACCATGTCAGGGGCTGTGCTAAGTGATGTGAGAGAGAAAAAGGTCAAGCGAGTTAACTGTTTAGTAGGGAGACTGAAGTATTAACAAATACTTGGGATAAACTGAGTCAAATGCCTAGTATATGGTACCAAAGGAAGGCTCAAGGAGCGAATTGGGTGGGGATATTCAGGTGAAGAACATTCACATAAAATCTGTAACACTCCCCAACAAGCAGATGGAGGGCTCCAACAAGACTGGGATGGCCTTGCAGAAAGTCTCAGGTCTCCATTTCCAAAAGGTCCTTGGCCTCCAGGTCAGCTGTTAGTACAACCCGGCTCTGAGATACTGACCCCTTTGGCTTCCCTTATTTAGCTCTTACTCTGACCAGTTACTGTCTAAATTCCTCAGTTGAGCTTCATCCTTACAGTCTATTCTTATAACTGTCTAGGTTCCTAGACCCAGTCTCTTTTTGTTGGTTCCTTAGCTTGATTCTGCTGTTCAGCTGCCATCCCTCTCTCCTATCTGGCCAGGCATCCTTCCTAATTTCCTCACACCAGTACATGGTTTCCTCACAGCAAGCTTTAGTTCTCCCCACCAGTCCCCAGGTAGTACTCAGCTCAGCTACCTGTGCAACCGAGACCAGGATTTAACCCCCAAAGATACAGCAGCTGGACAAACAATAGTTATAAAAATGGTAGGTGGTTCTAGGAAACTTTGCCTTTTAGGGAACCCTATGGCAGTATCTCCAAGCTTAGTGTCTCCCCGCTCTGGGGCTGGTGTACTGTGTGGCACAGAATGAGCACAATAATGTTTAGAGAATAACTGACAATTAAATCGTGCCCACTATGCACCCATCAACACCAGGCCTTACCAGATACTACGTACAACAATTAATGCTCGGCCCCCGGGTTTCTTAATAAAGACAGAGAATATCAGCAAGACTGATTCCTATAGCTGAGAGGGTGATGTCAGCATGGCGTCCTTAGCCCCACAGCTCTACACTCACCAAACTCCTGCATTAACTGCAAAGCCTTGTGGTTTACTTTAAGATAATTAAGCAACTAGGTTCCCTTTATGGAATACTGTCTCATTGCACATCACTGCAATTGTCTGCAATTTGGAGCCAAACTGTAATTAAAATGCCTGTAATTTTTAAGGTGTTAATCACAGCAAAATGAATTTAAAGAATTCCTAAAAGTACACTGTTTTACTACATTTAAGTCAGTGCTGAAATTAGTGTTCTATCTTTACGAAATGTTACTCTATATTCCCCGGAAGTTACCTGAGCTAACAGAGCCGCCATTTCCAATGCCAGGTCCTTGTTCAGAGGGAAAAGTCCGTTTATTATTTGGTCGTTTGTCTGATACATTAACAGCAACTTCTCTCTATCAGTCTCCCCACGAGCTTGCATGGAGAAATACAGTCTGTAAAAGAAAAAAAAAAGAGGGAAATTTTTCATTAAGGAGGTTGTTCTAACATAGTTCTCTACGTGATGTAAGCTTAGATCATTACTATCTGTCAATGGCTTTTGTTTCTGTTCTTTACAACACTTGCAGCAAACTGAGGGAAAACTGCTCTGAGGTGGAGGTTGAGGGACACTTCTATGTTATTTTACGCTATTTTCTATGCCCCAAAATACCAAATCCTGAAGTGTTACTGAGGAAGGAAATAAGACACTGAGTGAAATTAAATATGCCCTTTCTTTCGGGGAATGAAATGAACCCTTCATCCATGGGCTGTATAAACCCAATTTTCAAAACATTCGTGATATTTCCTAAGTACCTTGGACACACCAGGGAATAGGAAATGCAGGCTTCAATACAAAAACATCAAACTGGCCGGGGCCGGTGGGGGAGCAGTTTACTCTGGGGAATCTAAAAGATAGTATTTGTACATTGAAATGTTTTGGCTTTTTTTCCTGTTTTTGGCCACATTCTCATAAGCAGTTTTAGGAGCTCAACAATAGGTTACATGCTATTAACAGCTGTTGAAATACAAGATGGCTTTTGTCTGCCTAGCTCTTCGTCAATTCAGTGACCCTCTTTCTTTATCACTATGCTGTTCCCTTATCTGTGAGACTTCTGGGGCTCTGGCTTCAGGCTGCCAGTCAGGCATGGGGTGCAGTAAAGGTGGCAGCGGAGTGGGCAAGCAGCACCTTGCATACTTTAAGATTGCCATGACAACACAGTGGCAGGAAGAGAGATTTAGATCCAGCATTTGTTAGGTGTGTGCCCATTGGCTCTCACTGAATTTTCAGCCTTTTTCTCCCTATACACTTGAGGGAGAGGCCACACTGCCGTCAAGCTCACTATCTCTTGAAATACTTATCTCAAATAGCAGGGACTGAGAGGGCGGCCGGTCAGAATCGCAGAGGAAGCATGGGTGGCGGGTACTTTGAAAAGCCCTTCTTCCCCACGATTCTGAAAATTCTTTCCACCCACCCCAGCGTAAGAATCACTGTCCTGGGCAGTCATTCCGAGCGGTTTCTTGAGCACATAAGTCCTAAGCCCTATGTGAATTTGTAACTGCATGATGAAAAATTGTTAGCTGGTAGAAGAGTATGCCTGAGTAATAGAAATAGATTCTAAATTCAAAATGATGTTAGCAAAGGGATATAAAACAGAGAATAAAGTTGGGGGGGGTGGGGGTGGGGGAAGCTCTCCCTCTTTGGCATGCAAAGATTTTTGTACATAGCTTATTGTCTCCACTAGAGTTAAAAGGTATGTCTTATTCATCACTGTCATCTACCAGCGTTTAGCTAAGTGTTGCCACTGGAACGTTCTTAATAAGAGTATGAATTGGTATTAACAGCGAGGAGGGGAAAAAGGAACCAAATGTACAAATGGCTATAGGCAAGAAGGGCTAGCATGTATTTTCAATCATTTCTGGCATGTAGATGACATAGAACCTGGGAAGGGAAGATAACACACCATAAGCAAAAAAGGGGAAAACAATCCCAGACATGTAGAAATACAACATGTAGGACTCAAACTCCTGATGAAACAGTTTGTGCTCCAACAATTATATAGCAATTTGGAAAGAATATGGAGAGATACTAAAGAGTCACAAAAATGACCAAGCCAGAAACTCAAATCCACGGATCTTGAATGGGAAAGGTGCCGGGAGAATGTGCTCTGAGTCTCTCCCAAGATGACCAGGTGCCCAGTCCCGAAGGCCTGGAGCAGAGAGCGTGGGCCTCTGTCCCAGCAGGCAGGGTGCAGACGAGCTAGCAGGGGGATCTCCAATGTCCTCCTCCTCCTCACTGGACACCCAGGAAGCTGAATACTGTGGGATGGGGATCACATCACTGCATGGCCCAGGACCACTAGCCCTGTGTACACGGCTCCAAGTTCAGCAGAGCTCTCAGCCCAACCGGCTCCCCATTGCCTGCCTCAGAGCATTTATTTCCTACTGCCTTTTTTCTCAGCATCACCTTGTAAACCTACTGAGGGCCTGCCTTCACTCTCCGCCTCCCTCCCCCGCTCCATCCACCGCAGTCTGCTGATAACACTCTACTGAAACTGCAGCTGGTCTGACCCCCTTCCCTGTCTCCTTCTTGCCTCGACGGCCACCACGCAAGTCCCTGCTTGGAAGGCAGCACTCTGAAGCCTTCCTCTAGTTCCCACCACAGCTTTCACATGTGTGTGTTATACCAAGATCTGGATGGGGCATCAACTGTGTGGCCACCCTGATCCAAGAGCTTTATCCTTGCTGACATTCAGTCCTTGAGACAACCTTAGAGGAGGTCCTGTTTTCATCTCCATTTCACATAGAGGGTATCTGAGGCATAGAGATGGTAAGTGACTTTCTCAAAGCCACACAATGAGCGGGGGAACCAGGATTCTAACCCAGGCAGTGTCTCTCCAGAGACCATGTTCACGACTCTGCCACACTGTTCCTGTTACAGCATGAATCACATGGCTAAGTTTTGGTGTCTGTCTCTCCCTACAAACTGCAGGGGAGGGAAATTCTATGCACCAGACACTGAGCAGATGTTTACCGCAGGAATGGGTAAATGAATGGGAGTGGGAGTTACTAAATATGGGAATCATTTGTGGAAAAAGCCTGAAAGAATCCCCTTTTTTGTAGCCTTGGGCAAATGACTTCACTCTCTGGAGCTTCAGTTTCCTGACCTGTAAGATGGAGATGATAATAAAACCTACTTTGTGGGGGTGCTGTTAGGATTATATGAGATGACACATGAAAAGAGCTCAGCACAGGGCCTAGTGTGTGGTAAATGCTCAAAAAATGTTGGTTATTATTATTATTAGCATTCTTCCCTAGAGGTATTTAGAATGACAAGAGTCTCTTCATGCTGGAATTTTTGTGGTGGTATCATAGCTAGAAAAAATGGGCTAAATTAGATGACCTGTCAAGATGCTTCTTGGCTTAAGACCCAATGGCTGTAGGGCCTCTGAGAATCAGCTAACGGTGGCAGAGATGGGAATGTCAGGCTGTGCTCTGGAAAATACTAAGGACAAAGGACGACCGAAAATGATCTTTGATTTCAACGAGTGGTAAGGAGGAGCTGTCCTTAGGGAGGACCCTTGCCAGTTTCCTTTGGCTAAAAACATGCCTTGACCTTACAATGTCAAGTACACAATGAGGAACAAATTAAATAAGCAGGCTAAATATGAATAGAATTCAAACATTAGTTTACAAATGGTCATCTCTGAGAACAAGCTTAAAACCTATTAATTCCATCTTTAACCTCTGAAACAAAACAATTAAAAGTCCATAACTCACATTCGTAAATATAAATGAAAACTCCATGATAAGGAGCTGGTATTTTAGTTTTCCTTACAGGGCTCCTCGTCCGTGGCTGCATGATAGGCCACAGCGGTTCCCCTCCTGACTGTGCCCCTGGAAATCAGGGCTCATTGTCTAAGCTATTTCTACATGCATGCAAAGCAAGACCATATTTTAAAACATAGTACTTTCTCAGAGCTGTGGCTATCCAGCCATTTCAGACTTCTGTTAAAAATTAAACTTTTGGTTGAGTTGCTTTTATTCTGATGTCAAAGCTACTGTCATGAGGTTTCTTTCTTTCTTTTTTTAAGGCAATCTTTATTATGTGTTACTCTCTTTGTCCTTTCTAGTGGTATTTACTAGACTTGGGGCATTATTCTTGTCTGTGATTTCCAGAACACCTTTCTCCATTTCAACCAAATTTAATTTTGGTCCCAACGGTAGCCATCATAGGCAGAATTAGCATGTATTTAATAAACACTCATAAAGTATGCATTATTAGAAATAGTCTTAGGCATGAAAGTAATGCCATTTAGGGCCGACAAAACCAAAGGAGAATTCTGGAACCTCTTCTACATAAAGAATCACAGCAGGGCAGGTCAAGGGGCTCACTCTCTGCTACTAGGTAAGATCCAGAGGCAGGGGCAGCGAGGAGGGCCTGTGCCTCAGTGCTCCTCAAAACCCAGCCTGCACAAGAATCACCTGCAGAACCGTGGAAACACGGGCTCCCGGGTCTTACTCCAGAGACTCTGACTCCTTAAGGCTGAGGTGCGGCTTAATCATTTGTGTTTCTAATGTGCTCTGTGATGCTGGAGCCGCAGGGCCAGGGCCCACACAATGGGAATCACTGCTCCAGCCATCACAGAACTAAACAGCCGCCTGGGAGCTCCCGGTCTTCTAGCCTGCCGCTCTCCCAGTCACCCAAGGGCCACAGCTAAAGGCTGTCATCAGTGGAAACAGGCTCCTCCAGGAGTAGAGCCCATTAATTTCCATTATCTAAGTAATCTTGTTTATCTCCAGAAAAGCACGAGTTTTAAACCTTAGACACCAAAGCTTAACAGTCAGATCTGTGTCCTCAGATCTCTTGCTCATGAGCCCCTGAATAGAGAAGCTCCAATGGCTCACAACCACCGTTATCCAGGTCAAAGGAGCCTGTTCACACGGTGTGTGGCCTTTAGTGTTGACCGTATAAGCGGAGTTCAAAATATGAAGGCACCACATTTATTTAACTGTTCCTTTCACAGCCCCCCCCCCCCAACACACACACTAATTTTGACTATTCTAAAAAATATGGCAAAGAAGCTACTTGGGAATACTGGAATACTTGTGCCCACTTATGTGGGTATTTCTGTGGGAGGGTTATTAGAAAAAGAAATCTTGACTGGATCAAAGGCTAGTACATTATTTATATTATACTAGAGGTCCAGTGCATGGATTTGTGCATCGGTGGGGTACCTCGGCCTGGCCTGCGCCTCTCGCAATCCAGGACCCCTCGGGGGATGTCAGACTACTGCTTTCAGCCCGATCCCCAAAGGGTCTCTAGTATGCTTATAAGATCTTTGGTTAATCTCTTGCAGCCCTCCCCCCTTTCTCCTCCCCTCTAAAATTCATCAGTCTGTTCCATGTTTCCTTGCCTGTGTGTTAAGCATCTGCCCCATGGTGGTCAGTGCACGTCATAGCTACCGAACAGTCGAAGAGTGACTTAGGCTTTTATAAACATAGATTAGTGCCTTCACTTCTTACATTCCAAAGGTAGGCCTCTGAAAGAAGTCAATCCTACACCAATAATTCCACCAGGTTCGTAGTCTGATATTTCAGATTCCTTTTTTTTGGTATAGTTAATGTGACCTGATCAGTGTACACTGCTTATTAAGTACCACTTTCTGCTGATATATGGAAGAAAAGAAGATGTTTAAAAAAAAAGAGAAAGAGAGAAAACCTGGTTTCTGACCATACGCCAAAGCATATTAAAATCGTATCTGTTGAGAAGGTATATGCTCTAACCCCACTGGCTTTTTAACTATTTCTGAAACCCTGAGATACCTCCCTCTGTAGGCTTTTGAACATTCTTCTCTACCTGTTTTAACGCTCCCAGCCTCTTCTGACTTTGACATAAGCATCATTTTCTCAAAGCCTCCCGATGTCTCCAGTGTATGTCAGGCTTCTAGTTATGCTCTCTTACAGAACCACACTCTTCTCTTTCAAGGAACTTAATGTGTAATTATATGTTCATTAGAGTTATTATATGATTAACAACTGCCTTCCTCACTAGCCTGTGATTTCCAAAAGTTCAGGTACTTTTGTGTCTGGTCTCATTATTATTTTATCTGGAGCATCTAGCTAAGTGCCTGGCTTGTAGCTGAAACTCAATTAATACAGAGAAAGAGAGAGAGAATATGAAAGCATTAGAATGAATGAATATGAATATATCACTTTTAAAGGCTTGGGTAACTTAAATATTTCTTCTTACTACAAATCTGTAGTATTTAGTCTTTATGGAAAATATAATAATAGTGTCAAAGAAAAATTTGAAAGTGAAAAATTCACCCTATGCTAAGACAGCAGCTATTTTTTTCCTCTAGTTTTCTTCTACTCTTTGTCCAAATGCATATTTTTATAAAATATAATTATTCGTGACATTAAAGGACAAAAATTAGAAATAAAATTTTATGCGACAGTTTCTTCCTGTGGTAGAGTTGTCATTTATAGAACAAATATACAGATAAATGGAACTTTTCAGGCTCTTCAGTAGGAAGTTAACTTGTAGGTGCATGATGTGAAGATGTGTATACTCCTACTTGGGCATCTGGCGATGGTATTACACACCTGTTTTTATAAGTTAGACGAACAGTTCTCGTACCTTCCCATTTCCCAGGCTGCTGTTCTTTGGAAGCCTGTTCCCACTTAGAAATAATGTCACAAATCTAGAAGAAAAGTGAAAAATGGAGATTTATCATACTTTTCGGACTGGCACATCTTGAAGCCACGCATGTCTGTATGCTGGAAAAAAAAAAAAAAAACCTCCAAGGAATGTGATAAAACCAAAGCTTTTTTGTTCCAAGCTTATGTGCAGCTCTTGAGTTTAGGATTTAATTATAAATCGCTCTTTGGTCCACATCCTTTTGGACACACATTAACTCTGGACTGTGGCAATGCATTTTTCACTCAAAAAAGAATCTTAATGAAGGACTGCATGAGATTGGAAACAAGAGGATTCCAGAAATATTTTCTTGACTTAGTCACTGAAGAAGCAACTTTTCTACCTTCTGAGTTTATAAAGATTGGAATAAATAAAGTCATACCAAAGAAATCTGGAATACAATCTTAACATTCTTTGATTGGGAAAGCACAAAAATTCTTCAGGAACCAAATAAATGTTTGTTTATTTAACTGGCCATTTCAGAAATATAAATGAAAGTTTTTAAAAAGATGTGGTAAGCAGTTATTCAACAAAGCCCCTGATATTTACTTAGCTCAAGTCAGCCAAGAATACTAGCTTGCTTCTTGACTAATTTATTTATTTATTTTTAAAATATATTTTATTGATTTTTTAGAGAGAGGAAGGGAGAGGGATAGAGAGTTAGAAACATTGATGAGAGAGAAACATCGATCAGCTGCCTCCTGCACACTCCCCACTGGGGATGTGCCTGCAACCAAGGCACATGCCCTTGACCGGAATCGAACCTGGGACCCTTGAGCCCACAGGCCGATGCTCTATCTACTGAGCCAAACCAGTTAGGGCTTGACTAATTTATTAACAATAGTGTTCTAGGAATGACTGTCTCAAAATTTACATTTGGATTTATTGAACTGAACAGGATATAGTTGGGGCTGACGAGAAATAAGACATTCATTCATCTAGAGTTCTCAATATGCAGTAGGAATATAGGCAAAAGGATGAAGGGGAAACCGTATCTATTAACCAACATGCCTATTGGACTAAGTATAAACAGTAACAGTATTCTGTAAAACCCTATAGAGCCCCGACAAGCTGTTTTGCAAGTGGAACAGGCTTTGTGAGTTACTGATGTTGCATACACTCTAAACTTGTGAGCTATTATTTATAAATCTAGTTCTTCCCCTACTCTGCCCCAATTCTGTCATCTCCAAATCCCAGAAAACTTTTCCCGACAGCAATCAAAGACCATATAAAGTAAGGAAAAGGTCCAGACCCAGCTCCAGCTGTTTGATTTGGGGTAAATCATTTCCCCCTCTGGGCCTCAGTTTCCTCATTTGCCAATTTTTGTGTCTCTCAAGTTCCTTCCGGTTCTGTAATTCTGTATTTCTAATTGTTGCCATAACTAGAAACTTTATTAAAGTTATTGTACTAAGACCCAGAAAAGACTGTTTAAAAGTCTTCTAATTCTGTCTTTGCTCATGATTTTCCTTAAATCTGGAATCCCTTCTTTATTCCCACAGGTCCATTTTCTACCCCTCCTTCAAAGCCCAGTTCAGATCTTCCCTCATTTCCAATGCTGGGCTTAACCTCTCCGCTTAGTGGAATGCGCACAGCACTCTTAAAACACTGATCACTTCCGACTCCAAAGTTACAGTGTATAAGGCTGCTCTTCTCCAAGCAAATTATAAGTGTGCTGTGGGCAGGGGCTATTTCTGATCCTTCTTTGTATTCCCACAGGATCCAGTCCAGCTCCTGGGACACAATAAATATTGCTGAGTAGATGAATAAAATGGAAAGCCATTTGATTAGAGTTTCCACACTTTCACCCATATTACCCTAATACGTAGGGTACTATTACTATTATTAATCCTTTCCCTCTATTTAACGTGTGTGTGTGTGTGTGTGTGTGTGTGTGTGTGTGCGCGCGCGCAGATTGCATATTAAGAATTCTACGGCTTCAACAAAAGTCCCGCAAATTTGTTTTATTGTGAAGATTAGATTGCTTAAATATTTTTGAAAACTCCTGAATTAAACTTGTTGCAAATAGCAAATAATAGCTTCTTTGTCGCTTGCTGGGTGTGCCTCCTTAAAGGGACTTGGTTTTACCTTGATGTTTCCTTGAAGACAATGCTCTAAATCCCTGCCAGAAGGATCATCGGTGAACAAGGCAAATCCAGACTGGGCTGGCTTCCTCATTCCCGTATCCTGGTTCAAAGTGTTCAGAAATTCTTCCACTGTGGTGGATGCATCAAATCCAACGACCTAAACAGAAATAACAAAGTCGTTCTCCAAATGAAAAAGTATGTACATTTCAAACTTGGATTTCAGGGGGGAAACAGGACATACTTGATGCACGATTAATGGTGGCATATGTATATATATATATCTGGGTGCTTTAACTCCCCTTCCCCCCAAAGCACCACTGGATAAATTAATGCTGTCTTAGTCATTAGCTTGCTGTAAGAATTCAGAAATCTTGGCTTCAGCCAACTGAATTAAAAAGAGGCAGATCATTTGACAGCTGTAAACATTTTGCAGTGATATTAGGCCTACCCATTAAAAGCAAACCAAGAAAGACAGTGCACTACGTAATCTACAAACAAATGAAAAAAATAAACAAGAAATGTACTTAAAACAAATGAACTTTTATGCATTTAATGTTTGTTTCTTTAATATGCAGCTAAGTATCTGAATCCTGTGATAAAAGGCGTATGGCTGCAAAGACTAATTGCTAGCTTTGGAACATGTTTGCTTCACTTAATAAGCCAACATCCAGATCTGAGAGTTGGGAGGGCCCACATAAGCTTTCCCAGATAATTCCTGAGATTTGGAGACTTTTGCAGCGGTTCTCAACCTTCCTAATGCCGCGACCCTTTAAAACAGTTCCTCATGTTGTGGTGACCCCCAACCATAAAAATTATGTTCGTTGCTACTTCATAACTGTAATTCTGCTACTGTTATGAATCGTAATGTAAATATCGGCTATGCAGGATGTATTTTCAAGGGTCGCGACCCACAGGTTGAGAACCGCTGCTTTAAAGCGACTGAGCTTGTACCACCCAATGTTAGTAATTATTTCCTCACCCAGCAGGCGCACTGGCGACCTCAACCAAAGCAGTTTTGTTTTTTCATGTGAATCCTTTTTATTTAGCAAAGCTGTTTAAAAATGCAGCAGTTTGATGGAAGATCTAATTTATTTGCGAGTTTATCACTGCCAGCTGCTGACAAAGGTAGGTGTACAGCCTCATTTCTCTGTTGCCCAGAGGCCACACACAGGACCTCGGGCTCAGCATGTTTCCTTCGGGGTAGAAAGTCTAACTCACCTGATAGATGCCATTCATGAAGTGCACAGGGATGCTGAAGGGCAAAGAGTGATGATAAGGATTTCGAAGAAGGGTCGAAAGGATTTCCATTCTTGAGGGTCTGGCTTCCCGATCTCCATTTTGTTGTGTTCTTTCTACACATCGCTGGCAATAAATGGCATATTTTCCAAATTCTGTCCTATAACACAAAGCTTAAGATAAAGCCCAAGAATAAATTTAATTAAGACAACCTGATAGCTATGAAGTCATTAAGAAAGCTTTCCGTGGTGTATACTATTACAATGTATTATGCTAATGTTGACAGTAGTGTTTCTTTTAGCAGGATATTATTAAGCCTCTGTAACTTTTCCCATTCTTTGGGCAATCTGTCACTGATCGCAACTCAAGTCACACGATCTCGATTACAGAGTCCCCAAAACGTACTATGAACTGGAGAATATTTTTCTGCTGCTTCCAAGTTGTTTTTTTGTCTCATTGTGCTTGTTTATTTGTTTATCTGAGTTTCAGGGCTTATTTAAGCAACCTGGCATCAACTTCTTGGACAACATGATCCTGATAACCCTTGGCTGGCTGCCTTGGGTCCCAAAGTAAAAAGCCATTGTGACAGTTGGATTGTAAATGTCTTTTTTCCAGGAAATAAAAATTCCGAAGTAATTCAAATACACACAGGGAAAACCATCAGGGGCATTTTCCACATAAAACAATTCAATGTGGAGAAAAACAGTAATAGGGAAAACTAAGGAAGCAAAGTAGTTGCTGTTATAACGATAACAAATGCTAAGTCATTCATCCTTGAAATACACACGGACTTTTCACTTAAAAATAGTCTTTATCAGGTTTCAAGCGCTCACTGCAATCTTCCATGAGAGATTTAACATAGTAAAGGAAATATTTCTCAAGCTCCACGTAAATGGTAACCAAAGGTTCTCTGTACCAACATTTGTTTCACGCATTCTCTACCTGGCAGGTTACTAAATACTTAGGATTTGTTGTAGACTTTCAGAGGCCACATAAACGGTTCAGCTGGCTAGTTTTCTGCACACCTGGGATCTGCATTCCTCTTAAGGTGGAGCCTGAGAAGCCACAGGAAAGGATGATGGGGAAGGAAGAGCCCCACACAGAGCGCCAAGAGCTGCCAGGCCTGGCAAAGAGAAACAGCGTTAGGTTAGACGCCGCGCGGCAGTCAGAGATCCAAGTCAGAGCCAGTGTGACGGACAGAAGTTGATAGTCTTCCTTCCTTTTTCTTCTTTTGGGTTTTCAAGGTTTTATTTAGTTTAGTAGTTTGTAGCCTTTCTTGACCCCAAATGTGTTTGCTTCTTCCACATATAGATTATCTTCTCAGAGCAATTATAATCCATAGAAACATTTAAAAGGCCACATTGGGTCAGATCCATAATCCAGTTATGTATGTAGTTGTCTACAACTGAGATACTAAAAGACATGTGGATATATAATAATCCTTTTGACATCAAAGATTAGGAACATTGCTCCTTTTTGGTTCATTTATGTATTTACTCATTAATGGAAATAGAAGCAATGGCTTTGAGAAAGGACAGATTGAAAAATAGTAAAAAATCATATACCCCAAAACAAAACCAAAATACCCACACATACTTACACATATACATACATATATAAGGGACAAATATAGAAATAACAGAGATTAGGTAATATGGATTATATGTGACTTTTCCTTTTCCTTTGTTCTGTATTATTTTATTTTTTCCCATTAAGCAAGTGTAGCTTCAATATTTTTTAAACTGTTATATTAAAAAGGAGGAGGAGACCTGTGCACAATTCACTGGACTTTTACACAAGAATTAGGTTCAAAGACGTATACTGCACAGGTATTTATTATAAGAAAAAGAATTGGAAAAACCTACATGGATAGTAATTGATATTAATGCAATCATTAATGTTTTGAAGAATGTTGCAGAATATCGGGGGAAAATGATTATGTTCTATAGTTTTAAAAAATTAGTATGCACACTGTAACCCTAATAACGTGAAAAATGTGAAAGCATATAAACACATACACATACATTTCTACAGAAACATGTAAATAAACTGAAAGGATATACATCAAAACATGAATAGCTATTTTCCCTTTTCACACTTTTTATATTTTCCAATGTCTACACTGAATATGCATCATTCTTACCATCAAGACAGCAGCCTCATTTTAAATTGCGTGTATGTGTATCACTATATACCTGCAATGGTCCTGGTTGGCTCTGTGGCTGTCTCCGTCTTGTCTGTTTAATGAGCTGACAGCAAATTTCATTCTGTAGCTCAGGATGTGTCAGGCAGACCTGCAAAGCACTCTGGGCTAGCGATACGTGGTAATCAATTGCAGGGGAGTCAACTGCAGCATTGATAAAAAGCTGGCAGGTCTGGATTAAGAAAAAGTTACAGTCAAGGTGAGGAATGATTCAATATTCTGCGTGAATTATGTTGATTCTCTTCTTAACAATGGTTTTTTCCCCAAATGGATGGAAAAGATATATTATGGTAACACTAATCAAAAGCAATCCAGAGTGGCTACATTAATAGCCGACAAAGGAATTTTGCCAGAGATAAAGAGGGTCACTTTATAATAATAAAGGAGCCAGTTCATCTAGAAGACATAACAATTTTAAATGATTATGTGCTTAATAAAATATATGAAGCAAAAACTGACCGGACTGTAAGGAGAAATAGACAAATGCAAAATTATAGTTGGAGATTCCAAATACTCCTCTCTCAATAATTGAGAAAACAAGCAGATGGAAAATCAGTAAGGATTCAGAAAACTTGAACAATACTATCAACCAACTTGACTTAATTGACACTTAACAGAACACTCCATCTAAGAGCAGAATATGCATTCATTTTAAGGGTATACAGAACATTAATCATCTCCTGTCCCCGATAAGCTTCATAAGGACAGAAACTGTGCCTTATTTATCTTTTTTATTCTCTACACGGCATAGAGTGACAAAGCAAAGGTTTAATGAATGAATGGATTTAAAATCTGATTAAATAAACATAGTATCTATTAAGAAACATTAAAATGTTCATAAACACCAATGGATGGTTTTAATATTGTGTCATTATACGGTAGGTAGTCGTTATCTCTTCTAAGAACAGGTATGATCAAATAAATTTAGCCTCTAACCTAAAGCATTGCTGCCAAAGAACTTCATCATAAAATGATCAATGAAAAAAGATTTCCACCATTAACTTTTATCATGTTAAGAAAGTATCACTATTTTATGAACGTTAAACTTGTCAAATGCCTTTTTAGCATTTTTAGAGATGATTGTCTACTTAATAATAAATAATATTAGTTGACATCTAATATATAGACATCCTTGATTTCCTGTAACAAATCTCTTTTCGTCATGATAGAGTATTCTTGTAATATGATGCTGGATTCTGTTTATTAATATTTTACTAGTTTTTGCACGAAACGCTCTGTTTTGTATAATTGTTTCTGGGGTTTGGTTCCAAGTAATACTTCACAAAGAGAATCTGGTGATATGACCATTGAGAACTGCTTCAAATATTCCAATGTTGGGAAGCAGTGGGGATGGGGAGACTAAAACAAAACTGTCCATGTGTTGGTGCTATGGAGCTGAGTGACGAGTACCTTGGGCCTCATATTTTCTCTACTCATATGTTTGAAATTTTCCAAAATAAAGAGTAAAAAACACACACACACACAAGAATTTGGGAAATTTCCTTTTTTTTCTATGAACTGAAATTACCTACACTTTAAAAGTTTGGTAAATTTTCCTGTTTAAATTTTCATTCTCTCGAGGAGAACCAAGATGGCGGCATAGGTTAACGCCGGAGTTTGCTACCTCAAACAACCACCTCAAAAATACAACTAAAAGACAGAACGGACATCATCCAGAACCACAGGAAGGCTGGCTGAGTGGAAGTTCTACATCTAGGAGGAAAGAGACTCAGAGGAGGCGCAGTGCAGAAAATACAAAGGTGCGGAGGTGCGAGCGGAGTGGGCTGGTGGCTGAGGGCGTGGTTGTCTTTTCCAATCGGGAGGGAGTCTCAGATTCTGAGCTCCAGATCCGGGCGAGTCTCTAGGGACCCAGACTCAAACGGGAGAAGCGGGACTGTCTGGCTTCGGTCGGAACTCGAAGGCAGCTTTCTCTCCGAGGTTTGCAGCGGTTGCTGGGACTCTGAGAGGCAGAGCGCCCGGGGACAGGACTGAGAGCAGCCATAACTGCTTGCTCTGCCCGCCCTGTAGATCCCCTGGGACACGCCCCGCCCAAGTCCTGCACAGAGCCATTTGCTGGATAGCCTCAGGCAAAGGCTAGATTAGCACCTCCCTAGAGGACAGAAGTTCTCTCACAGCAGACACAGCTGATTCTCACAGCCACTTGGCCTGGGGCTCAAATCCCCTCTAGTATTACCTACAACAATCAAGGCTTAACTACAACAAGACTGCCCACAAAGACCACTAGGGGGTGCACCAAGAAAACATAAAAAAATGCGGAGACAAAGAAACAGGATGCAAATGTCAGAAATGGAAGATATAGACCTCAAAACCACACTTTTAAGGTCTTTCAATAATTTTCTAAAAACTGCCGATAAATGTAGGTAGATCCTCAAGAAATCTAATGAGACCTTCGATGTTGTGATAAAGAACCAACTAGAAATTAAGCATACACTGACTGAAATAAAGAATATTATACAGACTCCCAACAGCAGACCACAGGAGCTCAAGAATCAAGTCAAAGATTTGAAATGCGAAGAAGCAAAAAACACCCAACCGGAAAAGCAAAATGAAAAAAGAATCCGAAAATACGAAGATAGTGTAAGGAGCCTCTGGGACAGCTTCAAGCGTACCAACATCAGAATAGGGGTGCCAGAAGATGAGAGAGAGCAAGACATTGAAAACCTATTTGAAGAAATAATGACAGAAAACTTCCCCTACCTGGTGAAAGAAATAGACTTACAAGTACAAGAAGCGCAGAGAACCCCAAACAAAAGGAATCCAAAGAGGACCACACCAAGACACATCATAATTAAAATGCCAAGAGCAAAAGACAAAGAGAGAATCTTAAAAGCAGCAAGAGAAAGAAACTCAGTTACCTACAAGGGAATACCCATATGACTGTCAGCAGATTTCTCAACAGAAACTTTGCAGGCCAGAAGGGAGTGGCAAAAAATATTCAAAGTGATGAATACCAAGAACCTACAACCAATATTACTTTATCCAGCAAAGCTATCACTCAGAATTGAAGGTCAGATAAAGAGCTTCACAGATAAGGAAAAGCTAAAGGAGTTCATCACCACCAAACCAGGATTATATGAAATGCTGAAAGGTATCCTTTAAGAAGAGGAAGAAGAAGAGAAAGGTAAAGATACAAATTATGAACAACAAATATGCATCTATCAACAAGTGAATAAATAATCTGATGAACAGAATAAACTGGTGATTATAATAGAATCAGGGACATAGAAAGGGAATGGACTGACTATTCTTGGGGGGGAAAGGGGTGTGGGAGATGCGGGAAGAGACTGGACAAAACTCGTGCACCTATGGATGAGGACAGTGGGTGGGGAGTGAGGGCGGAGGGTGGGGTGGGAACTGGGAGGAGGGGAGTTATGGGGGGAAAAAAGAGGAACAAATGTAATAATCTGAACAATAAAGATTTAATTAAAAAATAAATAAATAAATAAATTTTCATTCTCATGTGGATTTAGTTTTGGCCATTTATATTTTATTATAAAGACGATCACTTCATTCAGATTTTCAAATATATTTGTGTAGAGTCTTTCTTGTTTTCAGTAGTTGTGTATTCTATGGGTGGGTTTTAAAAAATGTTCCATTATGGTAATATTAAAACATAAACAAAAGTAGAGAGAATAGTATAATTATTACTCATGCACTCATCACCAAGCAACAACAATTATTAGCATTTTGCTAAACTTGTTTCATTCAACCTCCACTCTACTTTTTTTTCTGCAGTGTGTATATGTATGTGTGTGTGTGTGTGTGTGTGTGTGTGTGTGTATCATGATTTTTACCAATAAATACTTCAGTATGGATGTACAATTGATAAATTTCCCCCATAACCACCATGTTATATCATACCCCCCCCAAACTAACAATAATTCTTGGATATTATCTAATAAGCAGATGACTTTATTGAGATGGGAGGAATGTAGGCAAGAAGAAGCCAAAAGAAACACAAAAACTGAGACTCTAAGAGACTAAGGGAAAATGAAATACCAACCTCCTAGTGTAGAGTTGAGATCTGAATCCATAGAAGTTATACTATATTTGGAAACTAGAGGAATGAAGGAGAAAATAGATAAATAATGTCTTCTGGGGAAAGAGATTTGAGGTGTTCATGACCGATGCCATCTAATTTTCTTAATAAATAGAAGGTAAGTTTGTTGTGAGGAACATTAATTATTGATGGGGAAGTTTGAGGGCGAATGTGACCAAAGACAAGCAGAAGGAGAGATAGTCAGCCGTGAGGAATGAATACTCCAGGTTTATATTGGCTCCAGTCCACTGGGGTGTTTAATGTTCTCTAGAAGTGCACATGTGATTAACATGGCAGCAGGCAAGAAAGCAGCACTGATCTAGGTTGGGGTTTAGCTGGAAAGTTCATGGAATTATGGGTCCCTAGGAACTATGAGTATTAATGAAAGTAATCTAGGCTGGAATAAGAAGGAAGAACAGCCAAGAGGAAGTTATCATGCTCTCTCTTGATCTCCAAGAAAATAAACGGCTCCAAACAAAGATCTTAGTGAGGAATGAAAAATGGACGAGTAAGAAAATAAGAGAGCTCACAGGCTAAGAGAATATGGTTAAAGAAAGAGATATTAGAATTTAAACTTTTAGAGGTGGTGTACTTCTACGGAACGGAGAGGTCAGGGTGTGGACATGGAGAACGGGAAGGTGAAATAGACTAGAGGTGAAGCTTACTGGCATTAAGAAGGTCAGGAATCTTAGAGCACTGCATTGGTGCATCAAGTAATAATGAGGTCATTCAGCATAATGGCAAGATCTGAGGCCGAAAGAGCGTGAGCTGGGAGCCAAAATCCTTAATGAAAAGTTAGCAGAAGCTGACTAAGGACAGAGATGGGGTAAGAGTGATATAGTTGAATGACAAGTTTCAAGTGCTCACGGGTTTCTAATAGAAGCTGGACGGTAAGAATTTGAGAGCAGCACTGGAGAAGACGGGTGCTGACCCTCTCCCAGCACCGTTAGGTGTGATGTGAGAAATCCCTCCACGTGAGAGGCGAATGGGAAACGAGTCTTCAGATCTTACGTGTTTCACATTGCCCAAACCACACACAGTTTATTTCAGTAAATCCCAGATTCTCACTTGGAAAGCATATTAAAGTCACCTCATTTTATTTCAGTAGACTTTCTTAGTAACCTTAACCACATTTTGAATTTTCTTGGGAAAAGTGAAACTTTATATCCCTAAATTGTTTATTTTTATTTTTTCAAATTAAAATGTTAATAACATATAACGCCATATAAATTTTTACCTTAAATAATTTAATAGCTTCTGTCTGTAGAGCTTCAGAAGGCAGTGTTGTCAGAGGGGAAACAATTCCTTCCTTGCTGTGACACAAAGTAGGATGTCTCCATATCTGAGAGGCTAAATGCAGGGTAAAATACAATTAGAAAACAGAAAGAATCACTTATTTTGGCCTCCCATTTATTAGCCCTTTATAGAAATGAGCTAACTTGGCCTGGCTCACAACTTTAAGTCATAAAGGTCATGAAAAAAGCTTTGGCAACATTATTTCATTTCATTTTCCTGGCCATTGGGAATTCTCATGTCTCTGTTTTGGAGAAATTAAATCTAGAAGACTTTGGTCTTAATATTCTTGGCTGAAACAAGTCTACCAGGGCACTATGATGTTGCTCAGATGTGCTAAAGATTGGGGACCCAGGTGGGGAGATGATTATACATGAGAAGGAGCTGCAGAAAGATCTCGAAAGGAGAAACCAAGTAGGAGGAGATAGAATGATAAAGAAGAACTTGAAGTCATTCTTAACATCAACATTTACTAAATTCCTATGCTGGGTACTCAAAATAAAATGTGATCTCTGCCATTAAGTAAAGCATAACACAGAGTCTAGACTCTCAATGGGGAAACCCGAGCCATAAAAAATAATTTCAATGCAAAGGAACAAATGCTATGAAGTAGTTAAAAGGCAAAGTGCACTCCGAACTTAATTTTAACACTTATTAAGAACCTTTTATGAGCCAGATGCTAAGCTGGAGTGGGCTGGCTGGGGGAGCTTCTGAGGTAGGCAGGATTTTATCAGGTTGGTGAGGAATGTGAGGAAGGGGGGCATTTCAGGCAGAGGGGTATTGTCAGCAAAGGCAGAGGTGTCACAGGACATGGAATTTGGGGGAATGATGGTGTCCCTGGAGTCTAGGAACCACAGTGAGAATCCTGACACATGACAAGCAAAGCCAGGGAAATGGTGGATAGATTGCAGGGAAAGGAACTTACAAAGTAAAACTCCATTCGGCTAAGGGGGTTTGGATGCATTTCATAAACCAGACAGCCTTATATGTTATGAACTTACAAGGTTCCCCTTCAATATTTAGCAATTTACAAACGAGTTGTTCAAATTCAGATCCAACATTTACAGTGTTACTTCCAGCTGCAACGGTCAGGTGATAAAGCCAAGTGTCCTTAAAAACAAAACGTATTAATAGAAATGTTAACCAGTATGTAATTTTTGGTGATTTAAGGAAAAAACAACAACAACTTGCATAAACAATGGGAAACCTCACTAAAAAAACAAAACCTCTTTAATTTTTAAATAATAATTAAAAGCAAGCCACGTATTCAAACAGTTCTGAAGTAGGGTCACTTGAATTGTGCTCATAGTACTTTTCCCACTGTTCTATAGATGTTGCTTAGAAAAACATGATAAAATTAAAGTAATATAATGTTAAGAGACTAGAATAAATACAACCAGTTAATATTCCTTTAAGAAATACAATAAATTCTACCACATTTAAAATCTGACTCCCGCCCTAACCGGTTTGGCTCAGTGGATAGAGCGTCGGCCTACGGACTGAAGGGTCCCAGGTTCAATTCCGGTCAAGGGCATGTACCTTGGTTGCGGGCACATCCCCAGTCAGGGGCGTGCAGGAGGCAGCTGATCGATGTTTCTTTCTCATCGATGTTTCTAACTCTCTGTCCCTCTCCCTTCCTCTCTGTGAAAAATCAATAAAATATATTAAAAAAAAAAATCTGACTCCCAATGCATACAAATAACACATACAAAATACTTAGGAAATCCAGAAAATTTAAAAAAGAAAATAATACCGAGAACAAACTTACCTCAATACAATAAGGGCCATATAAGAAAAGCCCACAGATAATATCATACTCAATGGTGAAAAAAGGGAAAGCTTTTTCTCTAAGATCTGGAACAAGGCAAAGATGCCTGTTCTTGCCACTTCTGTTCCAATTTTATGTAGTCAAATCTATCACCCATTTCTACTGTGTTTCTTACATTGCATTTCTTTTTTCTTTTTTAGAAAGTACTTTCTATTCCAAGATCAGATAAAGGCTCTTTTAAAAAATTGTTTAACTCTTTAAATTCACCTGGAAATTATTTTGCTATATGTGTGAGATGACAAACTAATGTTTTCCTAGATAGCCAATTTCCTCAATATATAATGAACACAAAATATTATATATTGAATAATCCATTACTTCCCCATTCATTGTGATGCCTCTTTTTTTATTATATTAACTTTTATATTTTCATATGTGACTACATATATAATAATAGTTGACTTTCAATTTTATCTAAACCAAAATTTTGTTGAAAATGAGTCAAAATTATAAGGTTGGAGGCCTTAAGATTCACCCCCCAAAAAATCCAGTCTGAGACATTCACATTTTGAACATAATGTTCCTTTATCCTACACCTGCACTAATTTCAACTGGAGAGCACGTTTATCAATACGATTGAAAAATGACACATTTAAACAAGGCTTGTTTCCAGGGATGTAAAGAATCTCTGTAAATAGAGCTGAAAGTCTTTAGCAACGTTTTCTTCCTTGTTTCCATGAAAATGATTTGAAAAATCATTAGCAGTAGTTAATAACATTAATCTACATCATTCCAAATCAACCATTAAGTCCTTACGTACCTTTTCATGCTTGGACCCAATCAGGAGGTAAGTGGGACCTTGGTCTTTGGGGTGGATCACGATGGTGTAATGTGTGGATAACAGACTTCGCCCACTGGCTTCATAATCTTCATCTGAATCACAGGATCTGTCAACCTCTTCAACTTTAGCCTCCCAGAGTTTGATCTGACCTAAAGGCAACTAAAGTAAATATTAGTAATTGTGAGGAAGGCACTTTCTAAATCTTTTCCTAGTAAAATTTTTCATATTCCTTTTCATTCTTACCTTTATAAAGCATACCTTTTCTTAAATGAATGCCTAAAGGCAATTGGATTATCTGTAGTTATGAAAGTAGTAGTCACCACCAAAATACCCAATTGCAATATTAAAGAACAATTTGAATACTAGGCAATTACCTTTTGTGGAAAAAGCAAGAAGCTACTTTACTTAGTCAAGCAATTATGTAACTCAGTCAAAACATTCACTTGTCTCCCACCCCCCAAAAATTGATTCAATTAAGATACTGGATCAAAAGGACAAGAGTGGACATAGTCTCAATAGAAAAAGTAACACAATTAGGTAGCTGGTACAAAGAAGTGTGATTAACATTTTAAACTGCAATAAAATGAGTAGTGTTCTGAGAGGTTATTTACTAGTATTAACAGACATAATATAATACAAAACAATGCTATGATTTCTTAATTTAAGGGTAAGAAAGCTTCTTAAAACTGATGCATATTACATTTTACCTACTCTTTTGTTGACAAAAACAACTATATCTGTTGTGTTGAATGTCCAGCATATTTGTTCTAAAACTTTTGCTTTAATTAAGTACATTTATTCCAGGGAAATACAGTCTGCTTCTGATTTGCAGCTTCTAAAATGTCTGATCAGGTTTGCAACTGCAATCTGAAAATATTCATTCTGACTCCCAGAAGAACATTTACCATCGTACATGTTCATGCTCAGCCCGGGCTCAGTGCTCGGACCCTTCTCCATCCACATTCACACGGGTGATCTCATCCACGCTCATGGCTTTAGTACCAGCATATATTAGCTGCCCCTGCATTTATAACGCCAGGCTCGCTAGCTGTACTTAGACGTCTAAGAGTATCTCAAACTTAATTTGGTAAGTCCTCTCCCACAACCTGCCCTGGACAGTGTCCCCCATCTCAGTTGTTGGTAACTTCATCTTTCCAGCTGCTTACGCCAAAAACCTTGGCATCATTCCTGACTCTTTTTCTTTCTCTTCTATCCCATACCTTCCTTTTCAGTGAACAACTCTAGTCAGCAAGCTTTTCAGAATATATTCAGAATCTGGTCACTTCTCACACCTCCACTGCCACCAGTTAACCAGTCATCCTTCACCTGGATTACTGTAATAGCCCCGTAACTAGTCTCCTCCTCATTCCCTCAGACAGCTACCAGAGTGCTCCATTAGTCATAAGTTAGATCATGTCAATGTTCTGATCAAAAAACTCCAATGGCCTCTCATCTTACTTGGAGTAAAAGCCAAAGTCCTTACTATGAAAGGCCCCCTGGGATTTGATCCCTGTGACGTCTCAGATCTCAACTCCTACTAATCATTTCAGAGCAAGGAAGGGAAAGAGACAGAAACATCAATGATGATGTCATACCTGGAATACACAGAGTGGCTTCTATTTTCCTGACTTAAAATTTAGTTGGGATTATACTGAATTTATAATTTTGTATTGTGCTTATTCATGTAGCATTTATGTGAGCATTTCCTACTTTACTTCAGAAGTATCATGTTTAATGGCTGCACTGTATTAATTCCCATCTATGAGCAACACTGGAAATAATGGCATGCATTTTAAACGCAGTTACTCTGAACCGAGAGTGCAATCTGTGCAAATGGAACAGAGAAAAACCAACTGACCCATGTGGTCACTGGACCAAGAAGTTCAGTCTCATTAACACAGTAATTGGTCACAAGCCGCTGTTCTGTGCCACTGGCATCTTTATTTTATGTGAGCATTCTTGGCCCATGTTGGTTCAGTTTTTATAGCTTCAGTAACCCAGAGGTCACATGGAGTAGATATCCTATATTTTTACTCAGAAAGTGAATATAACTCAAGTTCTTTTTGGAAGAAGATTAGTTAAAAATGAATAAACAGGACATAAATAGGTAGATGAATGGGTAGGTAAATGGTATGGAGGGATTCGAGGGCCTGGGACAGGGCTGGATTCTTTTTCCTCCCTGCTCTTCTTCCCTAGTTGGTTGTTCCCTTCACTCAATCTTATTTAGTCTGTCATACCTTGACAGTACAAGAAATCGATGTTTTGGAGTGAGGAAGAGAAAGGCTTTTCTCTTCTAAGAAAAAGATGCATTAATTAAAAGTTGCAAAAACGTATAGTTAAGAATCAAGACCCTTGTAGGTATATAATTACCTCAATAATAAATTTTATGCAAAATTTCAACCTTATCAAAAAAGTCTAAACTTTTAGCCAGCGACCAAAGAGTAATAGAAAAAACTCAAGACATAACAAACAGAACATTCCTCTAATTAGCATATCAAAAATACATACATACCTTATCTTCTTGACTTCGAAAATAATATAACGTTTTTCCTACTAGTGTACACCAGACTCTCTTGGAGTAGCCATGCTTCACCTGAAATTATATTCCAGCGAATTATGAATGTAGCCAGCTCAGGACTCTAACACCTTAAAGGAAAGTATGGAATACACACTCTATTTGAAGCTGTATAGGTATCCAGTTTGCTTAAAGTGTAAGTGATATTCCAACTAGACTGTCAAATGCGGTTTAAAATGTACCTGTAGCGGCGTGACATGTTTTGCTTTGGTGCTCATCATTCAACACTTAACAAATGTTTACTATATGTCAAGTACTGTGCCTGGGATTGAGGATTCAAAGATGGATAAAACAAGATGCTGGTTTCAAAAGTACGTATATTTCATTGTTTTCATATTTCATAGATGTCCAGTAACCCCATAGCTCTCTAGGTTCACACCCTAGGTTAGAAATGTGTCTGAGACTGAGCAAGTGAGGACAGAGGTCATGGGGAAGGGTAGGAGGTGAGGGTAGGGCGTGGGTATATTTTTTTGCAGGACCTTTGCAATGACTTATATTTAAATGGACTGTTCTGATAGTAACTCATTGGGAAGGATATAAATTATTGACACAATAGATTTTTACAGTAGGCAAGTCACTACAGTGAAAAGGCCTGAATTTTGAGGTCAGATAGACCAAGGCTTAAAGTCCAGTTCTACCGCATGCCAGATGGTGTCCTCAGGCGACTGACTCTTGGCTTCTGTGGGTAACATGGGATTACTGGACACCTCATTGGGCCGTTGCGATGACCAGAGGAGAAAATGTCAACAAAGCAGAATAGTAGTTACTCAATAAATGCTTCCTTCCTCCCTATGCATAAGAAGTAAAACACATGTTTCATTTAAACCCACAAGCAGCCAGCCTCTGGGCTTTCAAAGTTACGGTTTAAGCAAACAACTCCGCCATCTCACAGTTTGAAGGATTTAAAATGCTGCTTGAGGAAAAACAAAAAGAATGTTTTATTTGGGAAGACATGTTTCAGTTTAATTAAATTTAGAAACATATATTTGCAGACAAATATCCTGGAAGTTTTAAATGGTTTGTGTTATGCAGGGGTTTTTTTTTGCTTCTTCTTCTTCTTTTAAACAAACTCAAAAAAAAAAAAAAGAGAGAGAGAGAGAGACTCATCATAACTGGAGTATAATGCATCAGGCTGCAGAGAGTATCCTTTTGAAATGATATAGCTTTAAAATAGAACAATGGGTACTATTGAAGAACTACAACTTAATGAAGGCTTTTGCCAATTCACTGTAAAAGCTCTGTTTAAAGCCATAGTCTATCTTCATATGTAGATCGAATAATATTAGTTTACCTTAAAACTCTGACTTACTCTGAAAAACCCACAAAGCAAATTACACTAGAAGAATCCTCATGAAAATGGAAAGGCAATCTCAAAACTCAGGGCTTTGGGGAAATGAAATAATTGAAAGAATCATTTTTCAGTGTACCTTGCATCCATAACAAAGATACTTCCTATCAGTTCTGCTTGAAACTTTGAAAGCAAACAGTGAATCCTATCCCGGTGAGCCTTTGTCACCACACACATAAGCTCCCCTGGTCTTCTCTCTTCTCTTGTATTCTCATACCTGTAGCCTTGTCCACTACAAATCCTGACACCAGCCTTGCTGACTTCAGTATCTAGGTGAAGGTCTTGTGATAGTAAGAGTGGTGTAAGGAAAGAGGGAAGTGGAGGGAGGTGGCACCTATAAACAGTTTATATGTGCCAGTCACTGTTCTAAAGAATGTTACCTGCTTAAATAACTCATTTAATCCTTCCTCCAACACCCTGTGAGGTTGGCACTATTATCCCCACTTTATAAATGAGGATGCTAAGGCAGAGAGCCTTGTACATAATTTATTCACGGTCACACAGTGGCAAGTGTCAGAGCCAGGATTTATGCCCATATTCTTGCCTTAGCCTCTGCTACACCGCCTCTCTATATCCTTAACCCTCAGTTCCTTGCTCTCTTCACCTGCTATCCCTCCATTTTCACCATCCATCCCCTCAGCCACACCTAGTGCACTCTACCCTCTGATCTCAACCTCCCTCCGCCTGCCTCTCTCCTTACGCACACGACTCCAATTCTTTGACTTCATTCAAAACCAAGCCCCCTAACCCTCCCATTTTAGTCCAGTTTACCAGTCCCCCCTGCTTCTTTCTCCACCAACCTTGAATCCTGTGTTTGATCATAAAATAACTCCTGCACCAAGACCTGGGATTACATTGTATTCCTATGGCTCTGACAAATCCACCCAACAAAATTTTTCTCCATTTGCTTTTTTAAAAAAAATATTTTTTTATTGATTTCAGAGAGGGAGAGAGAGATAGAAACATCAATGATGACAGAGAATCATTGATGGCTGCCTTCTACACACCCCACACTGGGGATCCAGCCCACAACCCAGGCATGTGCCCTGAATGGGAATCGAACCATTACCTCCTGGTTCATAGGTTGACGCTCAACCATTGAGCCATGCTGGCTGGGCTATTTTTTAAAAAAAAATAAATGAATTATTATGTAAAAAAAAAAATTCATCCTAAGCAGTAAAGAAAAGTTGCAGGAGTAGAATATTCAGAATCAAATCAGTCAAGCTCTTAATATCTACCTACATATTTCTGTACTTATTAGCAATGTGACAACTTGGAAAAACCTGTTCCCCTCTAAGGTACTCAAAGCTGCTCCACAGCATCTCAGACTGTAGCCTGAATGTGAGCTCAGAACAAGTCACTAAGAATAGCTGAGGGATGTTTTTTTGTTACAAGGCTCTGAGGGTGAAAATATGGGGGTGGACAAGGATTCATAACTAAGTAGGAAGAAAACCTACTTAGCATCCTGTCTATGAACCATAATGGTTTGGTCATCAGCTAATCACATCACCTTTTACTTATTTAAAATGCAATTGTGAAATGGGAAGCAGAGAACAGCAGAAATGTAATATGAGCAAAAATTAATCAACCATGTTGATAAATTAATAAGCCATGCTGATTAAAACAGACAAACAAACAAACAAAAAACACAAACTAATTTTGGGGTAAGTAACAAATCCTTGGCCATGGAATCATATTAAACTCTAAGGGCTTGCTATACATGGTCCTTGATAAAGGAGGACATCCAGCCATTATGAATTAACATAAGAATGTGATTTAAAGTAGCACTGTGTTCACTGGAAGATATACACTGAGTGGCCAGGTTATTATGACCACCCCATCAGTACTTCATTGACACTTCCAAAAATACTGAATATTGAAAACTTCCTAAGCAAATACTCTCAAGGTTTTATTATTATTATTTGCATAACTAATTCACTTCATTGTACTGATGGGGTGGTCATAATAATCTGGCCACTCAGTGTATATTTTCACAGTACCAGAGAATTTTCTAACCCATCAGTAACTGAAAAAGCATTTTTATGGTAATGTAATATTTGAAAACAAAACACACAGGTCATTCATTTCTTGATTGAATGTATTGATTTTTTTCTGTTACTTTTGGAACAGCTGGTCAGTCTGCAAATATTACTGAATAACACATTCCCATACTAATATTAAGTATAGATTACATAGTGGCATAGCTCATCACAACATCTAAAGTTTTCACCTCTTACATAAACAAAGCACATGGATAATGAATGGTTGTAGAGATTATTTTTGGTATAATATTTTATGTGTAAAAATTTTATTATATTTCTCTAAAAGGGATAGTAAATATCTGTCAAAACCAATTGAAATTTTAAAAATTAAATAATATTTTAGCATAAATCAATACCGACTCATTAAAAAGTTAGAAAACAGAACTAAGTAAAAATAAAATCAAATCACGTATTCAATATACATTGGTACACTACCCATGCAGCATTGGTGGTAAGCACAGCCGCCTTCGTTCCTATGAATATGTTTAACAAAAGTTGTGCTTTAAAGCATTATACACATTCTGAGTGAATATAATTCTGCACTCTACTTGTTTTATCACCCAACACATCATATTTCCGTAACATTAAATATTCTTAACAATTAAAATGACTACAGAGTAAAGCATTATCTGATTAAATACATATTTATTTAAGCTACTCCCTACTCTGCATCTATGTTGATCCCAAGATTTCTTTAATATAAACTATGCCATGCAAGTAATCTTTCTGGGGTAATGGAAATGTTTTATCTATATCTTGATAGAGTGACAGTAAACATCTATCAAAACTCATCAAACTCTGCCCTAACTGGTTTGGCTCAGTGGATAGAGACTGCAGACTGAAGGGTCCCAGGTTCGATTCCAGTCAACGGCATGTACCTTGGTTGCGGGCACATCCCCAGTGGGGAGTGTGCAGGAGGCAGCTGAATCGATGTTTCTCTCTCATTGATGTTTCTAACTCTCTATGCCTCTCTCTTCCTCTCTCTAAAAAATCAATAAAATATATTAAAAAGCAAACAAAAAAAACCTCATCAAACTCTACACTTAAGATCTGCGTTGTAGTATATGCTAATTATATATCTTTCTTTTTAATAGAGAACATCTATCTGTGATGAACATCCTTATACTTAAATCTTTTACAAATTAAGACCATTTCCTACGCATAAATTACTTAGACTGAGATTACTGAATCAAAGCGTATGTATATATGTTTTTAAAATATTTAATATTCTTTCATTCATTTGTTCTTTCAAAAATATTTACTGAATAAACAGTTTGGCCAAGACATTGCCAAACTGCCTTCTAGAGTAATTCTCTCACTAGCAGATTTCTCAATTTGTGTCAATACTGCATTTCATAATGTTAAAAATGTCCCCCTTTGACCAGATTTTTAAAAATATCTATGATTTCAAGTTGTGCTTTTTAAAGAACGTTATTAGCGAGAGTAAAATGTCTTTCCACATGCTTCTGGAGCATGTGTATTTCATCTGACCTCTCCAGCTCTGCTTCTTTCCCTTCGTGTCCTTTGCTCCTTCCCCCATTGGTACCCTTTACTTACTGATTAGAAAAAGCTTGTTTTTCAGCCATTTCAAATACCTTTTCAAAAATTCTGCCTAGAGATTTTTCGAGAGTAAGAACATTTAGATTTTTATGTATAGTAGTCAAGTTTGTCATTTTTCCTCTTTATGGTTTTGTCTTTGGCATTCTATTTAAAATACCCTTCTCCACCCCCAAGATAACATAAATATTCAATGTATTTTCTCTGACACCCACTATTCCCGATCAGTGGGACCCTGCCAGGCACACAGAGGCCTCCTACCTTCGTGAGCAGGCCCTTCACCGTTGGTTTGCCCTCAGTCTGCAGTGAAAGCGGGTTGGCAGCTTGTACTCGAAGAACATTCTGTAATACCTTAATCCATTCCTCCAATATATTGGGAGAATCTGCAGTCAGATAGTATGTGTGCTTTTCAGTGGTCAACTGGAATGGGATGAGAAAGAGACAGGAAAGGGAACGCTGAAGATTTAGGCTTATTTGCATTTCCTAGTCCATTCTTTAAACATTGCTACGTAACATGGAAACAAACATGCTAAACCTTGAATCCTAGGTGGGAAATAAATGACTCCATAAGTAATTTAGCATATTTTAACCACTCTGTGAGAATTACAGTGATTAACATTCCGTTAAAATTTTTTTTCCAACTGAAGTTTACTTTAAATTTTTCATAATATTAAAATTTTAGATCATGATTTATCTTGTTTACTCAATACATTTTCCTTTAAATGTGCTATAGGCTCCTGGTTGTTGAAGTGAGGAGCAGAATGACTGGAGACTGTACTAAAATAACACATTTTATTTATTTATTTATTTATTTTATTGCTTAAAGTATTACAAAGGGTATTACATATGTGTCCTTTTTTTCCCCCCGCCCTTGACAGTCCCCTAGCCTCCCCTATTCCCCAGTGTCTTATGTCCATTGGTTATGCTTATATGCATGCACACAAGTCCTTAGGTTGATCTCTTACCCCCCCACCTCCTGCCCCCCAACCCTCCCCGGCCATCCCGCTGCATTTTGACAATCTGTTTGAGGCAGCTCTGCCTCTGTATCTATTATTGTTCAAAAGTTTATAATGGTCTCTATTATCCATGAATGAGTGAGATCATGTGGTATTTTTCCTTCATTGACTGGCTTATTTCACTTAGCATAATGCTCTTTAGTTCCATCCATGACGTTGCAAATGGTAAGAGTTCCTTCCTTTTTACAGCAGCATAGTATTCCATCGTGTAGATGTACCACCGTTTTCTAATCCACTCATCTACTGATGGGCACTTAGGCTGTTTCCAGATCTTAGCTATGGTGAATTGTGCTGCTATGAACATAGGGGTGCATATATCCTTTCTGATTGGTGTTTCTGGTTTCTTGGGATATATTCCTAGAAGTGGGATCACAGGGTCAAATGGGAGTTCCATTTTCAGTTTTTTGAGGAAACTCCATACTGTCTTCCATAGTGGCTGCACCAGTCTGCATTCCCACCAGCAGTGCACAAGTGTTCCTTTTTCTCCACATCCTCTCCAGCACTTGTCGTTTGTTGATTTGTTGATGATAGCCAGTCTGACAGGTGTGAGATGGTACCTCATTGTTGTTTTGATTTGCATCTCTCGGATGATTAGTGACTTTGAGCATGTTTTCATATGTCTCTTGGCTTTCTGAATGTCCTCTTTTGAAAGGTGTCTATCTAGGTCCTTTGCCCATTTTTTGATTGGATTGTTTAACTTCCTTTTGAATAACACATTTTTTAACCAAGCCAGGAGTTGTTATAGAAATGAAAAAAATCGCCCTAGGGGTTTGGCTCAGTGGATAGAGTGTCAGCCTGTGGACTGAAGGGTCCTGGGTTCAATTCTGATCAAGGGCACATGCCTGGGTTGCAGGCTCGATCCCCCGTAGGGGGCGTGCAGGAGGCAGCCGATCAATGATTCTCTCATCACTGATGTTTCTCTCTCTCCCTCTCCCTCTCCCTTTCACTCTGAAATCATTCAATCAATTATAAATAAAATAAAATCTTGCATATAAGTTCTCGGAACTAACATGTGATCAGACATTATGAACTTGCAATTTTTTAGACTCAAATTAACCATACGTCAAATTTTCCAGATATTTAGGAAGCTTACAAACGACCTTTATCTGCCATGCTCCAAGACAAAGCTTCCATGATTCGCCTTTCTACATGTTGGGACAGTTCTCAGGTATTATCCACTGGAAACACAGATAATATAACTTTCTAATAAATGTTGAAGTCTACCCTCTCGAGGAGCAAGATAATAATGATTATTAAAGGCATTTCAAAGTGTCTGAATTTAAATCACATATACCAAACTATCTCAACAGCCTACGTCTTAAATGTTACAGGTTTCTGTCAAGACTGGCCTATTTGTGAGTGAAATGGTCAGTGGCTCCTCTATGGTGTGACTTAGTGGGAACTAATACAGCCCCACTGCTCACCAATATCCTTCCCATTTAGGCGTCAACAGCATCTGAAGTTCACAGAACTGTCACTTTCTGGTTCTGTATTTAAATACAAACACTCCTGAATTTAATATACATTAAACTACTAACATCTTCATTTATCTGATAACCCTCCCCTAAAATAGCTAGACAGTTTGAAAGCTGAGAATAGCTGGGAGACTAAGTATAGGGAAAGAACAGTATAAGCGATAAAAGGCAAATGAAGTAGTGGAGAGTTACTCAACACAAACTTAGCTTATATTATGGTTTCATAAATTTTGAGTCATCAAACTGAACCCAAAGTAAATTTTTACAAAATAGTGAATATCCAATCTCCTCTTTATTACTTTGAAATATTGAGAATTGAGTTTTGCATGATACAAAAACATGGTTTTTTAAAAAGTACCTGGACTGTTTGTTTGTTGTCTCCTCTTAAAATACTGCAGGATGCACTAAGTTCAATATGGCCGTGGGGTTTTCTAATTACATCACTCTGTATGAAAGGAAGAAAACCAAAAGCAAAGTGATTACCTGTAGTAGCAATAATAAGAAATGCTTTAATTAATAACATCACGGAAGAAAATCAATCAGGAGTTTGAATTCTAGTTTGAGGAATTCAGTTCCAAATAGCAAGCACTGCTCAGCTGGTTGGGCATTGACCTATGAACCAGGAGGTCGAGGTTTGATTCCTGGTCAGGGCACATGCCGGGTTGAGGGCTCGACCCATAGGAGAGAGCGTGTAGGAAGCAGCCGATCAATGATTCTCTCTGGTCATTGATCTTACTGTCTCTACCTCTCCCTTTCTCTCTGAAACCAAACAGCAAGCGCTTTCCACTCACCGGAGATTTGTAGTAAAGTAATTCACCACCTTTCAGAACAAACCATCTCCGCTTCCAAGTCTTGACTTTACCGCTCATTTTTAATAAATAGCCAGATTTTTCCAGTGGCTCCTAATTAAAAAGAGATTTTAAAAAGTATTTCAGTTTCCTTTGGAAGCTCCAACTAACAGATTTATTCATTTAAGAAACGAACAAAACCCGATGCAGTGCTTACGTTTTTCCCGTTATCACTGGAAGACGAGCACGTTTTAGGGAGCTTCTGCTCCGGCTGCGAGCACTCGGTGTCTGTGGAGTAGGCATCTGGGGGGATAGCATAGTCACTTTCAGAAGCCACGGAAGACAGAGACACACCTAGGTGAGTAAAGGAACAAATCAAAGTCAATATTTAATAACTGGGTGGTCCAAATGCTGGCTGCGATTCTCTGAAGGACACAGCTATTCCTAAATCATAAGCCTTCCTACGCTAGAATCAGTCTCATGCCTTTGGCCGTGAAGAACTTTTAAAGCAGAAAACGGACCTAAAGGGTAAGGAGTAACATGCAAGTCTTTAAGGAAGTCAAAGGAACGTTAATATTTAAAATGATTACAAGCAAAGCTGCTTTTGCATATATAAAATATATACATGAGTCTACAAATGTATCTTTTAGTAAGGATTAAAATATGTGCACTTGCATTTTTATATATAGGCAAACAAATATTTAATCCTTTTTTTCCCAAATATTTAATCTTAATTAAGATTTGCACAATCACATTTACTTTTTGTAATCACCTTTAAAGTAATTCACATTTACAAACACCCCACAATTTCAGAATTTTTTTGTATTAAGTCCAATACTACTAGTTTATAGATTTTAAAAATATTTTAAAAAGAGAAGCAGTATGATTTAAAGACATAAACAGACTATTTCATTTGCCAGTGGCTACAAGAGAAAATTCAGGGAACATTTTCACAATAACTCACTTGGCTTTTAAGAAAAAGACTTGCAAATTGCAAGTTATATTTGGAGGGTCATTACAATGGAGATTTTGAATATATTAAATAAAATCAAGGATTTAGGTCATTATTCATTACACTTGTATAGCCAATTTTAAAAATATTTATTAACATTTAAGGGACATTAGAACAATGTCACTATATCATTATTATTTATGTGAATAAGACAAGTAACAGTTGTGATAACAGTAATGTCTTTTTTCTTTTAATGGAAGGACAGACATTTAGATCTATAAAGGACCTAAAAGATCTTTTTAGCTAATCCCCTCATTATCTAAGGAGACTAAAGGATTTGTCCAAAGTCAAATAACTAGGCATGGGCACTCCTGGAGAACAAACAAAGCTCAGGCTCCCAGATCCAGGGCCAGTATGTGAGGCACCATCCTAGGTGCTAGCGATAGAACAGACAACAAAACAGAACCTTTCCTGTCCTCATGAAACATAGATTCTAGTTGGAGGGAGACAGATAAAAAATAGGCACTAAGTCCCATGGAAAAATAATATGTAGGGCAGACTAAGGGAATTTTTAAGAGTCCAGCAGTTGGAGAAGGCAAAGGAGTGCATCTGAATGGTGTGGTCAGCGCAGATCTCTGAGAGGGCAGTGTCTGCACAGGCACCGAAGGAGGCGCGGGAGTCAGCCATATAGACACCTGGGTGAAGAATACCAAGCAGAGAAAGCAACTAGTGCAAAGGTCCTGAAATAAAAGCGGGCCTGGAATGTTCCAGGAACAGCAGTGTGGCCAGAGCTGAGCGAAGGAGGAGAAAAAAAGGAGATGAGAAAGGACATAAAAGACACCTTATAGCCATTATGAGTCCTTGTAGTATTTTGAGTAAAAAAGTGTGATGTAACCTGAATCTAGCTGGGGGGTAGGGGTGGGGTAGAGAGTCAAGGTATGAGCAAAGAGACCAGTGGAAGCCCAAAATACTAAACCTATGAAAACTGACAACTCCAGTTGAAAATGAGGGGTTTGGGAATACCTAGGGGTTTCCATGGAACACCGTTTGAAAACCAACAAACATATCATGGTGACTTGAAGGTTTTCGTAAATATAGACACCATTTTGTGTGATGAAATCTCTCTGTAACTTCTTCCTAAGCCAAAAATTTCTTCCAAATCCACTAAAAATCACAAATATATCTAAAGTAAATTTTGTATTGTTTTCCATCTTACTACCAGATTAATCACCAGATTTTTAGATGTATTCGTTGCCATTTAGCAGTGTAACAAATTGAGCTGAAACAAATCTATCCCATAAATTATCCAAATAAATTTTTCCCATAAAAAAGTGTTTTCTCTTTTACATGAAAGAAAAGGTTAAACAAAAAAGTCTATGTGGCTTGTCTGGAAACACGAAGAGGATTGCAAATGTAAGTGTCTTAGTCCCAGGCTAATTCTCTCGTCACCATGGTTTAAAGTAAGTGCTCTGACTTTTTTAAAAATCCTATTACAGAGATAAAAGTCCCATTTAGCATTCTGAATGGTTTGGAGTTGCCGCCTATGCCCGAGCCTTTCGCTCACCTCGCTTCATGGCTCTGGGGCTGCCTGGCCCACTCCGGCTGCGCGAGTCAGACTCTGACGTCCGGGAGCTGCATCTGGAACTCTCTTCTTCCTCTGATCCAGAGGACTCATCCAGGAACGGGCTGCTGCTTATCTGGGTCGCCTTCTACAGAAAAGCAGAACCACCTCGATGGGTCCATCTCTACAGTCGCCTCTCTCTTTAGATATAGAATGTTTTACCAGAAGCAGCCATGGAATAAACGTTTTTAAAGGAATGAAAGAACATGTTTTGCCATTATCAAAGTCATGTTGTTAAGTCCCAAATTCTAATTAGCAAGGCATTTTGGCAATTTATAAAAGATTCCTGAAAACATAAGGCCATGAATACCTGGTGATACTTATTTTAATAAGGTTCTTCAAGCAAGGGAGGAGAGCCCTGGCAGTGATACAAAGATCTTTCTAAATTAGTTTTCATTGCATCGTTAGTAACATACTTCCTTTAAACAATTAAGTAAACCGTGGAGCGGGTGGAGTATCACATGGGACATAACAAAATTGGATTCAGACCTCTAATACTGATAAGAAGAAATATCTTCTCCAGATCTTTCATTTCTTATCTTTATATGCTATATTAGAGTGAATTTCTAAAACTCCCCATAAAGGAAGAGTCTGTGGAAACTGACAAGAATGAAATATGGAGCTTGAATAAACAGTCTTCTTGATCCGTCATGAAGAGATCCATATGTTTAACAGTAACAATAATGAGTTACCCCCTTCAATGTTGTATACACTGGAGTTGTCATATTCTTGTATATCAGAGATGTATAAAGTCCTGATGTGGTATAGGAAAGCATTGCAACAGAATCTGAAACAGAAAACAAAATTATTTTTTAAGAAACAACACAAAAACTTCTAACCAGCATTTAGGTCTATTTCTCACGAATGTGAATTAACAAAATTTCCAATTAAAAGAGAGATTGAATCAACACACATGATTACTGGTTATATAGTCTACTTTAAGAATTATGGCATTTGCAGGTTTAATTACACAGTCTATTATATGGTTCATTATTTCCTCATGTGTACTGGTTCCCCAACTAGACTGTAAGCTCTCTGAGAGCAAGGATCATGGCTTTTATTTCAATGGCATCTCCATCCAGCTCAGTCTGGGCAGAAATAAGTACAAACACCTGCTGACTGGTTCAGTGAGCAGCAGCCTATGAAGATATTCTCTGATTATCACTGACATGGTGTTAAAACATGATCATTCTTAGGCCTTTATCAGGTGAACCTCATGTTGAAAGGTTAGAATACAATCTCCTAAATGGTAAGAACATGAGATAGTTGGAAAGAAACAGAATATCAGTGGTTATCTCTGAGACATGAATTAGTGGTAAGATAGGTAGAAGGAAGCACAGGAAAATTTCTCTCTTTTTTTTTTTTTTCAGACAGTTCTTTGTGATTTTATTTTATTTTATTATAATTGGCATGTGTTGCCTTTATAATACATTTTTGATGAAAGAAAGAGACAGGGAGGGAGGGAGAGGTGGAGGGAGGGAGGAAGGGAGGAAAGGAGGAAGGAAGGAAAAGAGAGAAATGTGTTTTAAACTCTGGAAAAAGAGAACATAGAGACCAGTATGTTTCCTTTAAACAGCTGAAACGCCACAGTTTCTTTGCTTTAGCCTTTTCTAGGTAAAAACATAATGAGGTACTCTCTGCATGAGAATGAAATGTTCATGTGCCCCTATACTGAATTTTAAAATATAAATCAGCAATCCTAGAAATCATTTTCTGAAAGGTTAAATAACTCTATTATTCTATTATTTAGACATTTAGGAATTTCTTGGCTAATGAAACAGCAGTACAAAATCACTTATTTTTATATTTTAATTTTTTAATATTTTTATTGTAGTAAAAAAAGTTTAACATAAAATTTACCATTTTAACCATTTTTAAGTGTACAGTTCAGTTAATGTTAAGAATATTAACATTGTTGTGAATCTGATCTTGATAACATTTTATCTTAGAAAACTGAAATTCTATACCCATTAAACAACTATTCTCCCTTTCCTTCCCCCAAGGCCCAATAACCAGTAGTCTACTTTCTGTTTCTATGAATCGGACTATTTTAGATACCTCATATAAGTGGAATCATACAGTATTTGTCTTTTTGTGACTGCTTATTTCAGTTAGCGTAATGTCCTCAAGGTTCATCCATGTGGTAGCATGCAAAATCACTTACTTTTATTAACATTCTCCATATTGAAGGCCTCAGACATCCGAATGCCTGATTTGGCCACAGCATAAATTCTGCTTTCCTAATGTAAAAGAGAAATTTAAACTGAATATTTAAAGCAAAGAAATGATTACTTTCAATGCACATGTTTTTCATTTAATATTCATTAGAGTACAGCATTATTATAAAACTGTCACCATTGCCAACTAAAATATGCCACTGTGAATAGCACTGCAGAGGTTTTTTTCCCATCCATTAATAATTCCATTATTTATCTTTGTTCCCAAACTTTTGCTTAGTATTTTAAATTCTTTTGGAGATAGGGAAAAAAAAGTAATAGAAAGCTTACTCACAATCCATCACTGACTATAGATAAGCACTACCTCTAATAGTCTACCATTCTAGAATATGGTTAAAGAAAAAAAAGGGAAAAGCCTGAATAGTTGTAACCTGAAGCCAGAATCCATTCATAATCATTGACTTCACATAAGTATTGCCTTTAATATTCTACCATTTTCGAACATGGTTGAAGAAAAAAGAAAAAACTTGAAATCAGAAATCACAGATAGAGTAGCATCAAGTGTTATTACCTTCATATTTCAATGAAGTAGAAGAAACACCCGAGGTCAAACAGTAAATTTGAGAACTGCAATGGAATGTATAATATCTTGTTCCAGAAGTACGTTATTTTGCTTTCTCTTTTTCATTTCAGAGATAGCTCTGAAATGGGTACTAAAAAGGTCATTAACCCTGCCCCTACGAGAAAAGGGACTCTAACCTGGATACAGCTGTCTAGACCACAGTACAGCAGGCACCTAAGGCAGTCCTGTTGAGGACTGTGCTAGCCAGGGGCCTGTGAGGTCACGGGCATGAGAATCTCTAACTGTCTGAGACACTTTGGATTGAAGAGTGGCTGACTGAATGACTCAGATGCAGTTTCTTTGAGAGTGTGATTGTGGGCAGAGTTGGCAGAACAGAGAGATACTGGTATATAAAAACTAGAGGCCTGGTGCATGAATTCAGGCACTGGTGGGGTCCGGCCAGCCCACCCTGAATGGGGCAATCGGGCTGAGTCGGCAGGGGGGAGGGGACGCAGGGGTGGGCTGGCCCGTCCCCTGGTCAAACTTCCAGTGGAACTCCTAGTTGAGGGGACAATTTGCATATTAGCCTTTTATTATATAGGATAAGACAGTAAACAGGAGATGTGAGGCAGTGAGAAGTCAGGGGAGAGTGAAGAAGAGTAGTTAGTAGTGGTGAGAAAAGCAGACTCACTGTAGACAGGAAAGGACAAGTGAGCCACTGGACCTGGAACAATGGTGTCACCGGTTTCTAAGTGGTTGACTATCAGAGGTGCTGTTCAATCATCACATGTTGTCCCCCTAAAGCAGTGATGGCGAACCTTTTGAGCTCGGTGTGCCAGCAACCCTAACTTAACTCTTAAGTTGAGAAACCCTAACTTAACTCTGGTGCCGTGTCACATATAGAAATTTTTTGATATTTGCAACCATAGTAAAACAAAGACTTACATTTTTGATATTTATTTTATATATTTAAATGCCATTTAACAAAGAAAAATCAACCAAAAAAAATGAGTTCGTGTGTCACCTCTGACACGCGTGTCATAGGTTCGCCATCACTGCCCTAGAGTGACTACTGAATTTTAAATGACAGTCAAGTTCAATAAGGATGGGCTATGTCTTAAACTCTTAATAAAATAAACTCTGATAAACTGAGGTAACTAGAATACATCTCTTTGTTGTGAAACCTGAAAATACCAATAAACAAAAATAAAATCTTAAACTTGGCCAGTCTGCTAAAGGGTTTGTGAAAAACAATAGTACTTTTTCAGGATTGAATAGTTTCAGCAGCCAAGGAAAAGCAAGAAAGGCAAAAAAAAAAAAAAAAAAGAAAGAAAAAAAAAAGAAGTAAAATGGTTTGCCAACTAAAACACACTTGAAAGCCTAACCTAAATCTCTGGAAATCTCAACATAATAAGAAAAGCACGCTGCCTAAAGGATAACATATTTGGAATTCCAGAGATTCACATGCCAATAACATCCCCTTCCTTTGTTTGCTGTCCAGAATTTAGTAATAAACTGCAGACGGCTTCATATGGACAATGAAAGGTTCTTCTGAAAGTAAGTAAGAGCATATACAGCTCAAGGTCTGAATTTATACTAGGAAACACGGTCACCTTAATTTGCTAAAAACGGCCTTTCTCACTAAATAAAAAAAGTAATAACAGAACACGACTCCAAAAACCCAAAATTCCTGCAACCCAGGTGTTTCTCTTGAGGCCACAGGTTAAATTATGTCAAAATGGGAAGGAAAACGTAAATCTACAAAACAGATCATTTCACTTTGTTTCAAATACAGGAAGAATTTTTAAATTGATGGATGAATTGATAGGTGAATTATTATATTAATTGTCAATGTTTCAATGGAAGAATTTCCATCTATTCTGGATATTTAGGAAGATGCTTTTGGTTAAAGGAATGGATTTATAAGTTCATAAAGAGTAAAATTAAATTTCTCTTAAGGCCAATCAATGAAATAATTAACTTCAAAAACTGATGACCAGTAAGAGTTAAGCGTCCCGGTTGAGAATTCACCCACAAGTATTAACACAGTTAAAGAGGAACCTTTCTTCTCCACCCCAGATGTTTTCTTACATGTGGAGGGGGCTCCAGTAATTCAACACTCCTGATCTCTTCCCAACTATTCACTCTCCCCTCCCCGAGGAGAAGGAGTGGCTTAATGAGATCGGTAAGCTTAGAAGGAGAAACTGGACATGCAGAGTCCAGCACCTTCCTCTCTCCTTTCTCTCCAGAACAACCATTTGTTCATGCTCTGGGCTTTCAGTTTCCGAGGGCAGGGCCTCACTGGCCGCAGCCTGTGGGGGTCCAGCACCAGCTGGTGAATCAATCAGCTAACTCCAAGGTCCAGTATGAGAAAGCTCCTCTGCCCACCAATTCTCTAAAATCAGTTTATTCAGTAATAAAGGTAATATTTTGCTCTCCCATCTGTCTTATCCTTGTCTTGCTTCTTTATTTTAATATATTTTATTGATTTTTTTTTTTTTACAGAGTGAAAGGGAGAAGGATAGAGAGAAACATCGATCAGCTGCCTCCTGCACACCCCCTACTGGGGATGTGCCCGCAACATGCCCTTGACCGGAATCGAACCTGGGACCCTTCAGTCTGCAGGCCGACGCTCTATCCACTGAGCCAAACCGGTTAGGGCTCTTTGTCTTTCTTCTCATTGATCCAGAACTCAGTGAGAAAGAGAAGGGGAAATTCTGTTCTGAAAACAGGGAAGGATCAGAACAAAGGTGGATTTGAAAAGAAACAGGAAAAGAAGGCAAACCTGAAAACGAGTGTTAAGAAAAAACACACACACACAGAGTGCACGTGCTGCACACAGCAATACAATTTACCCAGGAGGGAAAACGGTGCAGGGGAGGAGTCGGAGGTTTGCTGCACGCCGCCTTCTTGGCTGAGTCACAGCTTTCCTGGTCATCTGAACACGGGGATTCCAGGGAGTCATAGGAGAACAACCCGTCGTCACAACTGGTGTCCATATTCTCCAAAACTTCCGTACTGTCGCCATCCACCAGATCCAGGTCTGTTTCCTGGGGTCTCAGTGGCCGGATCATGCTTATGGCATTTCTGTTTGTACCAAACATCCTATCGGAACTTAACTGCGGCTGGCTTAGGTGCCTTTTGGCCAGTGCTACACTTATACTGAAAACATTAGGAATCCTTAACTTGGGGGGTGGCAGGTTGGATGAAGGCACTAATTGGGTTCCTTTTCCAGGCAGTAGGTTAGGATGCTTTGGAGTCAAAGCTGGGGTCAAAATCGGGCTTGGGGTGTTGGCCTCACTCGATGACGATGAATAATCCAGCCTCTGAGACTGAAATTTTTTATTCAGTTCATCTGAGGAACTATCGTGCTCCTTTTTACTCGACTCGGGATTTCCCTTTCCAAGAAGACTATTCTGAGCTTTCCACTGTGCTTCCTGCTGCCAAGAATACAGCTTCTTGTGCTCTGGTCTCTTTATGCCGAAAGTCTCTTCTTCAAATATAGAACTGCTGTCATCGGACGCTGTCAGATAGGGTTCACTGCCCATCCTGCTGCACCGGACCCCTTCCTCTGACGTGTGGCTGGACAGGGTGGACGTGTACCTGGACTTGGATCTTCCTTTGCTCCCGTCTTCCTCATCAGAACTCCAGTCACTCCCGGGAGCCCCAGAATTCTGGGAGATGCCGCCCTCTGTAGCGAGACTTGTTCTTGATTTCCGGTTCTGCTCTGAGCCACAAGGGGTTTGACGCAAAGTTCTCTGACCTCGGCTGTTTTCTTGAATGTGGTTATCGACAGACTTTTCTGGAATTTCCATTTCTAGAAAAGCATATATCATATTTGCATGTTTGCCTTTAATAATATAATCTTTCAGTGCATTTAGCTTTATGTAACTACACTGTCAAAACTGGAGTTTTCATAAGAATAAAGTTAATTTACATTATTTTTTTTTTTTAGTTGTATGACTTTTTTAAACCAAAGTTTGGAAATGATAAGTCTTATATAAAACATGGAGCCCTGACACTTCAATAGCATAGTATCAAAATGAAACTGCTTTTACAAGCAAACATGTTGGGAGGAAAACTGACAATAGTCTGAGGAGAGATACTCAAAGAAGCAAAACATGAAATAGGGCAACACTACCTATCAAAGAAAGCAGCCACTAAAACATGAACACTCTTAAATTGATTTTAGAAGCAAAGAGAATGACAACCCTCTTACATTTCTATTTCAAAATCATCACATGTAAATTTAAACATAATATAGTTCAAATAACAAACTTGGTTTCCAAACTTCAATACATGAAATATGCAAAACGATGAAGAAAACATAAACAGAGAAGGGCTTTCCTCCCTCTACTTCTGGCTTAATCGTAACTTCAAAATGTGCTTTTATAATAAGAATTACACTCGTCTACAATGTCTTTAGATATGGCTTATTTTGTTTATAACATAATTAACAGAATAAACCACTGGCTTCAGAAACAGCGAACTAAAATTTTAGATCAAAGAGTACAAAATAAACTTTGAAACAGAAACATAGGTATGGCCTTTATAACTAAGGAAATAGAGGCAGAACAAATAAACTGCAATTTGGTATCAGGCACTTTGTTAAAACTGCAAATGAACGAAAGTTTCAATACAGGCAGCCTTCTCAACAAACAACAACAAAAATGCAAGTAACGGCATAAAAGTGAGTAGCAAAGGTGCCTTCTAGCTGAAAAAACATTAGGCAGTTTTCAGAATTTCATAATCAAGCATAGACTTTTAGGGCTATAATTTTTCTCCTTTGGGGGAAGCAAAGTGGGAACTGAAAATAGAGACGATGCAAATTCAAGTCTCCCTGAAATACCTGGGGAAAGTCATCCTGGGTGGCAGAGCCAGCAGCTGCACCACAAAGCAAAATTTAGAGGGGCTTTAAGACTAAAAGAGGAATATAAATCTGCACAGAGGTTAGGGTTTCAACATCCAGGCAAATATTTTCCTCGTTGAAGCAATAAAGGGAAAATCAAAGCAGTTACAAAAATTGTCCCCTGGAGCTCTTTTTCTTTAGAAATTTGCAATGTCATATTTAATATTAGGTAATTTTTAAATATTTAAAATAAATAATGAACAGAAAGTTCATAGTACTAATCTGAAACTCTGAGCTGAAACAAGTACCATGTAGGTGCAACTGTGAACCTTTTTAAATTTTTTTTTTTTAATTAATTTTAGAGAGAGGAAAAGAGGGGGAGAGAGAGATAGAAACATCAATGATTAGAGAGAATCACTGATGGGCTGCCTCCTGCATGCCCCACACTGAGATAGAGCCCACAATCTGGGCATGTGCCCTCACCAGGAATCGAACTGTGACCTTCAAGTCCAGGGGTCCTCAAACTATGGCCCGCAGGCCACATGCAAATACAAATATTGTATTTGTTCCCGTTTTGTTTTTTTACTTCAAAATAAGATATGTGCAGTGTGCATAGGAATTTGTTCATAGTTTTTTTTTAAACTATAGTCCGGCCCTCCAACGGTCTGAGGGACAGTGAACTGGCCCCCTGTTTAGAAAGCTTGAGGACTCCTGTCCTAGTCCATAGGTTGATGCTCTACCACTGAGCCACACCAGCCAGGCTATAAACCTTTTTGTAATTTTAAATATCACTGCTTCCTACTGCAGGGAGAAGTACCAAGAGGGGAAAATCAGTTTCTCCTCTACCTCACTGGCAAAGACTCTCAAAAAAAAAAAAAAATACATAGTTAGATACACAAAGTTAAATGCTGAATATCTCTTTAAAAGTATTCTCATAAGACATGAACCTGTCAAGAAAAAAAAAAATAAGAAAACTAGGATGAATCATTCAGATACATTTTGTATATTTACCCTTTTGAGTGACGGAAAAATTAAAAAAGGAAAATTAAGCTATATAAGGATTTTTCCCTTTTAAAAAATGTCAAAGCAAATTCCGCTAGTTCATAAATACCTTCTATGTGTTTTCCTTCAGTGAACTCAGGTTCTTTAGATGGTATCTTGCTCATTTCCTCAGATTTTACTACTTGAGGAGGACTCCTCGCTCGGGATGAAAAGCACCCGAAGGTCAAACTGCTTAGGCGCTGGCCTTCCGAAAGCTTTGGCATGGAAACACTGGATGACTTCTTCCCTTGCGCTTCTGCAAGATCGTTCATCAAAATCAAGACCTGAATTTTTCACAACAGCTTGATACACACAGAACCAAAGCACATAAAAACGTGGACAAATCACTCCTTCTGCCAGAATAAAAGCCTGAAAATCCTAAAGGTTGTCTTTTGTCTTTTTCTTTTATTATTCGATTTATTTAAACTGAAAAAAGTTTTCACCCATTTCTCCCACCACCCATCCATCGCTTCTGGCAACCACCAATCTGTTCTCTGTGTCAATGAGCTTGGTTTTTCCATTTTATTTATTTATTTTTAGATTCCACATATAAAAGATCATAAGGTATTTGTCTTTTTCCAACTTATTTAACTTAGCATAAGGCCCTCAAGGTTCATCATGTTGTTACAAACGCCGAGATTTCATTCTTTTTATGGCTGAGTAATATTCCACATATATATATATATCTTGGCTTCTTTATCCATTCACCCATCAATAGACACTTAGATTGTTTCCATATCTTGGCTATTGTAAATAATGCTGCATTGAACATGGGGTGCACATATCTTTTTGAATTAGTGTTTTCATTTTCCTCGGATAAATGCCCAAAGTAGAATTGCTGAATCATATATGGTAGTTCTATTTTAATTTTTTAAAATCTCCATACTCCTTTCCACGGTAGCTAAACCAATTTACATTACCACTAACAGTGTACAAGGGTTCTCTTTTGTCCACATCCTTGCTAACACCTAGTTATTTCTTGTCTTTTTGATAATAGTCATTCTGACAGGTATGAGGTGATATCTCATTGTCGTTTTGCATTTCTCTGATGATTAGTGATGAGGCCTGGTTGCCAAATGATTAGAGCAGCGGTTCTCAACCTGTGGGTCGCGACCCCTTTGGGGGTCGAACGACCCTTTCACAGGGGTCGCCTAAGACCATCGGAAAACACATATATAATTACATATTATTTTTGTGATTAATCACTATGCTTTAATTATGTTCAATTTGTAACAATGAAAATACATCCAGCATATCAGATATTTACATTACAATTCATAACAGTAGCAAAATCACAGTTATGAAGTAGCAACGAAAATAATTTTATGGTTGGGGGTCACCACAACATGAGAAACTGTATTAAAGGGTCGTGGCATTAGGAAGGTTGAGAACCACTGGAGTAGAGGGTTGGAAATTTCAGCCTCACTCTTCATCCTCTATATCCCTGACCTCAGGGAAAGGGAGAAGGGCTGACAGTTGAATTAATCACCATTGATTTTTAGAGAAAGTGGAAGGGAGGGAGGGAGGGGAGCATCCACGTGAGAGAGACACATCAATTGGTTGCCTCCTACACAGCAACCCAGGTACATGCCCTTGACCAGGAATCGAACCCAAGACCCTTCAATGCACAAGCCGGTGCTCTAACTACTGAGAAAGACAGGCCAGAGCGACTAAATTTTTTAAAGCAAACATATCTGCAAATAAATGTTGAAATTAGTATTATCTCCTTTGTGTTATTTGCTACTGTCTACCTATGCTTTCTAATATGGACATGTGGCTATTTAAATATAAATCAATTCAAATTAAATAAAATGTAAAATTCAGTTCCTTAGTTGTGCCAGTCATATTTCAAGTGCTCAATAGTAAAATTCTATATATTAGTAACCAAATAAAACCAACGGAGCTATTTTAGTCAAAGTACTCATACCTTGTAGTTTTGCCTGTATTGTTCTTATCTCTTCGGTTTGGTTTTGGTTGATCAAACGAAGATTCTGATTCTCCAATTCCAGCTAAAAGGACATATGGTATTCTTTTAAATAGGAATAACATTTCTAAAATATACTAGTAAATTATAATATGTAGAAAATGTTAATACCTAATTACACATAAGCAAAATACAAAAGATTTATCAGCATAAGTTATCAACTTATATAATTATGGCTTAAATATTAATTTTTCTAAAACTAAGAGTTTTAAGTGTTTTCACCCCATGACTTTTCACTGTAAAATTATTTTAAACCAAATTATTTTGGCATTTAATCTGCCATATAAACTAAATAATGTGTACTTCTCAGATACTGAACACAATTTTATGAAATACACATGTTCTATAATTTTTTAAAATTAACGAATTAGAGTTAAAAATCAACTAATTAGAATGAGGCTACTTATACTGATTACCATGAACCTATCAATATTTTTCATTTTAGAAATATATTGAACATTAAAATAAAAGCTACTTATCTAACATTTACCAAAAGACAGCAGCCAAACCAACTTTTCAGAATTTTGTTTCACTTAGACTGATCATATATTCTGATAACTTATCTATTTAAAATAAGTAAAAGGTACAGAAAAGGCAAAATATAACAGTAAGTACCTCATTTAACTTAAGTGTTACCCATTCTTTGATCTTAGCTGCTTTCTCTTCTATAATTTTAGCTTCTTGTATCCTTATTTGTTTCTGAAAAAACATTGTTTGTTTAGTTCAAATATAAGCTCACAGGTCTAAAAATGTCATATCATGCATAGAAAAAGGCAAATCCACTTAAAACCTATTTCCAAGCTAATACCTTTACCTCCAAATTACCAAATAGAGTAAAACTTCTTCAAAATAGACTCGACCAGGCCGAAAACCGACTTCTGCGCATGGGCCACGAAGTTTCAATCGTACTGTACGTGCGCGCCCACACATGGTATTTTGTGGAAAAACCACACTCAAGGGGCCAAGGAACCGCATGTGGCTCGCGAGCCACGGTTTGCCGACCACTGGTCTAGGGTTTATAACAATGCGGGGGGCGGGGAGAGGGGGGTCAACCAGGTTGGGAAGAGAGTCAGAATCTCCCCGGTGGCATGGCTTTGTTTCCCCCTCAAACACTACTAGTTTTTAAAGATCCAGAAAAAAAATGAAGATCAAAAAGCGCTAGCTCACATTTACCAACTTAAAATCGAGTTTGGTCACAAAACTCCTGAGAATGTGACTACTGTATAAATTACAGTTGGTGGGAAACAGGGGTGGTGAAGGCTGAAAACCACTGACCCAATAAAACACCAATCCCTACAGAAATGAAAAAAAAAGCTGAAATTAAATAATTTAACATGTTTAACAATTTCATAGTGGTCATATTGAAATGACGCTAAATAATCCTAATGCAATTTTTTTTTGCTAATAAACTTTTAAAATGAACTAATTACAATACTTGATCTCAATAAAGTAGTTTATAAGCAGTGTGCACATTTCTAAGCAGACAGATAAGCCACAAACATATATTTAAATGTAACGAGCCATCAACATTCCCAACACCCTAAACATTCTAAACGAAAGATTTACTTGAAACATTTTACAGACAGAAATGCCTGCTGATAACCAAGTGTTTTCAACTTAAACATTACACTCACACCTTCATAGTTAGGAGCATTGTCACATACAAAAAGTGTCTCAGAATTACCCCAGACTAAAGGTGAATGCCACTTACTTTCACCTCTCACCAATAAATGTGATGCAATTCTATGGGTTGACCAAATGAGTAAGATTTCTGACCAAAATTTAGAAGTTTAAGCTCTGTCTCTTTCATCTTTGCGATTATGCATAAATGAATGCATATATTGAGAACTGTTTAAATGATCAAATTCTTCCTAACCTGCTCTTCAAGTTGCAGTTCCAAGTTTTGTATGATATCATCTTTTTCCTGTATCAGGGTCTCCAGATCTTGACACTTTTTATATAACCTTGTCTCCGATTCACTGGTTTGAATATTAGCTGCTTTTAATTTCTCTTCCATAACTTGTACCTAAGTTCAGAAGGTAAATAATAAAATTAGGCATGGACTTAATTTATCATAGTATTAAATTTAGAATTTTACTTTAACATTAAATAGGTTCCTAAAAGTTATCATCATAAAAGGAAAATACTGCACAGCACATTTCAATATATATAACAATTATCAAATCTGAAGACTACTTTGCCAAGTGGTGTTAACTCTGAGGTACAAAAGGGTACATTAGAGATTTGCAGATTATTGCTATCATATAATCTACATGTTTAACAGAACAATAATAATATGCAAAGCATTTCATAAGAGTATAGAATCAGGAAGTTTCCAGCCCTAACGTTTTCATATTTTAAACAAAGTAGGAGTATAAAGAAAAGAAGGTGAGTGGTGACATAAAGACTCTAATTGGATGGCCTAGCACAGTGATCGGCAAACCGCGGCTCGCGAGCCACATGCGGCTCTTTGGCCCCTTGAGTGTGGCTCTTCCACAAAATACCACGTGCCGGCGCACACGTACAGTGCGATTGAAACTTCGTGGCCCATGCGCAGAAGTCGGTTTTTGGCCTGGGCGAGTCTATTTTGAGAAAGGTATGTTGAGATGGTTTGGACATATAGAGAGGATGAACGAAAGGAGATAGACGAAACAAGTACACAAGACGAGTGTGGATGGGAGAGTTGGAAGGGGTTGACCTCAGCGAACGTACCTCAATCAGATTGAGGACGTTTTTAGCAAAGGCCAGCTTAGGAGTACCCTAATTAAGTTAATAACAATGTACCTACCTATATAGTTTAAGTTTAAAAAATGTGGCTCTCAAAAGAAATTTCAATCGTTGTACTGTTGATATTTGGCTCTGTTGACTAATGAGTTTGCCGACCACTGGCCTAGCATAATAACACATTTTGAGGGGAAAAATTAAACTTAGATGAAAACACACACACACACATATAATGGAAAGCAAAAGGAAATCAAAAGAACCTTAAGCTCCACTGATGGAATCATAAAAAAATATTTTAAAAATAAGAGTCTCAAGCTATAGGTAGGAGAGTATGCCAAGTGAGGTTTATTGATTCACTAATTTAACAAATATTCAGTGAATACCTGTCACTGCCAGGCCTGTTCTAGGTCCTGGGAAGACATCAGTGAATAAAATGGACCTAAAGTCGTCGCTTGAATTGAAATTAAATTCTACTGGGTAAGAGAGATCACAAGTATAATAAAGGTGTGAAAATTATACAGTATGTTACACAAGAGGATAAGGGTAACGGGAAAAAAAGAACAAGATAAAAGAGTGTCTGGGGGTACAGCGGTGCCTCAAGTTTAATATCTAAAATACACCGGCTCTGCTTGGATCTTCTGTAAAACACATTTGAGCACATGAAACCTTAGAAGGGATGTGTGAGTGTTAATGACAGTAAGAAAGAAAATGAAGTGCTGGGCAATCTCTACGACAGCAAGACTTTTAGTTTGTATGCTCCGAATGAGTCAGAATGTAATTTTAGCAATGTTTCAGATTATAGGGGCAAGGAAGAGAAATATGCAAAAGCATTTGAGGAATTAAAGATTATAGCGAGGATGAAAAACCTTAAGCTATTAAAAACACCTCTGAAAAACCACACAGTCCTTACTTAATATTTAAAATTACTTAACATCTAGAAGGATGATGTTAAGGTTAGTTTTGGTTTTTAAACCATGAATACAAGATTTCATCTGTGGGCTCAGCGTATAAACGTAAATTCAACTCCAATGCCAAAAGTGTCCTATTTAAATACCACCCACATGGCTGGAAACTATGAAAATAAAAGTAGATTTTTTAAAAGATGAAAATGTATTTCACTATCTAAGAGACAATTTTAAGTTATCTTAAGGTTTAGATTTTTTTTTAACATAATATAGCAGGCTTTCTGCAGAAACTGCAGACCAATAGTCAAGGACACAGGTCTACATGAGAGATGCTGCTGTGAAAAACAGCGGGAGCAGGACCGTGGGCATCTAGGGTCGATCTGAAGATGGTACAGCCAGTTCTGCACAGGACATCCTGTAGCTGTGGAAGCAGACAGAGAAGAGCAGAGTCCAAGTCCAAAATGCTATTTCTGCTCCAGGGATCCAGTAATAGATGATAAACCTTAAGGGGAGCAGAACAGATCTGCCCCAAATATGCCTCGTTGGCATACTGATTATTTGAATTAAAGTTACTTGAGAAACAGCCAGTACAAGAAGGACACTCTGACCCTCTTTGGTTCCCCCCAAAGCAGGAAACAAATCTCCCATGTGAAAGATACCCTCCCTGTATCAGAAGGGCAGAGGCATTCTTACCACCGGAATAAGAAATTTAGGGCCGAGAAAACGATATAAACAAGTCTTGTTACTTCTTCACCAATTTAGTGAAGCGCAACCCCCTTTGTCTTGTCAATTTTTCACAAATTGATTGTTCTCTCGTCTAAAAGCTATGAAAGCTGCCTGCTTTGTTCACTTCTATGAGCCTCATGTCTTTATGGGGCTCCCATACATAAATAATTAAATTTGGGGGTTTTATCCTGTAAATCTGTCTTACGCCAGTTTAATTATTAGATCAGCCAAAGGGCCTAGAAGGAAATAAATGTTCCACGCCTATAAAGCTAAAGAAAACCAAAAATAACTGAATAAGAATAGAAATAAACATTACCAGGCCTACACCTACAGTCTCTTTTTATTAAGTCAGAGCAAGCCACCCTACAGACCTTGGGCTGCCACATAAAACTGCCCTGTTATTGCCTAGGAAAACTCTGGTTTGGGAGTACGCATCTCCCTTGAAAAACACGTTCAGTTTGAAAGGCGTTCTCGTTTTATGAATGAATGCCACAGTCAGAGCTCCTTGGCTGCATCTTTGGCACGTGCAACTTTGTAAATTGATTAGTACTTTTAGACAAACAACTTTCCGAGACAAGGAAAATATTGGCAAAAATGGCAAAGTCTCCTAGGGAGAGCGATCACAGAGTAGTGCCAGGCAACCCACTTGCTAAGTGGTCCTGTTAAGACCGAGTTCCACAGAATTCAGCAGTCGTCCTTGATAATTAATGAATAAGAGTTCTACAGAAAAGGCTTATAGAAAAACCAAGCCGCTTTCAAAATATCTTACCACAAGTCCACAGAAAATAGCCCGGTTCTTTTTTGATTCATTTAATCTGGACCATATAAAAATTTTAACTACTCAGAGATTGGCCAATAACAAACATACATGAATTCAAACTGGTTGTTAAAGAAACGCTTGGAAGGCCCTGAAGATCAGGATGACTGAGTAGTAATCATTTATTAGGAACCAAAAATGATTTGGATACTAAGAACCAACTTTACAGAAAAGCAGATTAGCCCGCATGTTAGAATGGTCACGGGGAACTTTAAATCCAGCTCCTACCAATCACAAACAAAGGCAAGTGATTGAACTCAGGACACAAGGAAAACACAAACTTCTCCAGGGGAAATTATTTACCCCTCTTTGGTTAGCATAAAACCGTGTAGTACCTTTGAGTACACGGCTAATCAGGTACTTGGGAATGAATCCTGTGGATCATTATATCCAAATGTGCTACTTCTTGTTGTTCTGTCTCATAGAATACTCATAAACAGTAGTGGGTTGATCTGCACACACTGCTTTCAAAAGTTGTGAGTAACAATAAAAATGTACTACAGCATTAAGTATAAAGATGGCCAATATGCCTCTGGGGAAATATGTGGATTTTTTTTCTAAAGCCCACGTATTTAATGGTTTTGCAGGTGATGCCTTTCATGAATAAACAAGAAGAAAAATGGTGAAAGCTAAAAAGTATCCTGTTGAGCTGGTTTCAGCTGACTACTGCTTTATTGGTGAAACATTCCTTTTTGGTTAATAAAGTACAGTTTAAGTCTTAGGATATGGCTCAATGACAAAGGACAAGCTGAATTTAAGCAACATAAACAACAGATAGGCCACAGTCCCATGGAAACTGTTAAAGATAGCAAAGAATTCAGTTGTCCTAACTTAATAATATTTACTTAAACTTGTGAAGGCCAAAGCAAGGTGCTATAATCGGTGCATGAGAATTCATCTGCTCTATTTATATTTTCTGTTAACTTTTAGATTCATTATGAAGTATTTAAGAAAAAATTCCATTGTAAGCATAAAAAATAGGTACTGAATAAATGTAAAGTGTTGTCACAAAAAGAAATATATACAGATTTTGCTAAATTCTATAGAAACTGGGAGATTTTCAAATCTTAGTCCTTTTTTAGAGGTGGGAACTGATTTAAGGCAGTATGTCTAAAATAATCAACTATCATGTTTTATTGCTTAAAAATGTAGCACAAAGAATTAAGTAACTTTACACCTGGTATCCTCAAAGGACAACGTCAAATAAGAAGTTCTTCCTAGCCCTGACCAGTTTGACTCAGTGGCTAGAGCGTTGGCCTGTGGACTGAAGAGTCCCAGGTTCGATTCCGGTCAGGGGCATGTACCTTGGTTGCGGGCACATCCCCAGTAGCGGGTGTGCAGGAGGCGGCTGATCGATGTTTCTAACTCTCTATCCCTCTCCCTTCCTCTCTGTAAAAAATCAATAAAATATATTTTAGAAAAAAGTTCTTCCTGTTAACTCATCAAATCAGTAGATGAGCCTAATGGCTATAAACTGCCATGGTTTTCTTCCCTTGAATTGGGGATGGGGTTTCTTTATTTCTACTAAGACCCAGTGAATCAAAGAAAAAAAAAAAACACCCTGAAAATCACACATAAAATGTACTTAGTTTAGTTTAATTTTCAGAGCTAAATAAATGTGCCATATATGTAAAGTAAGTATTTCAACTTAAGAAAGGGCAAACAAAGCCATCCTCAATTTCTTTCTTTCTTTTTCCCTATAGTATGAGCAGTTAAAGAGGAGAAAGAAAGGGTAGAGAGACATATAGAGACAGACAGGGGCATTAGAGGTAAAGAGAGATGCCATCAGGAAAGGCCAAAATCAGAAAGAAGATAAGGAGGTAGACATGAAAGCCAGAGAGGCAGACAAAATGTGTGCTGCAAGGTGTGGGGCTAAACAGGGACATACATATAGGACCCACCACAGAAAAGAAACAAAACACTTGGTATAGAATGACAGGGTGTCATAAAAATAAGAGTCTTTCATAGACTATAAGTAACCTTTTACAATCTTATTGTTAATTATTGGCTTTTTAGCCAATACTTAGATTGAAGTGGAGATATTACTATCAGCTAAAGAATATAAGCCCTGGCTGGTGGGGCTCAGTAGGTTGGAGCATTGTCCCTTACACCGCAAGGTTGCAGGTTCAATCCCTGGTTGGGGTGCATGCAAGAGACAACAGAACAATGTTTCTCTCTCACATTGATGTTTCTCTCCCTCCCTCTTTCTAAAATCAATAATAATAATAATAATAATAATAATAATAATAATAATAATAAATATAAAAGCCAACCACAGCAAAGATCCTTACCATTAGTACTAGTACTTCTACCAATACCTAAAGTTGAGGTTTTAGAGAATTATTGGTAATTTTTTAACGTGATGATGGCACTGTAGTTAAGATTTTTAAGTCTTCATTTTTAGATTAGTTGCTGAAATACTCATGGGTCAAATAAGATGTCTGGGATTTGTTTCAAAATAACCTGGTGTGGGGGTGAGGAGGGAAAAGTGGATGGAATTATAGAGTAACCATGAGTTAATTAACTGCTGAAACTGGTATTGGGTGTTCATTACCTATACTCTTGTAGGGGTTGACATTTGGCATAATAAAGTTTAAAAAATTTCTTTTCAAGAATAATTAATTTAAGAAAACTAAGGATTAGGTTAGTTTGGGTTTCCTTGGAAACTTGTCAGGCCACTAAAAGAATCCGCTGTATGAAATTAAATCTTTTAGGTGAAAACATAATTTGATAATGCTATTATCAAATTGAAGGACAGAAACATGATAAATTTAGAGCAAGAATAAGAAATTTAATATAAACTTCTTGGAGAAATAAGAATTTTGAAATTCTTGACTTGACTGAATCTGATAGACATCTTTTCATAAAATGTGAAGTTATGGATTAAGGTTATTAGACAAACTTTAAAGTTGGTGGCCTCATCCAAACCACTCATTTTGCTGTTGGCAAGACCCAGAAAGGGTTAAGTGACTTATCAAGCATTTGACTTGTTTCCCCAAACCTATTAACATATTAAGTGTAAAATTTTGTATATAGTTTTCCTAATATAACTCTAAGCATTGTTCCATATTAGTAGTATATATTCTTTGTAATATTATTATTTTTAAAGTTTTTTAAAAAACATGTTTTTATTTATTTCAGAGAGAGGAAGGGAGAGGGGGAGGGAGAGAGATAGAAACATCAATGATGAGAGAGAATCACTGATCAGCTGCCTCCTGCACACCCCTTACTAGGGATCGAGTCCAAAACCCAGGCATGTGCCCTGACTGGGAATCGAACCTCAATCTCTTGGTTCCTAGGTCAACACTCAACCACTGAGCAACACCGGCCAAGCTATTATATTATTTTTAATTGTTGTTTAATGCTTCATGGAGTGGATATAGTTCACTCCTTTATTCTTCTATGACATGGCATTCATATTATTTCCAACTCTTTATTACTATAAATAAAGCTGCTATATTATATACATACAAAACTTCATTTTGATTAAGATTACCATAAAACATATTTGATTTTCTCAAAAGTAAGATGAAACTTCCTAACAGAAGTATATTTATCCTTTTGAAAATCAGTTCAGTGGCAAAATAAAGCTAGATTCTCCATTTCTCTATGGATCCAGCTCATGAACAGTCAAAACGATAATATATAGAGGAGGGCAGAAGACTAGTTTGAGGACTGTTTTGGACAAAACAATGTTGATATTAGTAGAGGCAGGAAAAGGCATTTTTAACTAAAATTATACCCTACCTGTTGGAAAGCTTTTTCTGCTTGACGTTCAGCATCAATAACTTGTCTCTCAAGCTGTTGCATCTGTAAAGCGAGGAAAATAGAAAAAATAGAAAAGATCATATTTCCCTTTTGGAAGGCACTTAGAAATCTCACAATGTCATCAACTTTTTAAGAAATATTTAAAGTAGTTCAATGGATATGAATGACATACAATTTACCACATTAAAGACTCTTTCAGTGCACATTTAAAAACAGATCAAACAAAATGCCAAAGGTTTGATACTTTTAATACAATGTAATATTTAACACATGAGTATACATCAATAGAATTTTCTCCACTGGACTGTAAATTAAAAATTATTCGTCAGCACATAATAAAAACAATAAATTAACTTTAAGAGAATGGTAAAACCTCAAATGTCAGTCTTGATGTGTTGATCAGAAAGTCACACTGATATCAGAAAGTGGTGTATTCTCACAAGCTGTATTTCCTCTCTCTTTCTTGGAGAATCCAAAAATGACCACGATTGGGCTGTACTGAAAGATACTTAGGTCCACACTGGAACAAAGCAGAGCCCAACAGTCCTAAAAGCGATTAGTTTGTTTAACATTTTAACAATGACGTGGATACAGATGAGGAAAGACTTACAGCTATGTCTTTGAAAAGTATGGCAACAGCTACAACTGGTTCTTCCTTGCACAACTCACTACACTTGCTGTCATTGAAAATTTAAAGTAGCTTCTGTTTCCTAGGGATGCATCCCTACCCTCCTATCTGGGCCACACGACATCTGGCGACTTTAAACACATGACTATGGAAGGAGGAACTGTCTTAAGTACAGAACCTATGAAAAGACTTAGCCTTCTAAGAAGTGTACAGAGCTAAGTGATTTGGAAGTGATCTGAAGACACGCAGCTGGCAGTCTGCCTGAAATATGCAGGAGTTCTTGCAGAAATGCAGGGAAAGAGATAGAACCAAGAGAAGCTCCATTTGGAATCTGAGATTCTAACAGGATTCTACCACTGAATAGGAAATAAGCTAAGCAGTTTCTCCCCAGATTTTGAGTGTATTTATTTAGTTACATAACAATGGTTAAGGCAGGAGTGATGAATACCACATAATAAAAATTCAATAGATGTAATACAAACTTTGATAAAAGAAAATCACTACATTTTCACAATCTATAGTATAGATCATCAATGCTGACTGTGTCACATTACATAAATGTAAGTACACATGTAAGTATCTCCAATAAAGTTTAGGACACTTTAAAATCAGTTTACAGAAAAAAAGTACAAAAGGCAATACTTTAATTTTGAGTGACTGTTTTCATAATCATTCAAGCTGGAAAGTAACTTTGCAAAACACTTAATAAAGCAATACAGAAAATATTCATGTAAGTTTTTACTTTCACGATGTAAGCTATGATGTAAAGCTTAGGCTAATTCCATAACCAATCCACACTAAGTCACTAAAAGAAACTTGAATGATCTGCTGCCCATATCAGGCATTGGACAAAAATAAGTATTTTATGAACAGGCCACTTAATACAATAACAAAACCTTCTGTTTTGATTACTACAGAAGTGCTCTCTGTAGCCAGAGTGGACACAGCAGCAAATGGCAGGAGGAAATCTGTCACTGATCTTAGATCATAACACCACTGTGATTAATGCTTGGTGTCTCAAGTATTGTAGACTGGCTACTTTAGACAGAATACTTTAGGACCTTTATACTTACTGCTGTAGACAGCAATCCCCCAAGTAGCTTTCTTCCTGACTGTTCCCCCCATAGAACCCATAAAAGACTCTATCACCATTTTGTTATAATAAATAATATCTTCAGTCAGTAGCCCAAAATGATATAAATAAGCCTGCAAAGTCTTATTGTTAGTATACATATAATTTCTGTTAGGCACTGTGAAATATTAGGTGAGGCAACAGAGACACTGAGATGTGGAATTTAAATAGGGTAATCGTGGTCATATGAAAAGCAAACATTGTGCTGTCCACGGACTCCTCATTCCCATGAGAGAATTCTAAACCACTGGGGAATCATAGTCACAGAAGGAAGGTCAAGTGGCCAGAAACCAGACAGTAATGCTGTATCAGCCAAAGGCAGCATTAGGTGATTTGGGCCACGCTGATACCTAAAGGAAAAATTCTTCCAATCTAACCCAAAGGAAATAACATTCACTTCAACTTAAAATGAAACCTTCCTTCTTCCCTCCCTGACTCAGAAAACTGGTAATACTGTAAAGTAGGAAAACTACTTAAATCTCAGCTTCCCTGAAGAGTTTATATTTGGCATACTAGAGATATTTCCAACACCATTCCTTAAATTCCTTTAAAGACCTCTCCCACTTACAGCAGTATTTGCCCAAGACTTCAATAAGGCCTTTTTCTTCATAAACTTCAATATTCTAAGTTACTTAGAAATTATGATAAAAAATACAAAATAACTCTTTTTAAGAAAAATCCCCTGTATTCTCCTACTCCATCTCCAAAAAAACCACATAAGGTATACATAACTAAAAATTCACCTTTCATTATAAAAAACACTCTGAGATCATCTCACACGTCTTTCCTAAAAAATTCAGAAAGATGTCTCCTATTAATTGGTAATTACATTTGTTGAAATCGTCTCCTTGCACACTTAGCCAGTGTATTCATTTAGAAAGATACAGGAAAATAATAATGAGTTACTTCTGTGCGCCAGGCACTCTATTTATAAACTGCATCACAAGAAAAGTGTGAAAGATCTAAGATTTACTGCCAGCTCTTCAATTTCTAGCTGTGTGATATTGGGCATACTATTCAAATACTCTCAGTCTTAATGTTAACTTATTTAGGCTGGGAATCACAATAATTTCCTCATCAGGTTACTTTGGGGTTTAAATTAGCTAATGGTTGTACTAATTGCTTAGGACCTATAGCTAGCACTTACTGTTAGCTGCCATAGCCTGTGCCAATAAAACAAAACCAAGAATCAAAAACTACTGCAGAAAAGAAAAGTTGGCTAGAATTCCTGGCAAAGAGCTAAAGAATCAAATTAGTATTCTCTCAAGAATCCTCAGCCTTGAAAAAAAAAAAAGAAAAAAGAATCCTCAGCCTTGGGCCAGCATCCATTTGGGGGGAAGGTGTGGAGAACTAGCAGGAAAAAGGTATGGAGCAGACTGGTCCTAACATAAAACCAGTGGTTATGAATGGGAGCAGACTGGCCTCCGGAATGCAGTATTTGACTCAAGTTGGCATGCAGAAGCAATGCAATAGGGTTCGCTTTGAAAAAATATGTAATGTTATGTAAATCATTATTACTACATACACACACACACACATCGTAACACACAGATACCGGCCCCAAGCAGAGATGGATTTATATGCTGCATGGCTGAAAAGAAGATTGAATAGATGAGTGGGTATGTCAGAGAAAGCAAGGAATGTGGTAATAAAACTAGATGGGAGAGGCTATATAGGGTGATAGCTAAGCATTCAGGTTCTAAAAGCAGAATGCCAAGTTTCAAATCTTGGCTTCATCACTTACTTTTTGGCACAAACACAGGCAAGCTAAATAACTGCTACGCGCCTAAGTTTCCCCCTATGCAAATATGGATAATTCAGTACCTAACTCACAGATTGTTGTTGTAATAATTAAAAAGTTAATTTACATAAAGCACTTAGAAGACTGTCTGGCACATAGTAAGCATCAGTTTCCTAATCTGTAAAATGGGAACAATAAAATTTATTACTTCACAGGTTGTTAAGCACATAAAAAAATCAACAAATACTTGGTATTTTTATTAAAACATGGGTGAGTACCAAAACTAATTTTTAATCCAGAGAAAAATATTGCATAATGGAATATAACAGAAAATATTGTGAAAAACGTCATTTCCATTTTGGTGTTGAATCTACTTACTGGAAAACCATGAGTAACTTGGCAAACGTATCCACTTTCCACTGTATAAGACACAACTGAGTAATTCCATCTCTTAGATCTGGCAAAGGATTTAAGTCACAGATACAAAAGACAAAAAAAAGGGGGGGAGAGGGAGAAAAACCCACAACTAAAATAGCAATCTGAAAATAATATTACTCTCAAAATTCATCCACTGACAAAGAAAAAAGAAAGTCTAATAACATAAATTAATAATCAAAAGCTATTTACAATTTTACTTGTAGAGAAAACAACACTAACGTTTTAAAAATGGGCACTAAAAAAATTTTGTTACAAGCCTTCTAAAAAAACAGAACAAATGTTGCCATCAAATTCAGAATTTAAAGGTCAACTAATTGGAAACCAAATAAGCATAACTTCTATTTAGTCCATAGCGAACCAAGAAAATTTTGAGGAGTCAAGAGTGTGCTAACTGCTGAGAGACTAAGGCAACACCTGGGAAGTTATCCATGAGGTTTAGCAACACGTATATAATTTATAATTTTGACAAAAGTCATTGTATGAAGTGATTAAAATTGTGAAAAACACCAGATAAATCACAGTACAACCTGAGAAATGATTTTTATAGAGAGAGGAGCAAAAGACAAAAGCATGTGTCACTAACTTTGAGTTAGGATAAGCTCCCTCAACTTGGAGATATTCAACTGGTATTTTCTTCAAGTTACAACTTTGATTATAATAGAGATAAGCAAAGCAAATTGATATTGGGTACTAACGGCAGAACTTTAATCTTTGGACCTAAAAGATGTTAAGGCACAAAAATGTAAGATGATATTAAACTGAATGATGTTTTTCTGGGTTTTAGTGATATGTAGTTATATCATTAGAATACCTCTGTGCTAGGAGATTCTTAGCTAGCAGTGAAAGGAAGATTTAAGATGATCATTTCTGGACATCTGATACCTGTGCCAGCCCTCCATCCAAAAGGATTATGCAGACTACAGTTGAAGAAGCCACCTGTCAGTTACTCTGAGCAGTTATGAATGACCATTAATACCATTTATCCATTCACCCAGACAGCACTGTCCAACAGAAATACTAGTACATAATGTGAGTCACATGTATAATTTTAAATTTTCTAGTAAAATTAAAAAAGTAAAAAGAAACAAGTAAAATTAATTTTAACATTTTTTATTTAACCCAATATCCAAAAACTATCATTTCAACATGCAATCAATATAAAAATTATTGCAAGAGAATGTAAAATATTTTACATTCTTTTTTCTCATACTAAATCTTTGAAATCTGGTGTGTGTTTTACATTTGCAACACATTTCACAATTTTACCTAGCTTTATTTCAAATGCTCAACAGCCACCTGTGGCCAGTGGCTGCCATATTGGACAGTGCAGATCTAGAATCCAAGTTCCCTGGAAATAGAAACACTTCTTGTCTTGTTCACAGTTGTGACTGCAGCATTAAGAACAGTGTCTGTCACAGAGTCAGCCCTCAATGAGTATTTCTGAATGAATGAATGAATGCACAAATGAATGAATTTATCTATTCATTGTATATATATATATGCCCCCCAACTTCTTGTGACATAAATAAAATTTTAATTACATGATTAGAATTATTAAGAAAAGCATATAATTATCTTAAATTAAATACCAGCTGAGATGATAGTTTAGTGGTACATAGTCAATATAAGTACTATATTTTTTCAAATACAGTATTAACACATTTTACTATCAATAGAGAACATTCTTCTATAATCACTTTAAACATAACTTTCCTAAACATTTAAGTAGATCAAAATGCTGTCACACTTCTCTAATAAAATCAAATAAATTATACTTTTCTCTCTGGAGTAAATGCACTCTACATTCATCAAATACACATAATGCTTACATATTCCACTGCATAGTATTTGCAATGAAATGTCTTTGTCTTAATTTACTCTAAGACAGGCAAAAGACTAGACCAAAAATAGCTTCAAAGCCCTGACAAAAAGTTAAATTATAGTCATTTTGCGTCGTGTTTATCCCCAAAAGTACTGAGATTATTTAACAGAAATGAAATAGGCCCTACATCGCTGCTGTTTAATAACACAGGTTAAGGAGAAAAGCTTACCTTCTCTGCTAGGAGCTCTCTTATCTTGCTTGCTTGAACTCTAAATTTCATGAGTTGGGACTCCAGAGCTACGCATCGCTCTTTCCAATCTACTGGTCCTTCTGTCTCGGAAAGCTCTGCCATATTTATTCTATAAAAGAAAACATTCAAACGGCATAATACCAATGAGCATTCAGGGTAATTCATTAAATTCTCTGATGTACACATTCTAATAACCATCTAATCATATCCAGATACAAGTTTCAAATTCTAAGATAAACTCCAGAACTGGTGATAGCACATGGAAAGGACTTAGTTGGATACGGTATGCCAGGGTTGGAGGTCTAACTGTATTAATTAAATTTTCTATGTAACCTAATCTTTCTCTGTCTCAGTTTACCCAATCTAGAAAAAGGGGGACATGATAGTAAAAAATCATTCTTTTACATGGGTATGTTATGAGGGACAAATTAAATAGTGCAGTTTTTAACAGCACTTTGGACAGTAAAATAGCACCACAAACATAGAGTACTATTATTATTTTAGCTCTGCTCAACAGATAAGATTTTTAAAATCTACCAGCTCATAATTTTATCACACTCTTAAATTTACAGAATTATTACAGTTTTATTCTATTGGTAGCATGACAGAATTACCTAAAGAAGCTTTATACCAGTGCTACAACTAAGGCTTGGATTTACTAGTATATTATAATTATTATCACCACCCTAAATTTGTCCAAGTCCAGGTTGTTTTTCAAGCCAAAAATGCTTTGGCATATTTAACTGGGCAAAGTATTATAACCCTGGACAAGTTTGCATAATTTTTATTCGGTACAAGAGGAGAAAACATATAAATGTAAAATTTAGAATCACCTACATTAAGCAAATAAATCTGGAACCAGTTTCTTATTAACTTTCCTTTTGGAGGACAAAGGTTTTGAAATTCTAAAGAGCAAAAAATAGTACTTGATTTTGAAAGCCTGATTGTTTCTGGCTCCGGGATTCATGAAAGTAATCTGAAATGTTTGTTAATGTTTTATCAGGTCATTTAATAAATAGCCTGGTAATAATATATTTCTGAATTGGTCTTGCTATAAACGGACAAAATTTGCATTAGAAGTGAATCTCCTGAAGAAACCAAACCTGTCATTTAATATATGTGACAGCAAAACTCTCAGAACCCAAGGATAGAACTGCAGTTGAAGGTGTACTTATTCTGCGCTTTTGTTTTACAAAAATATGTCTCCCTCACATATTAACCAAATTTTCCCCAATATTTAGTGTAATATAACCCCTAACTTATACCAGTTTTCAAACCCACAAAAGATTATTTTCCTAGCATAACTATTGTTTTATGCTTGCTCTGGCCACGTGGCTCAGTTGGTTTATACAAAAGGTTGCAGGTTTGATTCCTGGTCAGGGCACATACCTAGGTAGCAGGTTTGATCCCCAGTTGTGGGGAGGCGGGCATATAGGAGGCAACTGATGGATGTTTTTCTCTCTCCCTCTCTCTCTCTCTCTCTTCCTCCCTCCCTTCCTCTCTCTAAAATCAATAAAAATTGTCCTCGAGTGAAAATGAAAAAATATTTATATTGTTTTATGCTTAAATCAGTTTTCACATTAATACTTATATCACTCAATAATTTACAAATAAATATAAGCAAAGTTGTCCTACAGAAGCTACAACTTTATTAAGGGCACCACAACAATGGAAACAATTCTCTTTTCATTTCTTTTGTTTTTATAGAAGCATCACCCTATTGTTTTCTGAGTTTTTTCCCTAAAGATATTAGCCTAGTTAATGACCTTTTTCACTACCCACATTAAATTTACTATCAATAATGTAGGAGTAAATAATGCAGTTTGTCAATCACAAACTTTTTCTCAATTCTACTGCTACTTCATTTTTCTCTTCATTAGCTTTAGAGTGGACAAGGAAATAAAATGTGGATGAAATATCCTATATAATAAAAGGGTAATATGCAAATTGACCCTAACAGCAGAACAACTGGGAATGACTGGTCACTATGACACACAATGATCACCAGGGAGCAGAGGCTCAATGCAGGAGCTGCCGCCTAGTGGTCAGTGCGCTTCCACAGGGGGAGCTCTGCTCAGCCACAAGCCAGGCTGACGTCTGCCAGCACAGAGGTGGTGGCAGGAGCCTCTCCCGCCTCCTCAGCAGTGCTAAGGATGTCTGACTGCAGCTTAGGCCTGCTCCCTGCTGGAAAGTGGACATCCCCCTAGGGCTGCCGGGCTGCCAGAGGGATGTCTGACTGCCAGCTTAGGACCGATCCCCCGAGGGGTCCCAGACTGCGAGAGGGCACAGGCCGGGCTGAGGGACCCCCTTGAGTGCACAAATTTTTGTGCACCGGGCTTCTAGTTAAAAATAAAAAGCAGTCCTGGAAAGACATCTTTAAGTCTTGAGCCATTCATATCATTGCACAAAAATGTAGGGACACTATTATAAAACAAGAAGAAGAGTGTATTTCATGTTAACCTTTGCTCTACATTTAAAATAACTTGTTTATGTTTTACTGTAAAATTATTAGAGTTAAAAAGTAACATATGTTTAACAAATGAAAATAAGTCAATATAATGCACCATATGAATAGAATAAAAGACAAAGAACACATAATCATTTCGATAGATTCAGAAAAACATTCAACAAAATCCAACACCTTTTCATGATAAAAACATCAACAGCCCAGTCAGTGTGGCTTAGTG